GGTTATACCCTCCTGAACCCTGAAGTCCACTGGTGAGGAACTGGGTGCCGTGATTGACTAACCTGAAATGTTTCTTCCCACAGCATGCCCTGAGCCAGGCATTTGTCTCCACAACCCTCCTCTCCCTGATTGGCCCAAATCCCTGGACAGGCAAGAGAGAAGAAAAGACCACCTGGATCTTTAGGACCTCGACTTTCTTGCCCAGAGCCTCAGAGTCCCTAAGCGATCCCAGCCACCCCAAGCCTGGACATGTCATCGTCCCCATGTGAATTGGGAGAAGCAGCTGAGAACTTGGCAAGAGACGAGGACGCTCCAGTCTCTCTGTCATGTGCTGGATGCATGCGCCTGGCAGGCAGCAGACCTCCCTTGCATCAAGGCCAGGGTGGCAGACCACCACCTCAGTACCCCTTAGCAAGGAGTCCCTGACAATGATCACCTGCCTTCATCTCTTCCCAGTGGAGGTAGATGGCCATGCCTTGGCTGCATCTGGCCCCAGGTTGGAGTTCTCAAACAGGTCGGTCCCCCACGTCATCATCGGCCCCAGCCCCCCACAAGCAGAGAAAACCTATTTCCCACCTCCAGGTCAGTGCCAGGAGACGGAGGAGGCTGTGCCGGCCGCCTCCTGCTGTGGATGACATACCTCCAGGTGTCCCTGCCTGTTTCCCCCTCAGCCCCTCCCTCATCCTTCTGCCCAGAAGGGGGCTGCTCCCAGTTGGCCTGAAGAACTCTCTTGGCCCTGTCCAGCAATCGCTCACCCTCCCTTATCCCCTGGAGGGAGGCAAGGGCATCTCCAGACTCCCTGACCCCTCACCTTCTCCTCTAGGAGGGACACCAGCTTGCACCTAGTGCACGCGTATCCCTGCTGTTCCCGAGGGAGCTGGACAAACATGGCTCAGGTGTCACATTTGACAGCAACTTGTGGCTCCTGCCATGGCCGTCTCCTGGCCTGACATAGCCCACCCCTCACAGGCCCTCCCACTACCCCCCCTTGTCTATCCTACACCACCCTTTCTCAGCTTTCCTCACCTTGTTCTCCCAGACAGAAAATACAGTAAAACGATATGAAGAATTAAATACAATGACCCAGGGAAAGAGAGTCCCAGGAAAGCCTGGGCCTCAGACAAGGGATGATGCCTTTAACTGGTTGATTGGGCCTGACATCCCCCCCTTCCCTGATGTTTGTGAATTCCTGGCTCAGTCCACCTGCTGGGGCCACAGGTGGCCATTTGCAAGATGCCATGGGTCTGGCTGACCACAGAGGAGCTGTGGGGCTGTAACTGGACTCTGCCCTGGAAGATTCAGGAAGGCTTCCCTTCCTGCCATGATCAGGTCCTTCCAATCTCAGGCCCCACCTTTCTTGTGGACATGTATCCCCACACCACCAGGACTTTCCCCTCCCCTCTCTGTGAAGACCATGGTCTCTTCCATATTCACGCTGGGGCAGATTTATAAAGCTGGACTGAATCGTGCCTGTGTTCCTCCATTTCTAGGCCACCCTGACAGTGCTGCTGGACCACCTCAGCCTCGTTGCTGCTTTCCACCCCGCCAACCGCATGCACACCCAGAACCTTGCTGTGTGCTTTGGGCCTGTGTTGCTGAGCCAGGGCTCAGGGGGCCCGGGGGCCCACAGCCCCAGCCAGCACCACCGACCCATTGCCAGCACCATGGACTTCAAGCACCACATCGAAGTGTTGCATTATCTGCTGCAAGCCTGGCCAAGTGAGTAACGTGGGTGGGGAGGGAGGGAGGGAAGCGGGTGAGAGGGGGCACTGTCCCAGTGGGGGCTGCCCGCCTGGAGGCATGTGGTGCTCTGGGCTTAATAACAATTGATCTTCCCTTAGTTGGGGAAGTGTTCCCCTTCGCATGGGCTGCTGGGTACATTATCTAGGGCAGGGACAATGTGTGGCAGTACCGAAGGGGTCCCAAGGGTTTCCTGCTGTCCTCCTGAATAAATGTGTGCATGTGATGGTTTTTCCCCTTGGTTGCTGAATCCAAAGTGAGCCTTGAGGCTGTCTCTGAGGGCCTCTCTTTTTCTGACTAGGAAAAGGAAGTACATACAAACAGAATGTGAACTGAAGACTCTTCATCAGTAAAAGAAACAGCAAAGGGGAAATTCACTCACAGCATCACGAATCAGGAGAGAAAGTATTCTGGCGGGGTCCAGAGAAACTTTTACTGAGCCCAATGTATCTTGGAAAGAACAGTTGTTCTTAAGATATATTTCTGTGGCGGGCAGGGGTTGGCTGTGCTCCTAATGCTCCTAACTCTGGGTCCACAGCAGGGCACAGGCTGCTGGAGCAGGGGCAGGTGTCCAGGGGCAGAGCCAACTGCTTTCGAAGACATGACACTTTGCAGGCTGCAGAAGCACAGGTTTTTGTGCCTACAGGCCATTACAGTTGGCAACCCATCTTGCATACAAATACAGTGACCCCACAAGTCCCTGTGACATGTGACCCTGTGAGAGAGCCACATAGCTTAAAAAAAATCAGTTTCACTCCAGACACACAGAAAGGCATGTTTAAAACTCCGTGGATGGAGTGACCAGAACAATAGCATTTTACAATATGACCACATCAAACAGTGATATAGATGTATTATGGTTTTCTTTTCAGTCCCCTATTTATAGGTCATAACAGAGAACTTGCCTTTATCCCTGCCATGTGCTTATGGGCTGTGTACCACCACTTTTAGAGCTCTCCTTTACGTGGGAATTACATTCAATTCACACTCCATATGTCGGAGGGGGTGGTGTTGCCCCAGTTTACATCACTTCCCTTTCCTCAATCTGGAGAGGTATTTCTTGGAGCTCCAGCGATTTTTGCTTGTGGAGTATAGGATTTCACTATTAGTGGTTGGATGTCATTGTAAACCTGACCCCTGTTGATACCTGATTCTAAACCATGTGTGAATGGCAGGAGCCCCTTTACAGACCCGTAGAACTGCTTATTTCCCTCTTTTTATCCCATTGTTTTACAGTGAAAATTATCCACCTCTTCCTACCTTGGTTTCCTGTTTCTTTCATTGCTCTGTAAAAGCACACACCATTTTTATCCTATGATTGTTAAACTTTCTTAACAGCAGTTAGTAAAGGATCCTGTTAGAAATATTCCGACAGTGCCACTGCATGTACATCTACTCAGAACCAAGTTTCACTGTGTTACATATGGGTTGCTGTCCAAAAATCCAAGTACATATTGTCTGCACTGCTATGCACATACTCATTATTGCTCTCAAATAATTGGCGAAGCAAGAATTTCCTTTGCAGAAGCCATGCTGATTCAACAATGGACATTCTTCTATCAAGAATCATGTGATCATAGAATTACAGAATAGCGGGTCCAATAAGGCCATTGGGTCTAACTCCCAAACTGAAAAGACTACAATATTGGTGCCAAGCAGGACTTAGAGGAGAGATCGTTCTGTAACAGGGAGCCACCACTGAGAAGGCTCTCCTCCTTTTTGCCTCTTTCCAGGCCTCTCTTGGAGTTGGCAGATGGAGGAAGTCCCTGGATGCAGATTGTAAAGTCTGACTAGGTTGAGGTCGGGAGAGGCATTCCATCAGGTGCTGTGGTCCTAACCCATCCTCGATGAGTGCTATCCTATCTCCCTTCAGACTCCGCAAGGCTAACTGCTCATTCCTTTCATCTGTATATCTTGGACAGCACTGGCCACCATGCTGTCCACCAATAGGTCTGCAACAGGAAGATAGGTCCCAGTTCTCTCCCTTGACTCACTCCTAGAACCTACTGCTAGCAAGTCATTGGAGCCTTGGAACATATTTATTTTATTTATTTTTTAATTTATCTCCTGCCTTTTTCCTGCAAAGGGCTCAAAGCAGCTTACATCTCCTACTCCAGCTTATCCCCACAACAACCCTGTGAGGTAGGTTGGGCTGAAAGTCTGTGACTGGCCCAAAGTCACCCAGTTGGATCCATGGCTGAGCGGGGACTAGAACCCAGATCATCTGAGTCCCAGTCCCATGCTCTTAACCACTACACCACACTGGCTCTCATATGAAGTAATAAGCAAATAGCTGAACATACCCACAAGCGTATAAGTGGATGCACACTTTGTTACCGAGTACGCAGCTCAGGCAATTTTTCTATGGATATTCATGTGATGTGACCCTGCTTGGGACACACTGGCCTGAGCTTAGCACTGGATTGCTTGCAGGTCAGACTGGGCAGATGTGGAGTCTTGTTCTAAGACTTAGGTACAGTCTCCTGTGAAGCCACATCCTGCTGCAGTCCTCAGCTACTGCTCCCAGAGTTTTGTCTCCTTTGGTTGTGGGCCACTTAACTTGCTCTCCTTTGTTCCAAAGCCCCACGCAGGAGGCTGGAAGACGAAGAGCACATCACACCCTGCAGTCAAGTGCTGCGCCAGCGCCATCCACCCTTAGATCTGCCGCTGCTGCCAGCCACAGTTGTGGCCCGAAGCCGCCCACGAGGCTTGGAAAGTCCTCCCAGCAATCGGTATGCCGGAGACTGGAGTGTCTGTGGGCAGCAATTCTTGGCAGGACCCAGGCTGGGCTGTGACCTGGACTATGATGAGGTGGCAGGGAGTGCAAGTGAGAATGAAGAGGAGGCAAAGGAAGAGGTGACTCTGAGAGAAGGGCTGGCACACCACAGCCAGACCGTCTTCACGGGAGGCTTTGCCTTGGTGGAGAACCCAGAAGCTCCTCCCTTCAGCCCAAGGCTCAACCTGAAGGACTTTGATGCCCTCATTTTGGACCTAGAGCAAGAACTTTCCAAGCAGATCAATGTCTGCCTGTGAGCATTCTCTCAGGATGTCAAAGCAGTGTGAACTGTTGGGAGGTGCCTTGGCCGGCTCCTGCCCGTCAGTCTATGGCCAAGTCGAACTCGGGCAGTTGATCTTGCCTCCATTATCAGTATTCTTTTTGTTTATGATGCCTTGATCCAAGTGAGGGCTCTTCTGGTCTTGAGCCAGTGTGTCCCCTTGCTGATTGGCCATTAGCCTGTAATTGCCGATGATGCTGACCATCTGAATTTTCAACGTGGAAGCAGTGGAGGATAGAGGAAGGAGCCAGCTCCAACCACTACCTTGATTCCATCCTTCAGTGCAGCCTTCCTCACCTGGGACCATCCAGATATGCAGTTCTCAGAATTCCTGAACATTGGCTGTGCTGGCTGTGGCTAGGGAGCACAGGAGCCCAAATCAGTAACCTGGCGAAGGCTGCCTTAATTGTTCCAAGGAGAAAAGTGACTGCTCAAGGTTTGTTTTCTTTGGTCAAAAAAGTATATCTTGAATGAGTTGAATTTATGTAGCAGAACTCCCTAATCATCCAGAGCACTTCAGCATACTTGAAGGTTGGTCAGTATTGTTTTCCTCCCTTATTACGGGCAGAGACTGTTGCTTACCAAAGGCTGGACAGCTCAGTGAATTAATGGCTGAGCTGAGGCTTGAACCAGAGACCTGTACCTTGTGTCCTAACTGCTCTGTTCAGGCATGGCTCTGGGTCTGAGAAGATCCACAGCAAAATGCCCCCTTCTATGTGGGTTAGCCCAAGTAGTTTCCTGTTACACCTGTGCCTGCCCTGATGTACTAGGCCAGTTGGCTGCCTTGGGAAAGCTCTTGTGTTCAAGAGGGCAAGTGTGTCCAAGTGTTTTCCAAAGGGCTTACATATATTACGGAGCAGGCTAGGCACCAGCTTGTGCTGGCCCCTGGCCCACTGGCATGCATGATGGCATCAACTGCAGCTAGCATTTCCCCACTCACTGCGAGCCATCGCCACCAAAGAATCCAGGTGGGACAAAGCTGAAAGTGGCCATGTGCTGTGTGTCCCTTCTTCCCAGCTGTCCATAGCAATGCCCTCTACAGCACATACCTAGAATCTTTGTGTGCTGGATTCTAACCAGACTGAACCCCCACAGAGCACTGTGGAAGTTGGTTATTTTTCTCTCCCTTTCATAAGAAGGAGGAAAACCTGCTTGTCCCTAACTCCCCACTTTCAATGCAGTTCTCATGGAGCAGTTTCAGCAACAGGAGAGCCTCAGGACAGAAAGCCATAGCCAACCTGATGGAGAAACATGGTACAGGAAGTGTGGATTCTTTTGTTTTGAAATGTGTATGTCCTTATGGACAATTAAAACTATCTGTCACTATAGAAGGACTACTGCTGCTTCTGTGTGAGTGTGACAGAATTTAACTCAGTGTTTGCCTATTCAGGTGCCACAATTGGGGGCTTCATCCCATTTTATACTGGTGTCATTTTATGCCACTCTAAAATTTGGCTTACCTAAATGCAAGACCTTAAGTATAAAATCCACAATTCTGCAATGTGAAAGTCCCACATTTCTTTCTCAGCCCAGTTTAAGAGTCTACCCACTGCCTCCCATACAGTGTTGTGGGAGAATCTTGGTTAGGCTGTCATATTTTGAATACTCACTAACATAAAAAGCTACATGCCTACTATTGATGCATCAGTATGGAGAGGAGGCAGTGCTGGACACAATGAAACATAATAGGACAATGAAAACACAACAAAAAGTATGCACTTTCAGTTCAGTGTTTCCTGGAAAAAGATGCAATTAGCAATGCAAAAGTCATACACAATAAGCAACAGTGTCCTGTACGGTCGCCAGAAATTCACATTTATACTCTCAGTGCAGAAGCAAATGTTCTAAACCCTTCAGACATACTGGCAAAGATGCCAAATCTGCCTAGAGTCTGCAGAAGTTAAGAGACCAAATCTAGTGGCAACAAGGCTATAAAGAGCCACCAAACCCTGCAAGTCCCCTCATGTCCAACTTGTCCTTTTGTCACAGCTCATGACAAATGAACAGTGTGGTTGTAACCTTATAGCCTGGACTTGGAAACACTCCCAAGGGACTTTCTCCAGACTTGAGGAGTTGAGAGGGAGGGCAGGGCAGACCACTCACCAGACCTGCTGTTTCAGCCAGGTCTACCTGAGAACGAGCAGTCTTTGCAGGGGTGACCCAAAGAATGGGAAAGGAAGGGGAGGCAACCCATCACCCCATCCTCTGCTGCTGTGTTCAGAATGACATCATACAATTTTGGAGCATGGCATTTGGTGCAGCGATAGGCAGGGCTGGACCAACTGGAGCAGACCCATCTCTAATGATTGTACCATTTAGGTTATCATTTTCCAGTACTGCTGGGCTTTGGAACAGAGCCATCATGTGTGATTGAAGACTACATGTTCTTTTTTATGAACCCAGCCTTTGCTACATCCTTGTTTGACAGGAGCTAGGAACCATTGTGTATACACATTAGGATACTACTTCCTTTAATATCTGGGCATCATACTGAAAGGGAGGTTCTGCTTGAAGTCTTTTTACCCATTTTTTCTAATAAGTTTTATTTTCATTAGCATTTATGACAGATTTTATTTTTTTTTTTTGGAATACCATTACGTAAGAACTGGCAACAAAGAGAATGAATCTGGGTATATTTGGAGAGCACAGACACACGCTTCTAGTTATAGTCTTGTACAAACACTTTACATGAGAACATACTCCAGCTGTGATGGGTGTAGAGTCAAGGAACTTAATAAGGAGAAGAATAGTTCCTTAAAAAAATGGAAGTCTTGCCCAAATGAAAAAGAGCAGGCGGGAGCAAAAATTTGCATCAGGGAGATGCAAGCAGGCAATCAGAGAACGAAGAAGACAGTTTGAAGATAACACTGCTAACAATACCAAAGCTAACAATAAAGAATTCTTTAAATAAGCCAAAGGAAGCAGATAAGGAAGCAATTGGACCATTGAAAGATGAAGGAATTAAAGGAGTACTAAGGGGAGAGAAGAAGATTGCAGAGAAGCTGAATGAATTCTTTTCATCAGTCTTGATAGCAGAGGATGAAGAACAGATACCTGTTGCTGGAAGGGGAGATTGAGGAATTAAATATTAGCAACAAAAGATTACATTCTCAGCCTTACTGACAAACTGAAACTGAGCAAGTCACCAGGTCCAGAGGGTATCCATCCCAGGGATATCAAACAACACAAGCATGAAATTGCTGACCCTCTTACCAAAATATTTATTTTGTCCCTATAGTCAGCACAAATACCAGTGGATTGGAGAATGGCCAATGTAACACCAATTTTACAAAAGGGATCCAGGGGTGTTCCGGGAAGTTACAGGCCAGTTAGCTTAACATCTGTTCTGGGTAAAATGCTTGAAAGTGCTGCTACAGATAGACTCAGTAAGCACATGGAGGGACAAGCCTTGCTGGGGAAAGGTCAGCATGGCTTCAGTGAGGGGGAGTCCTATCCCACCTATTGGAGTTCTTTGAGAGTGCCAATAAATACGTGGACAGGGACAATCAAGTGGACATTGTTCACTTGGGTTTCCAAAAGGCTTTTGGCAAACTCCCTCACCAAAGCCTCCTGAGCAATATAAGCAGTCCTAAAATAAAAGGAGGAGGGTCTTCTTCTGGATCACTAACTGGTTAAAGAACAGAAGACAGAGGGTGGGAATACATGGCCACTTTTCCCAATGGAGATAGATAACCAGTGGAGTCCCATAGGGTTCTGTGTTGGGACCAATGCTTTTCACTGTATTCATCAATGATCTGGACTTAGGAGTAAGTAGTGAAGTGGCCATGATTGCTGCTGACACAAAACGTTTTAGGGTGGTTAAAACCGAAAGGGGTTGTGAGGAGCTCCAAAGGGATCTCTCCAAGCTGGGAGAATGGGCATCAAAATGGCAGGTGCAGTTCAGTGTAAGCAAGTGTAGAATCATGCCTGTTGGGGCAAAAAATCCCAACTTCAGGTATATGGTAATGGGAGCTGAAGCAGGAGCGGCTGCGCAAGAACAGGCTCTTGGGATAGTAGTGGGCAACCCAAAGACAACGTTGTCCCGGTGTCCCGCTGCTGTGCAGAAGGCTCACTCCATGCTAGGCATAATTAGGAACGGAATAGAAAGCAGAACAGCCATATCTTACCCCCCTTGAGTACATCTTGGACTGCACTTGGAATACTGCGTTCAGTTCAGGTCGCCCTACCTGAAAAAGGGCATTGTTGAGGTGGAAAAAGTGCAGAGACGGGCAACCAAAATGATCAGGGGGCAGGAGCAGCTCTCCTGTGAGGAGCAGCCACAGTAACGGAGACGGTTTAGCTTAGAGAAAGGGCGAGCAAGGGGAAACATGACAGAGGTGTTTAAAACAATGCCTGGTGCAGAGAAATTGGAGAGAGAGACATTTTCCCCCCTCCCCCGTAACACTCAAACGCAGAGTCATCCCACGAAGCTGATTGGTGAGAAATTGAGGACAGATAAAAGCAAGAACGGTGGTGCTTTGGTGCTTTCGAATTTAATTTGTTTCAGTTGTTCAAACTGCTAATCAACTTTCCCCATTGGAAATACTGGAAAGTGAATTATTCTGTTCCCAGACCCTAAACAATGCTCATTTTGATGAACCTAAACAACAAATATGCATAATTTAAGGTAAAAATAACAGAATTACATGCCAGAACTACATGCCAGAATTATTGATTAAAGCTTGAAAACAATCAATAACATACATAAATATGCACTGTATAATAAAAAATTGCATTTGCTCTACTGCATGAAGGATACGCAAGAGATGTTTTACAGCGAGCGACAACTTGGGCACACAACAGATGACATTAATGCAGCGACTGCTTTGTTTTACTGTGTAAAAAGCAGTTTGAATGTAGAAACATTGTTCAAACTTTGGAGTGATTTTATCTCGACTTTAGTGTCTGAACTCTGGCTCATTTGAGTTGCTCAAACTACGAGGCACCACTGTACTACCTCACACAATGTATAGGTAAACTATGGAATTTGATGGTCACCAGTCTGGATATCTTTGAAAATGACTGGACAGATTCACAGAGGAGGAGGCTGACAGCGGCTACATTTGGTGGCTTTGGGGTATCCAGGAGGGCACATGGTTACAATATCTCCCTTAGGGCTAGGAAGATGCTTAAAGCAAGAGCCAACTCTTAGTCGTGTCACAATTGAGGTAAATTCAGAAGCATCCTAAGAACCCGAGGATTATTCTTTGTTCACACCCTACCATTTGGTGCTTTTTTGCTTTGGAGAACCCAGCAGAGAAAGCTTGGCATGAGAAGGGGCATGCGTTGTGCACCAGTTCTAAGTCTGAGCAGCAAATGCTGTGAGATGCCCACCCTACTCAAGAGGCAGATCCAGGCAGTTTACCGGATCAACCATCTGCTGAGTGTGCAGGGCACACACTTGCTATGTGCGGAAGAGCTGCTTCCGGGCAGCAATCCTGAAGGCTCCCGACATGCTTTACCCATCTGTAAAGCAGAGACATGTCCAGCCTTGTGCAAGCTCTGCTATCCTTCAGTCTGTGACCGAAATGAAGCGGTCCTTGATTCAGTAAAGAGGCGACTATCAGGTTTCCAAGGAGAGCCCTTACCAAAGAGAGACTGAAGGCCGGATCTGGTATTAAACACTATGCATGTAACATTTATTCTATGATACAGAGGATCCAAAGGTATAAGAATGCAAGTTCAGCAATCATCAGCAGCCATATCCAGAGGCCTCATTCACACTTGCATTCATCCAGTGCTCACACGCGACCAATAGACCCTCCTCCAGCGTTGATCAAGCATTGGCAGGGAGTGTGGGCGACCAGTTGCAGCGCTGTTCTGGCACACACGGGAGCTGGAAAGCCCAGGCATTTTATGCCTCAAAGTTGACGCTATCAGCTCCGTCCAACTGGGTAGAGCAGTGAACTCCTCTGAGCAGAGCTGGCGCAGAATGTGCTGCTCTTCCTTTACCTTGGGCACACAGGCTCGTCAGATTCCATTCTCTCTCCAGATGGTCCAGGGCGGGCTTCTCTTCATCTGTTACGTTCCATTCTCCAACCACTCCTGGCTTCTCAGTTTTGCTGTGCAAAAATACCTGTGTCTCGGCCAGTCCCGTCATGCTCTTTAAGTCTCCATTTTCCTCTGATCTGAGGCCTTCAGGAACCCATGCACATTGTAACAAGCCCACTCAGATGCTGGAGCTTTTGATGCTATTTATTTATTTAGTAAACTTCTATGCCGCCCCATTCACTGAAGCCTCTAGCAGTGCAGTGCCAAGCAGATCCTGGATACGGGGGCACTGAGCAGTCCATCCCTTACCCTGCCAAAGCTGTGCCGCCTCCTGCTGGTCAGGGGAAGGGGACCTTTCTTTTCCCCCCATTTTCTCCCCCGTCCTATTGGCAACAATGGAGGAAAAATTGCTACGTGGGGGCGGGGTGGATGGCAGGAATCCTGGGACGCCACCATTGAACCCGGTAGTCCTGGATCCCGGACCATCTCCATCCCATTCTTGCAATGCCAAGTGTTAGGGCTTACCGTGAGTGGCACAGTTACGCCTCTGGACATTTCGGTGGACACGCCCCTGGGGCCTCTGGTGGTAGGGGCAAGCTGAGACACAGTTCAACAGGCTGCCTTTCTGGCAAACAACCTCTCCCCTCGAAGTTTTTACAGTGACAGAATATGCCCCAAAGAGTCCCTCTACTATTCAAAGAAGTCACATGTAACAGTTTAGAAATTCCTTGATTCAGGCATTTACAACATAATACGTCTCTGAAATAGGAAGGAATGTTGCACATTCAAATCTGACAAACTGTAAGCAGAATAACACGAGCTCATTATGCTAGTGAAATAAGCAAATCATCGCTTTTTGCGGTGTTACACAGTGTGTCCACGTGCGTGTGTGCACAAACTCAGTTTTCTTAGCTCACAAGTTTGAGTGGGAAAACCGGCTTTGCTGGCACTGGGCTCTGCACTTATGACGAAGTGAGCCGGTCAGGCATCTGTTGTAAAAGCTGGTTGCAGAAAGGCAGAGCTGATAACCTGACCCCTTTGAACTACCGCTTCCTCTCACAGATCCAGTGATAGCTCTCCTTGCAGGGGTAGTCATACCACAGACTGTTTCTCATCAAGGCACAGTTCTCAGCCTTTCCACCATTGGGCTCATTCTGACCCCAGTAACTAGAAAAATCAAAGGACAAGATGGCTTAGAACAGAATTTTCACTTAGAAAATGCTGAAAAGAAAAGTGAAGGGAAAGATCTTGTATTGCTCTAAATGTTCACTCTATAACTAAACTCACTTGAAGATGCCGCTTACTTCTATCTAGCACAGGACTTTCTACTTTGACCACAGCTAAACATTGCAATGCCTGGTGTGAGCAGATTAAAACGGACTGGAAAATGGAATAGGACAGTTTTAGTCAGACAAAATATTTTACTCTGGAAATGGTAGATTTTAAAAAAGTGTGTAGCTCTAATACTAAGGCAAAATGTAGGACAGGCAGTAGGAGGCTATAATGCAAAATCCGCTCTTTCCTTGAATACCCTCCCTGATGGGGCCCCTGACCACCTCCCAGTGAAGGCCATTCCACAGCCTAGGGGTCCCACAGGATGTGGTGGGGGGCATCAGCTCTCTAACATTATTAGAGAAAAATGTCAAAAGACAATTTTTATAGCAAAAAGAAAGAAAATGTTTGTACAGATGACAGAAGAAACACAGTTGCTAAGAACAGTTGAAAAGCAAAAGGTGACCGAAAATAAGGTCAAAATCCTGAATGCAACTCTCCAGTGAGTATCACATGGAGATGAAAAGAAGTATTACAAATGATAAGTGCAAAGAAATAGAAGTGAGCAACAAATGAAGAAAAACAAGATACTTCTTCCAGAAGATCCAAGAAATCAAAAGGAAATTCAGACCTTGCTTAGAAATGCTAAGACCAGGGTACACACTATCTGACCAGGACAAAATGAAGAGAAGAATATACAGAGGAAAAACACAGAAGAGATGAAATGATGGCAGATTCCTTCAAAGAAGAATCCTATGAGAAAGAGCCTGTAATATTGGAAAGTGAAGTGAAAGCTGTTCTAAGAGCATTTGGAAGGAACAAAGCACCCAAAGGCTGCAAAGACTAAATCAGTTCACACCTTGCAAGAATATGTCAACGAATCTGGAAAACAAAACAATGGCCCACAGACTGGAAGTATTCAGTACTTATTCCAATTTCCAAGAAAGGTGTGCAAAAGAGTGCAGCAACCATAGGACCATTGCACCAATTTCCAAAGCAAGCACAGTGATGCTCAAAGCGTTGCAAGAAAGAGCATCACCTTATACGGAGCATGAAGTGACTAGGGCTGAAGCTGGATTCCAAAAGGAAGAGGCACTTAAAATTATATCTCAAATATGTGTTGACTACAGGAGTGCACTAGATGGTGTTTAAAAGCATCTAAACTTGTAGCTGTGGGAAAATGCTGAGGGCTAGGGGCATTGTTTTGGATTGAGACTTTTGCTGCTAACAAGAAGCTTCATTTTGTGGGGAGGGGCTGGCATGCAGTTATTGCCACCAGCTCCAGGTCTTGCAAGTTTGAGAAGGCCTACCTTCAAGGTCACAGCTCATCTATGGCTGAAATTAGCTGCCTGATTTCACCTGGAAGGCAACAAGCATTTTTCTACCCTATCCTCCTCTACTGGAAGACGAAGAATCTGCTTTGGATGTTCACCTTATGTTGGTCAAGGGCTTGTGGGAGGAAACAAGGGGGATTACTACTGCTGGATGGCCTTAATTCAACCTTCACCAGAAAGGTGACCTGATCATCGGTCTTCATCTGTGAACCTGGCATCTTGACGGAGGTCCCATCCTTCTGGAAGACCTTTACCTAGGAGGGGCTAGAGAATAACTTTAGTTTGCAGCATGATTTCCAAGAATGTCTCAATTGTTTAAAAGGAGTGGCCAGGGTTTAAGGCTTTCCTAAGGTGTTTCAGGATTCTGTCTTCTTTTGGCTTTGTGCATCTGCTTATTGCTTTGTTTCCCCTTTCTTACAGTAATTCTGTTTCAAGCACATGCATGTTTTATTTCCAGATCAGCCCTCAGGATGACGTTCAGAGCCTTCCATTTTGGTCTTGCTCCTGTTGAGTGTTCTGGTCTGAGACGCAGGTGGAGGGTGTCAGTTTTGCTCCCTTATCTCCGAAAAGTTCAGAAAGGTCATCCCCCAGCATCCCTGAGGAGTAGGCGCAGTCTGTTGGGTGGCTGGTTTGCTGACTGGCCACACAGCCGGAAGCTGAGAGGTTGGGGGCAACCCTCCCCCACTTCATCCTTTCCCATCCCTACATAGCCATCATCACATTGTATGGCAGAAAATCCCTGGTTGGTTCCAGCATAGCACCAACTAGGCACATTGCATACCTAGAGCATGGAGCCTGGGCCTGAAGGAGACAGGCTCAAATCCCCACGCGGCTATGGAACTTGTAGAGCCCAGGAAGACAGTGCTTTAAATCTCTCCACCTGCTCCCCCTTTTACGCCAGAGGCAGTGAAGGAGGCATGACCTGAATCATGGAAGCCCCCCACTGCCATTGCTTGCACCTCCACACGGATCAGAGGATCTGCATCCATTCTAGAGCAGAAATCAAAAACACCACACATGGGAATGATGGGATACATTAATTTGAAGCAATGTCTATTTTAGGTCTGTGGAGACGAAATTCTGCCTCAGTCGACCACCTTGCAGGAGGGTGGGACACACGATAGCTAGCAAATGAATGCATAAAACAAGGCCACACTCATCTGCGTGCTTCCTGGGAATAACCCAGCAGAGCGCAAGAGGACCTACTTTTGATTCATATGCGTAGGCTTACGCGGCACACAGAGAAAACTTGGAGCCAATAATGGGAATGACAGACACGACATCAGGTGGTCAGAACCTGGGGAACCAGCTTGGCTACGAGAAACAGCACTGGCAGCAGAGGAGCAGCCCGAGCACTGCTGTTGCCAGCCAAATATGAGCAGCCTGGACTTGGAGGAGGCACCTTGCTCACTTGTAGCTGCAACTCTGAGTGGTCCTGGAATCGTAGACTCATGGAAGGGGCCAAGAAGGCCATCAAGTCCAACCCCCTGCTGTCGCAGGACACCATGTTACACCATCCCACCCATATGGCTATCTAGTTTCTTTTTGAGTGCCTCTAGTGTGGGAGAGCCCACCACTTCTCCAGGCAGCTGGTTCCACTGCCGTATTTCTCTGGCAGTGAGGAAGCTTTTCTTGAATCTGGGTTGTCACAACTTGAATTGATTATCTGGTGTCCTACTCTCTGGCATTGGCAAGAAGAGATCTTGACCTTCCTCTTTGAGGTACTTATAGAAGGATATCATGTCCCCCCTCAGGCTTCTTTTCCCAAGGCTGAACATGCCTAGTTCTCTCAGTCTCTCCTCATAGGACAGTGTTTCCAAACCCTGGATCATTTTTGTTGCCCTCCACTGGACTCTTTCTAATTTACCTGCATCTTTCTTAAATCTTGTTGCCCAGAACTGGGCACTGTATTCCAGGTGAGGTCTGACTGGTATATAGGGGAACTATTACTTCTCATGATTTGGAAGTAATACTTCTGTTAATGCATCCCAAAATAGCATTTGCCCTTTTGGTGGCTGCATGGCATTGTTGGCTCATGCTTAGCCTATTGTCCACAATTACTCCAAGATTGTCATCCATGCATTTGCACATTGTGAAGCCCTCTGTTGAAAACCTCTGTCGCTGAGGACCTGGAGGTAGGAACCCTCCACTATCACAGCCCAAGATGGTTCTCACTTCTTCCGTCAATTTCTTGACACTGCTGCACATAATCTCAGAACTGAAGAAAACCCTCTATGATCATTAGAGACTGAAATGAGGATGCTGGGTGAGTTTATGTGTAAATACACAAATGACCACTTGAAGAACTGCAGTTACAGGTAAGTAACCCATCTTTCTTTTTCCTCTGGCCTCTGGGCCTCACCTACATGGGTGAGTAGCAAGCTGACTTACCAAAGGTGGGTTGGTGTTACTGCTGAAGCACCACCAAAAGGACTGCATGGCCAAAGAAGCATTCAGCTCCAGCCCTGGCAACCAGTTTGTAGTGCCTGATGAAAGTTGGTGTCTCAATGCAACACAGTTCTGGAAGTGGAAGACCTTTTCCAAACATCAGTGATGTAGCCACTGCCTGGACAGAATGGGGTCAGAAAGGACCCAAGGGCTGGAGACATGGTCGCTCAGAGGGCAGTTCAGCATGCCCCAAGGAGAGAACTTCAGGATGGCGGCAGCCAGCCCTTTCATGGGCCTTCGTAGCAAAAGAACGGGTGGTGTGATTTATGAAATTGTACAAGATTTGTACAATACCAATTCACAGTGGACATCCAAGCAATAAAGAGTAGATTTTACCTTTGAGGAAGGTGAAGGAAAGAAAGCTGGCATAATGATATCCTGATTTAAGAGATTATTTTAAGAAAAAAGGCAACATTGGGTCAGAGTACCACCTGATGAATAAGAATGTCAGGTAAAGCAGATCTATCTGCAATGAGCAAAGTTCACTTAACCCAGTTGCAGAAGACTGCCTTAGCTGTCTTCCGGGAAAGTCATGTAAGAGCAATAGTGGCTAGTGCTCCGAATGACTTTTTTTTTCCAATTTATATCCTGTCTTTTTCCCACAAAGGGCTCAAGGCAGCTTGCATCTCCTCCTCGCCCACAACAACAACCCTGTGAGGTAGGTTGGGCTGAGAGTCTGTGACTGGCCCAAAGTCACCCAGTTGGCTCCATGGCCGAGTGGGGACTTGAACCTGGATCACCTAAGTCCCAGTCCCGTGCTCTTAACCACTACACCACACTGGCTCTCATGCTTGGCAGTCAAGCATGCAGATAAGCTCCATGCCTTGGCCAGTTCTTGAACTGGAGCGGCTACTTCATTAGGGTCTTTACCTTTCACATGCAGGCACAGAACTGAGACTGATGCTAAGTGGGAAAATAGATGAACAGGGAGAACTCATAGCTATGGACACTGCTCTGGATTGAACCCATGAAGAGTCACAAAACTGTAGGAGGAGACCCATTTGTAAGCATGCTGGTCCTGGTTTGCCAGCTTGCATCATGTAACCTCCAAACAGTCTCTGGAATCCAAACAGGAGTATTTACCAAATCCTCCATGCTGTCATGGGAAAACTTGGCCTGGTATTGGGAGGTATGGAATCTACAGCAAGTGAACATACTCCCCAGCGCAGTTAAAGAAGTTTAAAAGGGTACCGGCAGGAAGAGGACAATTCATCTACTTGCTAAGATATTGGTAAGGAAAGAAAAAGGTAGGAAAGCACAGAAAATGATAAAGGGACGCACCCCCTAGACTCAATCCCTGCCTTGCTGTGGAAAAAAACAGTATCTGCTGCCTCTGCTTGAGCAAACAAGTCTATCTATCTGTGTCCCCTTGAGGTCATCAAATACTGTAATTTCAGCTGAAGTCACGCACAAGGAGCTTGTCCACCCCTGCCAAGGGAACCTCCATTGGACCAATATGACAAGGCCCGCCCAGTGATAGAACCTGAGCATGAGATAGTGGAGAGGGCAGAATCACATGCCACTGGCTCCAAACCAGGATGGCTGGCTATGTCAGGACTGGCCATCAGCTTGGGGTCCTTGCTTCCAGGATGAGCACATGTGTCATCCCAAGATCACAAAATGCCAAACTTGCATAAAAAAGCAAGCCAATAGAAATAAAAGCAGACAGGAAGAAACAGTAAGAAAGGAAGCTACAATAAATCTCAGTGCATAAAGGAAGGATAAAACAAGGGAGAAAGTTGTCTGTGAAGCTGCCACAGTGGAACTGAAAAGAGAACTGAGGGACTCAGAGGGAAGCTGCTTGTGACGGGTGCACTGGGGGTGGAGGGGTTCCCACTATACAAGAGACGGCGAAGGGGAGCATCATCGTGACATACCTGCTGTCGGGTCCCATGCGCGTTCCATCCACCCATGTCCAGTCACTTTCAAGCACCTGGTCAATAAGGCCAATCCAACAGGAACGCGTTTGAGAGAGGGCTGCAATGTGATCCTGAGCCAGGCAAAATTAATTTCAAAAGAGCAGCTGTTTTAGTCTGTTCCAGTGAAAAAGGCAAAGGCACTTCAGAAACTAACACAGTCTGTTTTTTATTTGTTAAATATTTATATTTATTTTTAATTGAATTTATAATCCACTCAACCGGTAGTCCAGCAGGACTCTCTATGTGGATTTGCAGCACACATGAAAACAAAACAAGCAGTGGCAATAAAAAAATTATACACAACATAATCAACAATAAACAAGCATCATGATAAACACAAACCATGACTATCTGTAATTAATGTGTGGTAACATATATAACATACAATATACAGCTGAGAGTTTAACCTGAGACTTAAAAATTACAAGATGAAATCTAAAACACACCAACATTTAATTCCAAGTAAAAATTAATAAATTATACAGAACTAAAACTAATGATTAAAAAAAATCCGGAGAATAAAATTGTTTTCACCTGGCGCTGAAAGGTTTGCAAAGAAGGTACCAGGAGAGCTGCTGTTGGCAGGGTGTTCCATAAATGGGGTGCAGCCACTGAGAAACCCCTCTTCTGCTTGCCATCCTCCTTGCCTCCTTGGGGGATGGCTCCTTCAGAAGGGCCTTAAAACCCAATCTTAGGGGTCAGGTTGGTACATATGGGAGCAGGCAGTCCTTCAAGGATCCTGATCCCCAGCCATTTAGCATCTTATAAGTTAGAACAAGCACCTTGAATTGGGGTTGCCACCTTCAAATGGCAACCAGTGAAGCGGATATAATATTGGGGTGATGTGGGCATGCAGACTCGCTCGCATCAGCAGTCGTGCTGCTTTGCTTTGCACCAGTTGAAGTTTCTGGACTGTCTTCGAGGGCAGTCCCAGGGGAAGCCCATTACAATAGTCCAATCAAGAGGTTACCAAAGCATGGATGACTGTGGCAAGGCTCTGTCTATCCAGGTAGGGCCGAAGTTGGTAAATAAATTGTAGTTGAAAGAAGGTGCTCCTGGCCACAAAGTCCACCTGAGACTCATGTGATAATTGTGGGTCCAGGAGCACCCCCCAAGCTATGGACTCTGCCCTTCAGGAGGAGTGTGACCCCCCCCCCTTCCAGGACAGGCCCCCTATGGGCAACAGCTCTTCCATCTTATCTGGATTGAGTTTCAACTTATTAGCCCTCATCCAGTCCATTATTAAGCTCAGGCAGTGATTCAGAATGGAAATCACTTCACCTGGGATGAAAATGAGATGTAGAGCTGGGTGTCATCAGCCTACTGATGTCACCTCAGTCCCCACCTCTGAATGACCTCACCCAGCAGTTGCATGTACATGTTAAACAGCATGGGGGACAGTACAGAGCCCTGAGGAACCCCATAGCGCAACCACTATGGGGCAGAGCAACCATCCCCCAGCACCGTCTTCTGGACAACTCCCAGCCAAGCCAACCTGTCCAGAAGGACTCCTTGGTCAATGCTGCTGAAACCTGCCAAAAGGTCTCGGAGAACCAACAGGGTTGCACTCCCTCTTTCCCTCTCCCCAGCAAAGGTCATCCCACAGAGCAACCAACATTGTCTCTGTCCTGAACCCTGGCCTAAAATCCAATTGAAAAGGATCTAGATCGTCTGTTTCATCCAAGAGTAGCTGGAACTGCATGGCCACCACCCATAAAGCACCTTGCCCAAAAATGGGATGTTCACAACTGAATCTTTTGTAACCACCAGGACTTGGACTTCAATAATATAGCAGTGGAATCTGGTGAGGCATCCAGAATGCAGTCTGGTGTAGCTGTTTTGGATTAGTTTCAGTTAGTACAGCTGGAGAATGTTGACAAAGTGCTTGGACAGGTTCATGCAACTATATCTGTAGTGGAGCCTTGCCTCTCTTGGTTAATAAAAGCCAGTAGGGAGGGAAGTGATTAATACTTCTTTCTGAGCAAGAGTGGCCCCTGGCAACCTGAGACAAGGGGTGGTGAGACCACTCCTGAAGAAACCCTCCCTGGACTCAGAAGAACTCAACAGTTTTAGGCCAGTGGCAAACATCCCCATCCTGGGCAAGGTTCTTGAGCAGGTGGTGGCCAACCAGCTCCAGGCACTCTTGGATGAGATTTTCAGGAGCCATTTCAGCTAAAGTTCAGGCCTGGTTTTGGCACGGAGACAGCTTTTTCTGCCCTGTATGATGACCTATGCTGGGAGAAAGACGGAAAGAATGTGATCCTGTTGGTTGTCCTGGACCTCTCAGCAGCGTTTGATACCTGCAGCTGTGGTATCCTTCTGGGGTGTGAGAGGCACTGTATTGCAGGGATTCCACTCCTGCTTGGATGGTAGGCTCCAGAAGGTTGTGCTTGGGGGATATTGCTCTAACCCCCCCCCCCCCTGGATCCTCCAGTATGGGGTTCCTCAGGGGTCAGTCTTGTCCCCCATGTTATTTAACATCTACATGAAACTTCTGGGTGATGTTATCCGGAATTTTGGAATGTGTTGTCATCAATATGCTGATGACACACAACTCTATCTCTCTATCTCACCTCCACAGCAGGCGAGGCTGTGGATGCGCTGAGCCGGTGCCTGGCTGCAACAGTGGACTGGATGAGGGCTAACAAACTGAAGCTCAGTCCAGACAAGACTGAGATGCTGTTGGTGGGTGGTTCTTCTGACCAGGTGGAGGGAATTCGACTTGTTCTAGATGGGGTTGCACTCTCCTTGAAGGAGCAGAATTGCAGCTTGTGGGTGCTTCTTGAGCGTCTTTGTTACTGGAGGCCCAGGTGGCTTCGGTGGCTAGGAGTGCCTTACACCAGCTTTGGCTGGTGACTCAGCTATGCCCCTATCTGGACAGATAGCTTGTTATGAGTGATCTATGCTCTGGTAATCTGTAAGTTAGACTACTGCAATGCACTCTACATGGGGCTGTCCTTGAAGGCTGTTCAGGAGCTGAAGCATGTGCAAAATGCAGCAGCCAGGTTAATAATAAAGATCAGATGGTCTGATCATTTAATACCAATTCTGGCCTGCTTGCACTGGCTGTCTGTATGCTCTTGAGCCCAATTCAAGGTGTTGCTTTTGACCTTTAAAGCCTTATACAGCTTGGGACCGTGATTCCAGACAGAACGCCTCTCCTGACGGCTGTCTACCCGGATGCTACAATAACTTTCTGGGACCTTTCTCTGCCATCTTTGAGGGAGGCTTGGATAGTGGCAATAAGGAGAAGAGCCTTTTCAGTGGTGGCCACCCAGTGATGGAATGAGCTCTCCACTGAGGCCCACCTGACACCAACTTTACTATCTTCTCGGCACCAGGTAAAGACTGTCCTCTGTTGCAGGGAATTTAATTAGTTGCTGGGGCCTGCTTGTTGTTAGTCAGGATTTCATAGGGTCTTCTCAATGTATAATTTTGTTTTTTCTATTTGAACTTTGGCTTTAAATTTTGTATTGCTGATTTTTATGAAGATTAAATATGTTTTAATGGTATATTTTCTATTGTGTTTTAATATGTTGTTGCAACCCCCCCAGAGAGCTTCAGTACTGGGTACTATTGAAATTAAATAAACAAACAAACATTCCCCTCCCATTGCTCCCAGTGGTGACCAATAAGCTATGCTCACTCCAGAGCTGATGTCCCCTTTCCCCTGTTCCTGTGGGGATAGGAGCAATGTCCCAGTTCTTCACTCTGCTCTCGCAAGACCTCCTTTTTGCTGCCTCTACCATTAGAGTTCTGATGTGAGAGGAAGCAAGGTATATAATGCAACTAGCTTTGGAAACAGCTAAAATTCCCACAGAAAGCATTTCATTCTTAATATTTTCTGTCTTAAACTCATTTTCCACTTCCAACAAACAGAAGCATTCCAGGTGAGAGAGAAGCACTCCTCTACCATGGCCAAGTATCTTGCAATAACAAGCCCTGAACTACAATGTGGACTTTGGACTCACCTGGGAGTCACATAAATTGTAGCAGAGCCATCGACCCAGCTCTGGACACAAATACAGGAGAGATCGCTTGGGCAGTTGTCAACTGTGACCCCCTGTAAGAGTCCCTCTGGGGAGGGCAGTGGGCAGCACTTAAGACCTCAACCGTCTACTGTATTTGGAGGCCCTCCTGATCCTCTGGGCCTACTGGGCTTCCACCTCAAGGTTCTGCCTTGGCAGCGCCACTGCCATGATTCTCTAGAGCAGCCCAGCATTACTGGCAAGGAGCAATGCCCGTATGCTCAGAGGCTACTTTATTCCCAAGAGAGCAATGTGAGGGCCAGCAGTGTATCTGTGGAGGACTGCGAGGGCCAGGCTGTGGGGGTCTGACTGCTCTGGCTTTACCCACCTTTTCCTTTGCACTGTTGATCACCAGCAGGTGAGACCCCATGGAGGTGCATGACTGGTTGGCCACATCCCAGGGTCCTGGAGAGTGTGAGAGGAAGTAATAGCTGCCCTGGAAAGACGTCCAGTCCCTGACAAAGGGGGGGCAAGCTGCAATAAAGAGAGAAAACCCGGTCACCTCCTTAGTGCTGATTCAGACTTAACATTTACTTGTTTTTTGCAGCAGTAGGGAAAGTCATGTGCAAACTGTCCTTATTAGCTGGAATACCAGATCCAGTCAGGAATAGCCTATCTCTGCCACTAGGCAAAACAGTGTCCCCCTCTCTTCCCCACATGGATGCACAGCAACCACCAATGAAGAATTTGGCCAAGGCGGTGCCGGCGGGGGGGGGGGGGGGGGGGGCGCACAGGGGGGGGCAGGGGGGCACAGGGAGCGAGGTGCCGGCTTGCTCATGAGGAGATCATTTTCTCTGGGTCCAAACGACCCCCTCGCGAGCGAGCTGCACACGCACCCAGTAGTGCAAAACCTGTGGGGCGGGCCGGTTAAAAGGGCATGGTGGACTGGATCCAGACCGCGGGCCTTAGTTTGAGGATCCACACTCCAGGGTTTTGCTTTATTTGTGAAGAAGTGACACAATTGTGCAACAGGTTAAGTTGGGTATCTATAAGCTTGTAGTGCTGTGATATACCACAACTTTCAACCCTAAGAGCCTCCTTTCATTTTAATGTGTATCTCCTAGGAAGTCCACATAAACTTTATTCTGGAAAGGACGTACAGTAAGCAGTGTGCAAGCACAACTTATGATAAGTAACAAAACCTCCATACATTGCTGGGTCTCACTGTTACAGACGCTATTGCGGGTCTGGTAGACGAGCCAGCGACTCCAAAGTCCCTTGCCACTGTATAGCATCACCACATCTTGGGCACTGTTGCCATAGTTGAAATACAGATCCTTGCCCTCAAGGGCCAACAGATTGTCCTCACGACACTCCCAGTGTTGAAGGGAGCTCCGTGCATAGCAGGGCTTCAGGTGGAGAGCTGTTTTGCTTTTTGCCCCACTGGCTGCCACACAGAGCTGCGAGGCCACATGACGGAGGAGGCCCCCAGAGAGCCACTGAAAATGCTGCGCTTGAACCCGAGGGTCACAGGGAGCACCTTTGAGGAACTTGGACTCTTGCGCAGTAGCCACACAAATGTTGAGATTCTCATTGTATAGCAAGAAGGAGCTCAGGTCTGGAATGTTGAACACAAGGCCACAGGAGCCAGGAGGAGCCATTGAGGGGAGGGGCAAGAGAGGTGGAGGGGAAGAGAAAGAGAGAGGAACTTAATTTGTGCCCACCACCTCCGAACAAGAAGGACCACAAGTGCAAGGTTGTCTAGACTGAGGTCACCATGGAAGATTATTCTGAAGAGCAACATTAATTTTTGATAATATTTGTACAGAGGTTCTGTGATTGCCAATTCTGTCTTACTGGGATTTCCAGTCACAGAACCTCAGAGGAACATGTTTACAGAGCCCTCTCTTCATGCTGTCTCCTTGCATGGCCCGGACTGGGGATGTAGTTTATGTGCAGGCCCACACCCCTCTACCTGGTTTAGCCCTACACACAAGCAGGCAGGCACCTGAATAAGGCTAATATTCTGCAAGTATTCAGACTGTCAGCAAATACCTGCTCAATATTCAACATGAGAAATGGCAGAGGAAGTATTCTGAGAAAGAAACTCTTTTCAGTTACATTCAGTGCTTTTTTTGTAAAAAAAAAAAAAAAAAGGTGCCAGAACTCACGTCGCCGGCAGTAAGCGCACGATCACACACACCAATCGCAAGCAGAGCAGCGGAGCAGCGTCCCAAGCTGAGAGCAGCGCCCTCACTAGCTCACTATCAGAGAGCAGATAGCAGACACAAAAGCAGCCTGCAGGCACTATGTTAATGATGTTTGCTGCTGATCTGCTACGATTCAAAATCACTTCGTAAAATCCATTGGAAAAAAAGGTGCTGGAACACTGTTCCAGTGTGTTCTATGACAAAAAAAGCCCTGGTTATATTCATATCCATCAAGCTGATCTGGAGGAAAGGCTTGCAAAACTGTTGGTAGCTTGCTAGAGTAGCATTCTTCCTTCATGTCCTGTTCCTTTCTGAGGTTATGTGATTTGAATGATTGAATGTGCATAACAATCAGCACATTTACCACACTACAAGGAGGACAGTGCATAAATCTCCATCAGCGGGGGCGGGGGGGGAGGATTTGGATATCTCAATCACTTACGTACATTCTTCAGTGCTTGAGGCAACACACATACTCCAACTGCATTTTGTACGTTCTCTGAGCTTTACACCTATTCCTTGGGTGATACAAATAGTCTCCAGAGGTTGAGATCTGTGCATATCTGTACAGGCAATAGGCATATTCTCAAAGACTATGCCTCACGGTGCCTGTTATGATTTGGGTACCTGCCTAAGCCTTTCCTGTTTTTATGTAACCTCGGAGAAGTGTGTTGTAACAAATTGTTGAAGTGGACAGTGTTTCATTTGGGTGAAAGTAAACCTAGGTCTTTTGCAAGATAACATGTTCCATCTCACCCTTCAAACGTTCCGTCATTTCCTTCGCCAGCAGTAAGACTTCACGACCTTTCCCGACCACGGAGAACTCCCAGTCCTCATGGGGCTGCATTGTGACTCCTGTCCCAGAAAGGCCTTTCCAAAAGGCTGGGTGGCAAAGTGGGTGTCGTTGCCTCTGGAGACCTGCCTTTGCTTCGACCACCCCTGAGGATACCGTCGCCTGCCACCCATACCAGGTGCGCATCCTTCGGTGCGATGGACACATGGGGTTCTGGGCCAGTGTGCGCTTGGTGGGTGCAGGCTGGGGAGGTAAGCGAGGCTAATGCGCCGCACACTGATGAGGACCGTAGAACATAAGACTCATCTGCAGAACAGCGCAGAGCCTGGACCCGCCTAATCAACACAGTCTTCTTGTAGAGAAGTCTGGGCACTGAAGTGCTCTGAAAGGCAGAGGATTTTCCAGAACCTACATGACGTAGGTTCCCAGGATTCCAGGAAGAATTCCATGGGGCTATTTTAGTACATGAGGTAGAAAATCCCATAGTTGCCTGTTCTCCCATGGCAGCGGGAATGCAACAATGATGCGGTCAGTAACCAGCGCTGGCTACCCTTTACAGTGCCCACAACCTGCTGCTCAAGGCGACTGCCTCGCACTGCCTCATGGTAGGGCTGGCCCCACAGCAGGTTGTCCTCCTTCAGCACCAAAGACGCTCACCAGGCTGGCTGTTCTCAGAATACATTTGCCCCAGAGGTGCAGCCTTTTAGAATCTGTATAAGCACAGAGAGATAATGTGATGCTAGGCAGCTTTTCTTATATTTATATTATATTATATTATATTATATTATATTATATTATTATATTCTCACATACATATTCTCAGTCATCACACCTCACCTTTGGAATTCTCTTCCCAGGGAGGTGTCACTGGCACCCACTTTATCTTGCTTTCGGCACCAAGTCAACACTTTGTTGTATAGCATCTGTTTTTAGATTGGATTATTGGTTTGCTGCTGGTTTATTGTTATATTGTTTATTGTTACTGGGCATATTGTGTTTCTGTTCCTCCTCTTTCCTATTTATATGGTTGCATTTATTTTGTATTTTAATTTTATTATGTCTTATAATCTTACTATCTCTTATGACTTATGGTTTGTTGTTATTTATTTTTATCTGTATTTTAAATATTGCACTGTGAGCCGCCCAGAGAGCCTTTGGTGGCATACAAATGTGTGTGTGTGTGTGTGTGTGTGTGTGTGTGTGTGTGTGTGTGTGTGAGAGAGAGAGAGAGAGAGAGAGAGAGAGAGAGAGAGAGAGAGAGAGAGAGAGAGAGAGAGAGAGGTAAACACAAACACCCCTCAGAAAGAATTGCAGATTGAAGGATGGGCATTGGAGGATGGAGACTGAAGGATGGGCTATCTACACAGCAGCATTTGCTAAAAAGCACTAAAGAAAGGGGCTGCCTATCGCTGCCTTGTAATGTGGGGTGAGGGAGAGTCATCTCCATGCCTGATTCACCAGGTGAAAAGTCCGTATACATATGAAAGTGTAAATCATTGTAGTGATCCATCTTTCTTTTGGGAAAAACAGATTAAATCAAGGTAAGCAAAGCTACAGCTCATCCCAAGATTCAGTGCTGCTACTGGGGACAGGTGCCGACTCACAGCAATAAGCATGCTTCAGTGTGTTGTACAGACTCCAATGCACTTGGAATGATGGCAGGAAATAACCAACAGTGACAAGTCCATTGCAAGTTAGAGGCCCTGGGGGAAGAGCGCAGCCAGAGAGGAAAATGCATTAGCTACTGTGCAGACATGATAGTGCAGAGACGATGCCTCAGCCATGCATAAAGCAGGTCCTCGTGTCTAGAACCATGGTATTCATTTGAATTCTGTTGCGCAACTCCCCCCACCTGAGTATCTGGAAAACATGCAGCACTTGGAGCCATCGTCCCTTTGGCCAAATCAACCCACCCAGACCGCCTTCATGGCACATGTTACGGAAAGGGATCTCCCTAACAGTGGGTCCTCCTGCTGTTCCCTCTAGGTCAGTCTGGTTTGAAGGGAAGAAGATGGGGTGCTCCACTTCAGGGAACATAGGAAGTTGCCTTACACTGCGTCAGCTTTTGCTCCTCTTGCTCAATTGTATTTGCATGGGCAGGTAGCGGCCCTTCAGGGTTTCATCCAGGGGTGTGTCCCAGCCCCAGGTCATTCTGCTTGCTTGCAGGTCCCTTACCACTGTGGGACAACCCTGCATCTAGGGCTGGACTCAGATTTAGTCATACTTAGCACAGACTCACTGGACTTAGTGGAAATGCATTTAGAAACATAGAAACAGAGAGAGTCAGAAGGGGTCTCCCGGGCCATCTAGTCTGACCCCCGGCTCCAGCCGGCTCCCCTCACGACATGCCCACCATGTGCATGTCTAGCCTATCCTTGAACACCCGCACCGATGGGGCCTCAATGACCTCTCGTGGAAGCCCATTTAACATTGACTCAAACTGCACCGTTAGAGGAGAAAAAAGAAGACACTAAAACATCAGCATTTCTGAATAAGTCCTGGTTTTACCTGATCACAGCCTCGCTTAGCCCAGGATGAGAGAGTTGCATGTACCTGCGGGAGAGGAAGTGGGACTCTGCCTGCTCAATGGAGACTTGCAGGGCACGGTTCCCAGGGCCAGCAGCAACACGTTGAGGGACACCGATGCAGCCAGCAGAGCAGCAGCAGCTATGATCACCACCGTGCGTGTGCAAGGGGGCTTCCCGGCTGGGAAGAGAAGAGAGTCATTCTCCCTGTTCCTGTTCCCCCAGCCCTGTAGCGGCTGCCACCCCCATCCTAGTGGCACCATCTGTGCATATGTTTCAACTCTGTTAATGGCTGCTTTCCAGCTTTATGCATTAACAAAACACAACAAATGAAGATCTTGAGGTTGTTGGCTGGAAAGAACATTTGTGAGGCCTGCTTAGCAACAGGGCTATAGGATTATCCATGCATAGCTTGCTGATATAATCCTTCCTCAGGCCTCTTGCTGATGGTCAGCTACCTAAGAAATGGCCCGTAGACAATGTGTGTGTGAGAACCCTGTAGCAACTTCAGATCCACCAAAAGATCAGCTCCCATATACCTGAAGACCACAATGCAGACACCTGCTGTGTTTGCATCCCTTCCACACTGGGGGCAGGATCAGCAGTCTCATAGACACCCTCCTCTTCTGGCTTCTCCTTGGTGCCTGCTGGGAGGAAAGGAGGATGAGGAAGGTGGCTTGGACTGTGTTTGTGGGCTGGGTGGGGAGTTACTGGTATCGTCGTGTGAGTGTCTCCATGCACAAGGGTTCTGGGGCTTTCAAGCTGAAGTGCAGTGGCATCGGTGCAGAGCAGAGCAAGGCTTCGCTCCATCTCCAGGCTTCACTCAACACGATCTGTTCTAGGTGAGGAATCCCTCTTTCCCAGCGCATCCTGTTTGTAGCAGGCCTGTAGATGTGCTGCCTGCCATCTGGGTGCCGCTGGCACAGATTAGGATGGGGTGATTGAAAATACCGTTTCATTTTGAAATGATTTTTATTTATAACCCATTCTTCAGTGCTCCTATACTCAGGGTACCTCACATGGCAAGAACATAACCAATGCATAGCGGAGGAAACATTTGATACAGGGGCAGTATTCCTGATCGGAAGCTGTGCACCTGCTCCCCTGCTGACTCTAGTAGATGGTGATTTTAGTATTGATTACATGTACGCATACCCTGCTTCCTTTTCCTTGCATGAGGAACCCATGGTGGCATATACATATAAAGGTAAAGGTTTTCCCTTGACGTTACGTCCAGTCATGCCTGACTCTAGGGGGCAGTGCTCATCTCCGTTTCCTAGCCGAGGGAGCCGGCGTTTGTCCGCAGACAGTCTCCGTGGTCATGTGGCCGGCATGACTAAACACCGAAGTGCACAGAACGCTGTTACCTGCCCATCGAAGTGGTACCTTTTATCTACTTGCATTTGCATGCTTTCGAACTGCAAGGTTGGCAGGAGCTGGGACGGAGCAACGGGAACTCACCCCGTTGTGTAGATTCGAACCGGCGACCTTTCGATCTACCAGCCCAGCAGCATAGCGGTTTAAACCACTGCTCCACCTGCAGTCCCGGTGGCATATATAAACCACCTCTAAACACAACAACCCTGTGAGGTAGGTTAAGTTGATAGTCACTGACTGGCCCAAATGGCTGACTGCAGACTAGAGCCCGGGTCACTGGAGCTGGAGTCCCAGCCCAACATTGCTTCAGGCTTTCCTGTGCAAATAAACCTTGCTGGGGTGACTGGCTGAGAAGCCCTTTCCATGTGAATTTCCCTTTCAGGCATTCTTTGCTGCAATCCATCCTTGTGGAGGGGTGGGAAGCTACAATGGAGGGGAATCACCCACCATCTGGCTCTTTGTGGGCCTGATGATAGCAGGAAAATATCGCCTGGATACCCAAGACCCCTGGAATCATGTGGGTACTTCTGGAGCGTGCCCTACGCTTTCCCTGCCTGGGGATGAGATTGCGGGGGGGGGGGGGTGATGCGTTTAGCAAGATTTCAGCCTCCCGGTTGGAGGAGGCTGCTAAGAGAACTCCCAGCGCTCTCTGCTAGAGAGGTAACTGGGATACCTTCACCCTGAAGGAGGGGGCCTTCAGACCAACAGAGCCTAGTTAGTCTGTGATGGATCAGAAGCTCCCCATCCAAGTCCTAATTTGATATGGCTTCAGCTGGCTTCAGGATGGGACTCTAAGAGGGGAGGCCACCAGCCGGAGATTACCAGGACTCCAGGCCACTGACCCCTCCAGTATCAGCTCACACTACCGGGGGATGGGTCTATAAGGCAGTCAAGCTGGGGTGGGAAGGGGAAGGCAAAATAGTGGTGGGTCACATAGGATGCCAAGCAGGAGGGGTGGACTAAAATGGCTGGTTGACCCATTCAGGAGCCAGACTGGTGGCCTGCACAGCACTCCTCCTGACTCACCTGGGCCTAAGTGGTGGAGACCCTCCTCATCTTTTGTGGTGCAGGATCGCTCCCTGCATGTGGGGCGATCCTGCAGGGAACCAAGCTGCTGCACTTGGTTAGGGGTATCTCTATAATCCAGAAGATCCTGGTGTCTGTTCCCAAGCATCAAGTGGGGTGAAACACATGCCCTGTGATGTAGGCAGTCCTTGGCCACTGCTGGTTGCTCAGTTGCTCTGGGATGCTTACATGTGGGGTTGAGTGTTGCAAGTGCCTCTTCCTTTTCCTCTGCTACGATCACAGCATGCAAGTAGACCATTTCTCCCCATTTCCCTTCATGGACTCAAACTCACATCTCCTGCTCCCCAAATCTTTGCAACTTTCTGTTTGAAATTTCATAACTTTCATCCCCCCAGTAGAAATAACACCCCAAAATTCTTCCAGTTCTGTCAAGAAATAAAAAATATAGGTGTCCCCTTAACAACAACAAAATATGAAAAGTACCACGCACAGATTCCCGAACCAGTTTGTCCATAGTTTCACCGCCTTTGCTCACTCAGAAGGGGCTGCTAAAGCTGTGGATTTCATCAGTCCGTCAAAAGGTAAGTAAAACTACTCGTTCATTTTTCTGTGACAGCCAATGGGGAGAAATACAAGACTGGATTCACACGTCACAGCAGGCAGTCCTGCATGCTCACTATGGTTAGCAATTTTTTACCTCAATGTGCCTGAGCAGCCTTATGCTGAGAACTCTCCTCCCTCCTGGATCTCCATCGTTCTCAGTCCTTCAGGCAGTACTCAGAAGACGCCATGGGGAGGAATGCAATGCCTCTATTGGACAGCCACAGTTGCAAGCCCAGTTCAGCTCGCTACACCTGTCAAGCAGTCTCTGCTGTGCAAACAGGGCTCATGGTCTGAGGTGCAACAGAAAGGACGAGGACACGACCTTCAAAAAGCAACTTGCCAGTGTTTCCAAGAAGAACAACGTAGCCATCACAGGGGACTTCAGTTTCCCTGATATATGCTGGGAGAGAATTTCTGTCAAACTGGGTCCCTCCAAGAGGTTCCAGACATGTGTTGCCAACAACCTCCTCCAGGAGGAGGAAGGAACAAGAGGATCAGCTATTCTTGATGTAATACTAACAGGGATGGCCTGATGGGCAAAACAGCAGCCATGGGAACTCTGGGGGAAAGTGACCACGCAATAGCTGAACTCTCAATTATAAAGAAGACACAGGTTAACTGCAGCCAAACACATACCCTGGATTTCAAGAAAGCCAGCTTTAACGAACTCAGAAAAATGATAAGTGAAGTGCATGGCAATACACCCTTAAGGGAAAAGGCGTTCAAGAGGGGTGGGAAATCTTGAAAGAAAAAAAGGTTCCCCAAGCACAATTACGAACAATTCCAATAAGAAAAAGGCATAGAAGACAACAGAGGAAGTCCACATGGCTCCACAAAAGTTCAGTAACATCCTGCAAGAAAAGAAGACATGTACAGGAGGTGGAAGCAGGGCCAGGCCACAAAGCAAGAATATAAACAAGTAGCAAGCAATTGCAGGGATGGCATCGGGAAAGCTAAAGGGGGAAACGAACTGAGAATAGCAAGGGATACTAACCACAAGAAAGTCTTCTTCAGATACATCCAGAACAAACGATATATGAAAGAAAAAGGTGTCCAGCTACTTAAGTGGATGGCAGAGTGCTATTGGATGACAAGGAAAAGATGGAGGCACTCAGTTCCTACCTCACCTCAATCTCCTCCCACAAGAAAACCTACAATCAAGAAGTTCAAGCCAAAAGTGACAGATGGCAGCCCAAGACTGACAGTAAAATGGTCAAGGAATATCTAGATGGAATAAACATGTTCAAATCTCCAGGGTCCAATGAACTCCATTCCAGAGTCATAAAAGAGCTAGCGGAGGAACTCTCAGAGCCACTGGCTGTTATCTTCGATAAATCTTGGCAAACAGGAGAAGTGCCAGATGACTGGAGAAGGGCTAATGTTGTCCCTATCTTCAAAAAAGGGAAAAGGATGAACCTGGGAACTACAGTCCAGTTAGTCTGACATCAACCCCTGGAAAAATTCTGGAGCAAAGTATTAAAAAATCCATCTGCAAGGATCTTGAAGAAAATGCAGTGATTAATGGAAGCCAGCATGGATTTATCAAAAATAAATCCTGTCAGATTAATTTAATCTAATTTTTGACTGGGTAACCTCCCAGCTGAACAGAGGGACATAATCTATCTTGACTGTGGACATAATCTAGCTTGGCTTTAGCTAAACTTTTGACATAGTGCCACATGACATTCTGATCAGAAAATTAGCAAAAGGTGGACTAGAAAGAAACCTTTTAGGTGGATACAAAATTGGCTGCTAAATCAGACACAAAGAATGCTCATCAATGGCACCTTCTCAAACTGGGGCAAGTGGGGTGCTGCAGGGTGCCGTCCTGGGCTCAGTGCTCTTCAACATCTTCATTAATGATATGGATGGGGAAGTACAGGGAAAGATAATCAGACCTGCAGATGATACAAAACTGGGTGGAATAGCCAACACCCTACAAGATAGAAAGATCCAGGGTAATCTTGATGAACACTGGGCCGAAAGCAACAGAATGAGATTCGATAAGGACAAGTGCCAAGTCCTCTAGCTAGGAAAAAGATGCCAAATGCATTGATACAAGATGGGGATTACATGGCTCAACAGAACTGAAAAAGAAAAAGATCTTGGAGTAGTTGTGGACAATAGGCTAAACATGAGCCAAGAGTGCGATGCAGTCAACAAAAGGCAAACGCTATTTTGGGATGCATTAACAGAAGTATTACTTCCAAATCACGAGAAGCAGTCATTTCTCTATACTGCTCACTAGTCAGACCTCACCTGGAATATTGTGCCCAGTTCTGGGCAACAAGATTTAAGAAAGATGCAGGTAAATTAGAAAGGGTCCAGCAAAGTGCAACAAAAATGATCCATGGTTTGGAAACACTGCCCTATGAGGATAGACTGAGGGAACTGGGCATGTTCAGCCTTGAGAAGAGAAGACTGAGGGGGGACATGATATCCCTCTACAAGTACCTCAGAGGCTGTCACAAAGAGGAAGGTCAAGATCTCTTCTTGCTAATGCCAGAGTGTAGAATATGGAATAATCAATTCAAGTTGTGGCAATCCAGATTCAGACTGGACATCAGGAAGAGTTTCCTCACTGTCAGAGCAATACAACAGTGGAACCAGCTGCCTGGAGAGGTGGTGGGCTCTCCCACACTAGAGACATTCAGAAAGAAACTGGACAGCCATCTGCGTGGGATGGTGTAACTTGGTGTCCTGCCAGAGCAGGGGTTTGGACTGGATGGCCTTCATGGTCCCTTCCAACTCTTCTATTCTGTGATTTTAAGGGAGCTGACCAGACCCCCTTTCTTCCTGCTCCAGAGGGACTGCTACTACTGAAGGGGATGCTGGATCAATGCTCAGCCTGAAAAAGGGGGAAATAAGCTGGGGTAGGTGCTGCAGAATGGAGTAGTGCCATTCAGCTGATCCCCCCTCCACCACTGCAACCACACCTGAGAGAAGCCGAAGGGATAAGTTAGGTGGCACCTGGTTAGGGGCTTCACCGCTTGGCTGATTCCCCCTCCTTTCTTATTCCTGCATAGTGGGTGCTGGATTGCAGACACTTCCCTGGCAATTGGAGTGAAAACAGGGAATAGAGGGAAATTCGTCTGAGTGGCAGTGAATACTCTTGCCCAACAGCCTCTGGTTCTGGCCTTTGTATCACAATGGCTGCATTTTTCAGGTTTGGATGACACCATAAGCCGTTTTGGTAAAAAGAAAACGTAGGACAGACCATTGCTTTGGTTCATGGTTTCTAAAGATTTAAATGTCCTGTTTGGATGACCTGACATACCAACAATAGTAATAAAAAAAACAAAACAAAAAACCCATGGTGGCTTGTTGCATGTAAACGCACCCTTTGCATTTCTATATTGTTGCATGTAAACCCACCCTGGTATTTCTTTTACCCTTTGAACAAGGGTAAAATAACAGCTTTTCTGAATTGAGATGAGGCAAAGCGCTTTGGTCTCTGAGGAACCAAAGCAGGATCCAAATCAAATTTTATATGGATTTTAACTTGTTTTATCTATGTTGTAAGCCGCCCCGAGGCTTCGGCGAATGGGGCGGCATAAAAATGTTAAAAATGTTTTAATAAATAATAAATAAATAAATAAATAAATTTTACCTCCTATCCAAGAAATCTATACAACCAGTAACTACCCAGCATATTTCTGCCCATCAGTATCCTGCAAATGTAAAGGTGACCACAAGAAGAGACTTCTTTGCCATGAGTCATGTTTGTTGGGGGACTTTGCCACCTGTGCTCCATTTTTTCTCCCCAGCTACTCTAAGGCTTTCTACTGCTCAATAAACCACAGAGAACTTTGCCTGCATCATGGAAGTTGTTGACATTGAGTCCAGCAACAAAATCATTGGCAACAACAGCTGTTGACAGTGGCAAATAATCTCTCACAGCATCCTGGGATCTAACGAGGCCCATGAGCTTGCAAGGTAAATCAGCCTATATGAACGGTTGCCACTCCTGCAACAGGTCTGAGCCATGGGGAGAATGGGGTTGCAACGGAAGCCGGCAGCGTGCCGAGTAGAGCTAGGCGTGGGAACAGCGGGTGGTGACTGTGCTCTGGGCTTGAATGGCTCTGTCAGAATCATGGTGTCGCTCATCAGTCCTCAGCAGGCCTGATACATTTCCCATCCTGGCGTGCCACCTACCTGACTGACTTCTCTGTGCGTGGGCCCTGGGCTCCTCTAATCTATGTTCAAGCACGTCCACATTGCTGTACAGCCCCTTCCATGATGCCATCTCACAGTAAGGTTCGTTTGCAAATCCCGATGTGCAGTCAGCTTGCCAGCTGATGAAGCATTGGGGACAGAAAGTGAGAAGTGGGAGGGTTCCGTGAAGAGCATGGTGGATTTCCAGGAAGGAAATGAGGCTGGAGCGGCATAAGATGCCTGTTTGTGGAGGGCGATGGGGCAGACCCTCCATGCCCTGCCCCTGCACCGTCAAGGCGATTGTGGCGTTAGATGAGTGAGGGGCCCCCACACCCTTATGAGCGCTGAAATGCACATGCTTGAAATTCAGGCAGTATTTCAGATATGACTTATGAAATAAGTTATTTTGACACTTGGAGCAGGTTGGTGCATGTGCACTAAACATCATTTTGAAAGCAAAAGCACTTTTCAGTAACATACCATTGGCTAGCCATGCACAGCAGCCACGCGCCAACTTCCACAGAATGCTTTCAGTCCATTCAGCACAAAGGACTGCCTTCCAAAGTCAGCCCGAAATAGAAGATACTCAGTTGAAATCCTATATGCAGATGGTATAGCTGAGCAGTTGGGGCGGGGTGGTGATCATTGTACCAGTGTTTCTGGTATTTAGAGCTTGCTTCTCAGAATGAAGAGCTTGAGTAGCACAGAACAAAGTGTGGAGAGCACAGCAGCTGTCCTGGAGCAACCAGGCATCTGCAGCAGAGCTGAGACAACTGTGGGGAGAAGAGGAAGTCAACTCTTCAGAAAACTGGAGCGAGGCCAGGCAAAGTGTGGCAAAATACCACTTGCTGCTCCAAGAAAGTACAGCTGCAGCTTACTCAGTCGCTCACTTATGCCCAGACTGCACATACTCAGCATCTGTAATAAATTTAAAAGATCTGTGCCTCTCATGCCCCACTTGGCAGTGAGAGCTCCATTGGGGAGCCGACCATAGGCAGAGATGCTACTATTTATTTGCCAGCCTGGGGTAAATGGAAGAACTTGGCTGGGGGCATGGATGGAAAAGCCAGTTTCTCCATGCATTTTGTCTGTCCCAGGCTTGCAAAGCCAACCCGATCTGCATAATCAACTACCCACTTCTTGCTTGCTGCTGACAGGCGACATTGGAATCGGAATTGGTGGCGGAAGCAGCCAGCTCACCATTTGGCCTGCCCCTCTTATCACTCCCTCAGGCTTGCATCCTTTTCCCTTTTCTGTCCAGCTGATTGTGTTTTGACATTCACATGCATGCCACCCAAGCCTAGAATTCCTGAGTGTGCAGCAACTTTTATCTCCTTATATGTGTTTCTAGCTTGCCCATGTTTCTGCTGATCAGCTAGTGGTCTGCTTGTGTTTTCTTAGAAACATAGAAACAGAGCGAGTCAGAAGGGGCCTCCTGGGTCATCTAGTCTGACCCCCAGCTCCAGCTGGCTCCCCTCATGTCAGGAAGTACTTCCTGGCATCCAAATGGAACCTTGGTTCCCTGAGCTTTGCTCCACTGGCACACGTGCTGCCCTCCTCTGCAGGGGAGAACAGGTCTTGACCCAACTAACTGTAGGCTTATTTTGAAACCCCGCATTTGTACAGTACTTGTTACATTCTGTTCTTCTTAAGAAGTATATATGTTCTTGAAGGCAAAGTCCCTCCCCACTAACCCCCCAGACTTTTCCTTGTAAAATTGCATGGGCCACAGTATTCACATTAGAAATTTCACACATTTCCTACTTAATTATTTTGGAAGGAGTAGCAGAGTTGTGGGGACTCTTTCTCTGTTTATACCATAGGTGGGCAACTTTTGGCCCTCCAAGATGTTTGGCCTTGAACTCCCAGTATCCCTCACCACTGGCTGGGCTATCTGGGGCTAATGGGAGCTGCAGGTCAAAACATCTGGAGGGCCACAAGTTACCCAGTTTTCAGCTTCCATGGAATTCTAGTGCCATGGTGACAGAGTGTTGGGGCTCATCCAGTGCCTTTGCCACTGGGTATACTAAACAGATAGCCCTTGCACACAGGCCAAACCCCAAAGCAACGAGGTTGAAAGCAGCTGATGTGTACTAGCAACAGCACTGCATATTCACATGAAGATCAAGATGCATCCTGGATCACTGCGCATGATGCTCCCTATGCAAATCACCTTGTTCTGCATGTCTTAGAGCATGGTCCTCAAACTACGGCCTACGGGCTGGATCTGGCCCGCCATAGCTCGTCACGGGTGCGCACGGTGAGGTGCCGGCTTGCTTGCCAGGAGATCGTTTTGGACTTGCTCAGAGAAAAGGATCTCCTTGCAAGCAAGCCGGCGCTTTGCCAGGAGATCCTTTTCTCTGAGCTAGTCCAAGATGAACTCCTTGTGAGCAAACTGGCCCCGAGGCACCAGCTTGCTCGCAAGGAGATCATTTTGGACTAGCTTGGAGAAAAGGATCTCTGCGCACGCATGCCCATGCCTTTTGTGCGTGCGTGCACATGCGACCCCTGGCCCGGCCCGTGCCCCCCACCCACACTGCCTTGGCAGCCCATGCCCATCCCTGGCACCTTTCAACTGGCCCCCTATTCAAAAAGTTTGAGGACCCCTGTCTTAGAGTGCAGAAATGGAGAGAGGCCATATAGCCAGGGATGTGGGTGGGCTCCAGGTTCATTAATTTTGTTCCTAAGCACCATTTTTACTTGGGTGAAGAAGTAATAGTTTCCTGCAACATTTTTGGTGGGAAACTGTTTAATCTGTTAGCAGGGACCAAACCTGCTCAATGTTGCAATGATGCAACCAATTTTCTAATAACATGATTAATACTATTACTATTATTACTGCTACTATCAATTTTATGGCCCTTCCCTTATGTTCAGCTCCCTGCCCTCGTTTCTGCCCTCCACTCTTGTTCTCATGGGTAGAAGCCAGTTTTGCCACACTCAGCCTCAGTGGTCATTCTGTAGCCTTTGTCCCATGGATCTCCACTGGCTCTTTTGAGAACAGTCTGAACTCTTCTCTATTCACTCCACTTGTTTCCACATATTGGAATGATGCTCAACATTAACTAAAGTTCTGATGTGTCTGATCAGTGAGGAGGGAAAATCCCAGCCTGCCCCCCGTCCTTGATGCCCCAACCTCTGGCAGAAGAGGGAGTGAGGTCAGCTTCTCACCCCTTTGCCCTGAACTGACCACTGCCACTCAAACTACAAGGGCCAGGTAAGCAACATCTTCCCTGCCACCACAAGGAAGTTGCTTTTTTGACAGTGCTTGGGCTCCACCCCTTCAGAAAGTGACAAAGCTGGAGGACATGAGAAACAGGGTCTTCTGGGTGATGACCTCTTAGTTGTGGAACACCATTCCACTTCTGTCCACCAGGCCCCATTCTTGTATGCCTTCCCGCATGCCACAAAGACGTGCCAGTTCCATTTGGCCTTTGATGGATTCAGGATTATTGGGCATCATTGTGCATCCACTGCCATCTGGTTTCAATTGCACATTTTGCTCTTTTATTCTTTATTATATCCCACTCTTTTTCTTTCAAGGAACTAAAGGCGGCATACACAATCCTCTTCTCCATTTTATCTTCACAACAACGTTAGGTTGAGAATCAGCAACTGGCCCAAAGTAACCTAGTGAGCTTCATGGATGAGTGATGAGTCCCAGGTCAATACTCTAAATATTAAGCTACACTGGTTCTCATCATAGTTTTGTTATGGTTTATGTGACAATCTTTTAGGCACTTGAGAAGTGCTATTGTATGCCTTCTCAGTCTTTTCAAGGCTAAACATACCCAGTCTTTCAATTGTTCCTTGTAGGACTTAGTTGCTATTCTCTGGTCATCTTTGTTGCCCTTCTTTGAACTTGCTCCAATTTATCGGAACCCTTCTTAAACTGTGGTGCTCAGAACTGGACACAGTGTTTGAAGTGAGTCTGACCAGCACAGTGGAACTATCACTTCCCATAAAACAGAAACAATGTTTGCTTTCTGCCTCATAAGCTAGAGAGGATGCAGAGGAGGGCCAGAAAACAGGCTGCATTGAAGGACTGGAATCCTCTGCAGCTGAAGGATCTGAAAGAGGAAGAACACACTAATCTGTTTGAATGGCCCCCACTCACAGGACACCCTATCTCATCAGTGCCAGGGTGACAAGAACAGTCCATCATCTTGTTACCAGCATACACAGAAATACTTTTCAGTTGTTTTGTCTCTTTATAAATAAAAACAGAGAACAGTCAATGCAGTCCACAGCCTGAACCTCTGGCTGGTTTGGAACATAAAAACCAAGAGATGATGGGGTGCAGCTCCAAGCAGGAATAAGTTAGTCAACACAGGAACAACATTGGCTTCTGCACTCCACCAGTGGTGCTGCTTGCAGAACTGCTCATGCCTGGAGTGGAAAGCTTGAAGAGCAGGGAGGCAGCTGGGGGCCCTGAAACTCTGCCAGCTCAACAGCAATCTGCCTCTTCTCCCCATCTACTTTTCCTAACAGAGAATGCAGAGTAAATAAAGTGCTTTCCCCACACTGATGGGATCTTTTGAGCAGCAGCAAGATGGAGCAGATGGGTGGCTCATAAGGACTGAAAATCTTCTGTTGCTAAGTTCCTGTTAGCAAACAAGCCAGTAGTTACCATTCCAGACCTGAGAGAAGGGGGATTTGTAAAGTGGCTTCCCCATCCCCACCTCTTGGCAGTGCCAAGTTATAGTCCTGGTCAGGCACTGCTGGACCTTGTTCATTTTGCCACAGTCCCTGCTTAATGCAGGGAAGAACCGTTCCAGTGAGTTAGCTTCTGCCATTGCTAGAGGAGATAAAAGGGTGTTCCAAAGCCCTGGAGGCACACCTCAGTGCCAACAGGACAGTAAAAGGCGAAACAGTATGCAATTTTGTGGGGAGGACTCTGCCCCCTCCCACCTCCCACCAGTCTGCCTAGTCCCTCATAAGGTAGGGGTAAGATTTGGTCAGAGAAGTTCAGTAACTCTGCCCCCTCAGGGTGTGGGAGTGGCTAGAGAGGCAGGGGGCTTCTGAAGAGTCCCTTGGCGATATCGTAGGTTCTTTTCTTCATCCTGCAGGAAGAAAGGTAATATTGCCATGAGACAGATGTCATCTGTAGGTAAGAACTGCAGCCCCACATGTAGCAGGCTGGCTCAGATCTGTATATGAATTTCAGGACTTGGCCCTGAGCAGAAGGCCCACCATGTGAGGGTCTCCTGCACTGAGCAGACACTCCTCTGTGCTGGAAGAATGCCAGGTCTCTTGCTGCTGTGATGGAAAGACCAGTGATGTGGCTAACACAGAGCACAGCACCAGGGAGAAGTGCATATCATGCCCCGTATTGCTCCAGGCCATGGACATGCCCCCGTCTATGCCGTCATATCTGTCCCAGGTATAGAAGAAGAAATTCCTCTCCCACTGCTTTCAGTAAGATTGGGGGTTGAGGATTCTTCTCAGAAAAAATGGGCAGCCAAGATTCCAGCTGCAGATGTATTCATACCAAACATCTAAATGGCTTAGAAACATCCTGTGGCATCATGGCAGTTCATCAAGTGGAGGTGGTAGGGAAGGGAAGGGCTTGCAGCAATGCCAGTGTTTCGCGTATTCTATCTCCAGGGTGGTCAAGCCAAGGCCCTTTGAGTTTATTTGGCAGCTTTCTGCTCCCTGCAGCAGGGGCCCACTTGCCACTCAACATCCCCTGCCCCTGCCACCTGCAGACCCCTGCTTGTCGCCTGTTGCCGGTGCCTGTGGGTGCTTGCTTGTGGCTCTCAAACACCTGACGTTTATAATACATGGTTCTTCCGTTGAGCAAGTCTGGCCACCCATTATAGACTTTAGTAAAAATAAGGTGAAGCAGGAACATCATAAAAAGCAGTTCAAAAAGTTCAGTTAACAATATATATGCTGAATTTGATAGCACTGTCATCAGAGGTCTAATAACACCTATATCTTACACCAGAAACTGCACATGGTATATATTAAAACAAAGACTTACCACTCATCTTGCTGTGATGCCCACTTCTAAGAAAGGTTCAAAACTAGGCTTCCCAGGTTGCTTTGCTCCTCTTCCACATGTCAGAGCTGATATGACATGCTGGCTGCAATCTGCCAACCCCTGCTCTAGGGCTCAGCTTTCCCCCCTCCACCCCAAACAGGAAACTTACTGTTTCAAAGGTGCCATTCTGCTCTGCTGGGGCAAAGAGCATCTCCTCCCCTTCTTCCTCCCGCACAGCATCCATGCCTTCCTCCTCATACTCAGTCAGGTAGTCTGATTCCTCTCCTAGTTTGTGGGCAAACAGAAGGTCTATCAGTTGCTCCTGGTTTCAAATTCTTTATGAAAGCAGAACATTCTCCTAGCTCTATCCCAGCCCAATAGTTCATGCCAAGGTTGTGGTTTGCATACACTTCTAGATGTGCAGTGCCATCTTATTCTGAATGTTCAGAGGAAGCAAGAAAGACAAGGCATAAATCAAGCTGTGCTGGTTTTGCTACTTGCAGTGATGTGTGTGTGTTTTTTGCAGCCAGGTATGCTCAATCCTACTCAAACCAGCCTCCACCTAGAAGTATACCAAGAGTCCTTTGTGGAAGCCAGCTCTCCCACATAAGCAGTCGACTCTGCTTAGCCTTGGTACTCACCATCTGCATAGCTATCCGACAGGTAGCTCTTAGCTGGCTCAATGCGAGACACAATCTCTGCCAGGTCTGTAAATCCTGCACTGGGACACATCATCACCTGGGGAAGGAAAGAAGGCAGAAGCACAACTGCTGAGACTATCTTCAAACAACAAGGATCCTGGGAGGGGAAGTGGGAAGGGCTCTGTATGCTAGCAGTTAGGAACAGCAGAAGCTGAGCTGGGAGCAACATCCTCCAAGTTGGTACTTGGGATCCAAAATATTCTTGGACTTGAAACAATTTAAACTCTATTATGGATCCTAGTTTTAAAATACTTATTTTGAATTATTTTCTACCATGTACTGAAAGAATCAGCCTGGATTAAAATCCATCCTATGTAAGGATGGATTTGAAGCAAGTGTTGGGTGTACATTTGGATGTAAGACTAAGTAATGCGTACCTCCCAGAACTGTATGCAAACCTGAAACTAATTTGCAATCAGAATCATAGAATTCTATGCAGTTTCAAGTTTGTCATGTGCTTTTCAAACCAAAATATAGTATCTTGAAAAGATAGGCACAACCGAAATGTGTGCAAACAGAGGTATGTACATTTCTAAAACTAAGTCAGTGGGTTCATATGCAAAAAACATAGAAACAAAGAAACAGAGCAAGTCAGAAGGGACCTCCCGGGCCATGTAGTCTGACCCGCGGCTCCAGCCAGCTCCACTCACAACATGTCCACCATGGGCATAGCCTATCCTTGAACACCCTCACCGACGGGGCCTCAACCACCTCCCGTGGAAGCCTATTCCATACCTTCGGGGTCCTAATTGTCAGGAAGTACTTCCTGGCATCCAAGCTGAACATTGGTTCACTGAGCTTCACTCTGTTAGAGAGCATCCTGCCCTCCTCTGCTGGGGAGAACAGGTCTCTACCCACCTCCATATGACACCCCCTTACATACCTATATGTTCCAATAAATCCCCTCAGAGTCTCCTCTTCTCCAGGCTGAAGAGACCCAGTTCCATCAGTGTTGCCTCATATGGCTTTCCCTGCAAACTGACCACTATCCTTGTGGCCCTATGCTGCACTGACTATAACCTGGCTATATCCTTCCTGTAATGAGGGGCCCAGAACTGAACACAATACTCCAGTTGCGGGTGCACCAGAGTTGTACAGAGTGGTAGTAATACCTCTTTTAATCTAGAAGCCACACTTTTGGCTATGCCACCGAGGGTGGCATTCGCCCTCCTGACCACCACATCACACTGCTGACTGACTCATGTTTAGCCTGACTCATGTTTAGTCAACCAGCACCCCAAGGTCCCTTTCACAAGTGCTTCTCTCCAGCCACTTGTTCCATAACCTGTACTTACGACACCCATTCCTATGCTCCAAGTGCAAGACCTTGGACTTACCCACACTGAACGCCATCCTGTTGTCTCCTGCCCACTTCCATAGTCAGTCCAGTTCCTTTTGGATCTGGAGTACCTGCTCCTCGGTTATGGCCACTGCCCTGGTTTTAGTATCGTCTGTGAATTTGATCAGCAGACTGTTCACCCCTTCACCTGTTCTCCACAAGGCTTCAAAAATGGAGGTCAGTGGGCATGAGAGAACCCCTGCCAACTCTCAAAGTACTCTGGGATGTAACCCATCAGGGTCCGGCACCTTTGTAATGTCCAGTGCCCTGAGGAGTCCCTCGACTTCTAGGGGGGGTGACTCTAAACTGTGCCCCTATATCCCTGGCCTCATCTAATCTCCCATGTGGATCTCCTCCATCCTGCTTTGGGGAGAACACAGAGGCAAAATAGTCATTTAGCATCTGTGCCTGTTCCCTCGTATTAGTCACTGGATCCCCTTCCTCCTTATTTAGTGGTCCCACTACCTGTCTCCCCTTCCTCTTGCTATTTACATGCTGATAAAAATCCCTTTTTGTTGCTCTTGATATTCTTTGCAAGTCTCAGCTTGTAATCAGCCTTAGCCTTGTGAAGAATCCTTCTGCAACAGGTCTCCTCCGCTTGGTATACCCTTTTGTCTATTTGCCCCAGTATCCATTTCCTACAGAGGTTCCTCTTGCGTCTAATCCCTCTAACCACCTCCTTTCACATCCATGGCGGCACTCTCCTTTGCCTCCCCACCTTACTAACTAGAAGTATCGTCAAGGCTTGCACCTCCAAACCCTCCCTTTTGAGTGCCACTTACCCCTCCTCAACTTCCTTGCCTTCCAGTACCTCTCCCAGCAGACTTTCCCCAGTGTGGCCTTCAGTTGGCCAAAGTTGGCCCTCTTGAAGTCCCAGCTTCTAGTGCTCAACCTGCTGCAAGTCCCCATTCCCCTGATCTCAAAGCAAAGGATGGAGTGATCACTCACATCCTGCGCTCCCCTAATCTGTACCTCAGCTATCAGCGCCTCCCTGTTGGTCAAAACCAAGTCAAGGATGCCCTCCCCCCCCACACATCACCTCTCAGATGTGTGAAAAACCCTTCCTCTATAGCATCTGGGAAGCAACGTGACCTGGCTGTCATGGTTGAGTGAGCCTCCCAACTAATATCCAGGAGAAATCTCCCATAATTACTGTGTTTCTCCCCTGAGATATCCTTAGAATCTGACCTGTCAGGACATCATCCAGGGTCTCAAGTTTACCTTGAGGGCGATAACATACCCCCAGACCTCTTTTGAATAGGAAAAAGAGGCTTATGTGGAAGTGAGCTTAGCAAAGAACTAAGCACTGGAACTAGTTTGACATTGACAGATTCTCCCATTGTTAATTCTACACACATTACTTTGCAAAAGGTGGGAAAGTGCTGTATAGCCACAACTGCCTGATATTACAAAATCCATGTGTCTGCTACATGCTAGAATCATGGGAACTTGCTTCATGACAAATCACATGGTTGGTTCACCCAGCTCCATTGGATCTGCACTAGCTAGCACAGAGCTTCAGACAGGGCTCTGCCTCAGTCCTCCCAGTGGATGCCTGCGGCTGGGTGAATTCTCGCATGGGCCCTTCAAACACACACAGGGGAGGCTGAGTAGAACCTTTCAACCACTGTTGCTGGTCAGCCTCCTTCCCACACTTTGGAGGGTGATTGGGGGGTCACCGCATTCATATCCCATGAATCTTTGCCATCCTCCTCCCTCTGGGCCAAGTCAGCTGAAGAAACTGCCAATGGAAACGGCCCAGCGCGTGCCTTCCCTCAGCCCCATCATCACACTCACGTCCATGCGTTTGCTCTCATAGAAGTCTGCCGAGTGCCAGTCCTTGACCATTTTTTCCATGATGTCGCCGCGGCTCCAACCATCAAACACCACCTTTCCATGCTGGTAACCCACGTCCTGTGGGTGAAGGGCAGAGAGAGACAGGGCGTTCGAGGTCCACAGGCAGCACAGGCATCTGCTTGCGGGGACAAGGGGGTGCCACTGGCCCTCCTAGTGCTCTGGTGATAACATAGCTCTGGAGGCGCAACAGCTGCTGCTCATGCCATGCCTGCCCTGCATGTCTCCACTTCCAGCTTCCAGTCATGCAGGCCAAAGCTCGGGATGTGGTGGGATGGGGGCAGGGGGCAGAGAGCGAAATCTGGGAATGGGTGCAGGACCTCGCATTTAGCCCATGCCGTGGGAGCGCACTCCTGGTGAGGCAAAGAACAAGCTGCAGGCAGCCGTGTGACCAGGCTTTACACTGAAGTGGCTACTCTGTGCTTATGCCCCATCTGCCTCTATTCTCTAGTCCCTGTAGGTCCAGCAGGACTGGTCGATAAATTAAACCCGGGGGGATGGTGGGAGTCCACTGAGTTGAGCTGAAGGAAGCCACAATCCCAGTGGTGGGACACAGCCCTGGAAGGGGTGGTGGTGTCATTTGGGGGGGGGGGGGCAGGCTCAGCTGGTTGGTGTTGTGGCCTGTTAGGCCTTGATTTGTTAAACTGCAAGGGTACCTAAGCAAGCAGGCAGGAGCAGAAAGGGTTCCCTCACTTGCTGATCACAATCATGCCAATGAATGACTTGCGACTGTGGACCCCTTGACATGGACCCTTGGTTCCGTTCCCTTTAATTTAAAGTGAACCATCGAGATGTCTGCCTGCCCAAAGGTGAGGTGAGGAGGAGAAGACCTTATTCTAACTGCTGAAGAAGCGAGCACAAGACTGGACTTTTACATTTCCATGGAACAGACAGGATGGGAAAGACAGGTTTTCTTACCTTTACCTGTCATTCTTTGAGTGGTCATCTGTGCATTCACACATATGGGCTCTTTGCGCATGTGTGGAGCATTATTTTGGGAAGATTCTAAAGCGGATTAATTAGTATTTGGCGGGAGGCCGGCCCCCTCTGCAGCGAGTGAGAGGGCGGGGCTCCAGCCAAGAGCTCAGTTCAAACTGACACTGCCATCGTCATTGCGTCAGTGATGCAGAATAACCCACATGTCCAAGAGAGACACCAGCGGGGATGGCGGGTGGGTAAGTGAATGCACAGATGACCACTTGAAGAACAACAGTTACAAGTAAGGAACCAAGCCTTTATTCTTTATGGTCTCTGTGCATCACACATGTGGGTGACAGGAGAGCTTACCTCAAGGAGGAGGGTGGTGTCGCTCAGGGCAGCAAAGCAGAGAGGACGGATCTGCCAAAGGTGCAGTCCTCTCTTGACCTGATGTCGAGGTGCTAGTGTTTAATGAAGGTCGACAGATTCAACCATGTGGCCGTCTTACAGTCAAGGACACTCCAGCACAGAGTGCGGTGGAGGTGGATGCAGCTCTAGTTGAGTGAGCTTTAACAGGTCCAGAAAGTCGAAGGCCAGAAAGGTCACAGGCCAGACAAAGGGTATGGATGATTCACCTAGAGAGCCTTTGAGGAGATATCAGGTGTCCTCTGTGTGGCTCACCGTAAAGGAAGAACAGTCTTTGAGTCTGTCTTAGAAGATGGGTTCTTGATTTATAAAAGGCAAAAGCCGTTCTGACATCGAGGGAATGTAATGCAGTCTCTATAGGAGTAGACAGATTTTGGAAGAATGAGGGCAGGATTATTGGCTCGTTCACGTGAAAATATGGTAGTACCTTAGGCAGGAAGGTAGGATCAGGTCGGAGGATGACTTTGTCTTTATGAAAGACCATATATGGAGAGTCAATCTGGAGGGCTGCCAGTTCAGCTGCTCAGCGGCCAGAAGCGATAGCCACAAGAAAGGCTATTTTCCACAACAGGAGACAGAGATCACATGAGCGCATAGGTTCGAAGGGAGACTTGGTAAGTGCGTGAAGGACGACAGACAGACTCCATGACGGAGGTGCATGTCTGAGAGGAGTTAAATTCAGGATCCCCTTGAGAAACTCACTTATCAGGGGATGAGAGAAAGCTGTTTGTCCTTGGATTGGGTCATGGAAAGCCAATACGGCAGCCATGTAGACCTTAACTGACGAATAGGAGAGACCTATTTTGTATAAGGAGCTCAAAAATGAAAGGATTTGAACTGGAGAGGCTACGGCCGGAGAGAAGTTATGCTGGTCTGCGAAGGCCTTAAAGCTTGCCCATTTTGCATTATAGGATTTGTGAATGGACGGTTTAAGTGATGTGTCTAGCACAAACTTGAGGTCAGGAGGAACTAGGTCTGACAAATCCTCCATGCCGTGAAACGACGCGTCAATAGATTGGGACGGAGAGTTTAGCCATGAGTTCGGAGAGGTCGTCCCTGTGGGGTAGATGGCAGAATGTCTGTTTGGACAGGTCGAGAAGGGGAGGGAGCCCTTTTTGCCTGGGCCACCAAGGAGGGATGAGGATTATATTCGTACGATCTCGAGAGATCTTTGCTAAGACCTTTGGAATTAGCAGAAATGGGGGAAACAGGTAAGACCGTTTCCCATTCCAGGATAGGAGAAAGGTGTTTCCCAGAGAGTGTCTGCTGGGACTGGCTCTTGAGCAAAACTGGGCAAAGACTTTGTTGTGTTCGGTAGTGAGCAAGTCTATCTGGGGCATGCCCCAACAGTCCCATAGGGTTTGAAGGACTGCAGGATGGAGTTCCCACTTGTGGAATGTGATAAAAATCCTGCTCAAGAAGTCTGCTAGAACATTGGTCTTGCTGGCCACATGTAGGGCAGTCGGCGTAGCTCGCTTGGTTATGCACCAGTGCCACATGGAGCTCAGTAAATCGGTCCAGGTCCGCAAATTGGCGGCTGTGCCGGAGATACAGGTGTGTTCAGTGACTGATTAGCAGATAAACAGTCAAGTGATGTGAATTGTGACAGGTCCCAAGCGCAGCTTTTACCATTCAGAGGAAGGAGATTACATTGGGACAAAGAGAATCCTTTCAGCAGCATTTTGTGTAACATGAGAGCCTGCAGGAAGCTTATTTAGCAGAGGAATGTAGCGATTTATTTAACTAGCTAGCACTGTGTTCCTGAGTGGAGCTTTGAGCAGATCAGCGGCTGTGCCGGTGCATGTTTTGAGCAACGGAGCCACAGCAGAGGGGTTCAAGAGCCACGTGTGGCTCCGGAGCCATGGGTTGCTGACCCCTGCCCTAGACTATGGGCCATTCAGAGAACCTGGGATGCAAAGAATCCCGTATTCTCAGGTGGTCAGGATAGCTCTGAGAAGGTTGTCATAAGACCTGGGGGATTGTCGGATTGCTGGTCCAGATAAGATGGCACTGAGACCGAGGTATATTGCCCTTGTTTGGAGGGACCTTCGGTTCTATCGGTATGATGGCTGAGCAAGGAGGATGGAGATCACTTGTTTGCAAACTGCAAAAAAATGGCAGGACCTCTAGCCGGTTGCTGGAATGTATCGCGAGAGGTGGGACCATGCAAGGGATCATATTCCCGAACTTGATGGGCTCCAATGGGATCCTTGTCTTGAGTCGACAGATCCCCACCGTTCTACATAGAACTCGGAATCAAAATCCCCTTGACGCCTTGGGGTAGATCGATTTGTTTATGAGGAGTCTGAGCTGGAGGAGATCGAGAGCATTGTTTGGCTCTTTGTCTCTCGGGCTGGAGAAATACACTTGGTACCAAGGATGAAGGCTCAGCTCGGCTCTGTACTGGAGCGTGGGCTGATTGAGAAGGCTGAACCGGTGACTCCCGAATCTCTTTTGGACACTGAAGTGCTCCTTGGAGGTTGAAACGGCTGCAGGGATTATCCCGGGTTCTCCTGGCTTTGGGGTGGTGCCGTGTCTCCAGTACACAGGAGGCCGCTAGGTACTGACGACTCAAGAGTACGTATGGTGCTTTTTGCGCTTCCCTTCTCTTTAATAAGGGTAAGTGACTTTGGAGGCTTTGCCTTCTTTTCCGCCTTCTTTAGTTTTGACACCTTGGGCATTTTCGCCAGTGGGGGAGGTGGGGAGTCATCTGTGTTTTGAGCCAAAGCTGCAGAAGTGGACGGCTGAAGGTCTTCGGTGTGCAAGGAGTGGTTCCAAAGTTCTGCTTTTAAACGGTCAGCCCAGCGTTTCCTTGCCTGCTTCATAAAAGCTTGGCAGTGATAACAAGACTCGAGGATGTGAGACTCTCCCAGGCAAAGCAAACAAAGGGAGTGGCCACCGGTTGGTGGGAGCTTGCTACCACACGCAGTGCAGTTGCGGAAAGCAGCCTTCAGCGCCACTGCCTGGCCAGGAAGGTGCAACGGAAACCCTCAGTGGTAACCGCCATAGGATACAAATAACTTTCCTTTCCTTTTTTTTTTTTTTTTTGGTGCTTCGAGCAATAGAGAAAAGATAGAGAAAAAACCTGACCAGCGGGAGCTTTTACATATAGGTTGCAAGGTAAGTTGGGGAAGAATGCTTCTCCAATGTGCTCACGATGGTGGTCAAAGAAGACCTCAAGTCATGACCGGAGCCCCGCCCTCACGCTGGCTGCATTGGGGGCCAGACTCCCACCAAATACTAATTAATCAGCTTTAGAATCTTCCTGAAAAACCACTCCACACATGTGCAAAGAGCTCATATGTGTGATGCACAGAGGCCACGAAGAATAACAGGTTTTAAGTGTAGACGTTGAGGTTGCAAAAAGCATTTACATGAATACGTGTATTTTTTCCTCATAACATTTTTAAAAAATTCCCATGTACTATGAAATAATTGTGTGTATGATCGATGTCTTAAGCATGGCTCTGTGCATGTTTTCCCATGAGTGGCTTGTTGGGATTTATTTCCACATAAGTGTGCAATTCTACTGCAAGAGAAGATGCACAACTTATGCAAAATTGCATTTTTATGCCCCCCACGCTCTGGAAAATGTGCATATGATTGGGCTCCTAATGTTGTTATTTGAAAGCACATTACAATCCTTAAGCTTTCATCCACAAAGGCTGGGAAAAGGAGAGATGGCCAGCTGCCATGTTATGAGGACAGCCAATCCAATCCTCATCTATGCACATAGGGAGCCCAAGAGAGGAAACAAAAGGTGCAGTCACTATGCTACCTATTCATTTTCTGAGAAACTAGCCTGCACTATGTTTTAGCAATGAATTCATGGCAATGGTTCACACATCCATTTGGGTATGTTAAGCTCCCCTGTCAGGAAGCAACTGCAGCCTCATTTTTTTTTTAAATTGGAAATTCAGCATCTTTGTGTAACTTGTTTGGGGAGTAGCATGTCTACTAAAATAATAAAAGGGAGCAGCAATGATAGGAGTTCATGCTCTGTCTCAGTTCTTGTTAATGTTTTAAATACTTATAAACTTTTCATAAAATCACCTTGAAAATGTGTGGAGAAAAAGCTTATCATTATTTTACCCACTTTGCAGGAGGCAGTGCTGTGGCTGAGAAACTGTGGGTTACACCACTCCTGAAAAGTAATCCAGTGGTGTTATTTCTGTTTTGTAGAGGGTGTGTGCTAGTATATGATAACTTTGCAGTACAGTCCAATGTTGGTGGCAGTTTAGGGAAACAGATGGGCCAGGGAGACTGATGGTAGCGGCAATGGAATTTATAAAGGGTTAGAAAGGACTTTGTGAGATCTATGCTGATCTGAATGAACCTGCCATGTTGAGTCCTTGCAAAAGGCCCAAGTGGAAGCTCTCCTCAACTCTTAGTGGTAGCCTTGTGGCTGAGACAGTATATCACGCAGCTCCTCAGAAGTCAGTGCTTTCTCATGCATTGTAGAAATAAGGAACCTTCTTGTGAAGGCACCTGAGTCTATTGTGCATGGAGCAGAGTCTATGAATGAGCTACAAGCAGAGTAGGTCAGCCCACTCAAATATTAGCCATGTCCTTCAAGCCATTAGCCAAAGGGAGCCCTGGAAAGAGCCCATGTTTTTCTTTGCACTCATTTCTCTTTCCACTGCTAAAGACACTCCCCACTGCTACCCTCTAGAGCTGACTTCCCCAACCTGGAGCCCTCTAGATGCTTCACACTTCAACTTCAATCTGGAATATTGGAGTTGCAACCAAAACATCTGGAAGACACCAGCTTGGTGCTAGAGAGTGTTTAACAGTGTCTCTGGAGTGAAGGAAATCATTTTAGGACAAGTCATGTGAAGTTGTCAAAGAGATATGGGCAGTGGTAATACTAAAAGAAATCACTACATTGCATTTATATCCTGCCTTTTTTCCTCTTGCAAGGAACCCAAGAGGAAAGCTCTCCTCTCCATTTTATCCTTACAACGAACACCCTTGTAAGGTAGGTTAGGAGGAGAGGCAGACATTGGCTCAAAATAACCCAGTGGGTTTCATGACTGAGTGGAACCAAGATCTCCTGCGTTCCAGTCCAATACTCTTAACCACTATACTATGCTGGCTCTCACAATGTGATATTCTTAAGACAGCTGCACTATGTTTGTGCATTCAGTGTTTTCCCCCTTGTCCTCCCTCCCTCTGTGTATGTTTTATCCTTCCCTCCAAATAAAGTTTGGCTGGAGTTCATGATGATTCTGGAAGCTAAAATGCTTCTGCATTAGTGCTGTTCATTTCCTAGCATCATCTAACAAACAAAGAAAGTGCACAGATCTGCTACAGCACTGCATGTTAAGCACATGAATTACAACCACAAAGCTCTCTCACTCCCACTGAAAAGCTCCAGTGGATGCCCATGATAGGAAAGCTCCAAGAAGCGACCTCTTCTAGCCTTTTGCAGCAGATTTGAGATCTTTTGGCTAGACTGGGGTTGCCATTCAGATTTGACCTCATGCACTATTCAGAGCACTCATGGGGAGTCTGCTCTTTTCCACGGCTGCCAAGCAATTTCAAAGGATGCTAAGGACTAGCAGAATATCCTTGGGCGGGTTTTCGGCCATACATCTCTATGCCCTGTAGCCAACTACATATTTCAGTGCAGAGGCGTAAGGGGCTGAACCCAGTTTTCACACAGAGGCCTGGCCATGATGGAAACATGAATTATTGTTTCTGACCTGGCTGAGTAAACAAGGGCTTAACCCAGCATTTTTTTCCAGTTCAGGATGTAGTCCTGAAAATTAGGGTACCGGGACAGCTGCTACACCCCCTGAACAGGTTTGGGATGCTTCTCCCTCACCCTACAACAACCTTTCCCACTTGGTGCCCTTCAACTGGTCACGCTGGCTTGGAATAATGGGAGTTACAGTCCCGCACATCTGGAAGAACTCGGTCCAGGCTGAGGAAGACTGAGCTAGACAGTCCCTATGCCAGCAATTAGGGAGAAAGGGTTTCCAGATTATCAGAGTGTTGCATCCAGGCAGGCCTGAGGCCTAGTATCTCCTCCCCCCTCAGAACTGAAGCACCATGAGAGCAGAGCATGGGCTTGGGGTAGGCCACCAGGTACCTACCAGATGTTTTGGACTACAATTCATGTAATCCCTAACCACTGGCCCTGCTGGCTGGGGTTTGTAGGAATCGTAATGAAAAATCTTGAGGGCACCAGATTGCCTAACCTCTGCCACACACTCTCCTGTGTTGGGGTGCTTTCTCGTTTCGCTGGCCCGAGTCTCAGCAAATGCTCAAACTTGCCACAAGCATCAGAGAGCAGCTTCCAAATTATAAGATGCTGCTGCCCTGCTGCAGACTCCTGCAAGAAGACTTGAGTCAATTCTGCTGGCCAGGAATGAGTTGCTCCCTTGTGGCTCTGTGTATTGACTGTGGCTGTCCCCTCTGTGGCCCTTCTTGTGTGAACCAGTCCCGCTGCACTCTGAAGACTCACGTAGATTTCGTCGAACTTGCCAAAGTCCATGGTTTTGAAGCGATCGATGGGAGGGCGAATGTACTCACAGTACGAGCTGCTCTTCACCACCTCCAGCTGCCGCACACATGAGACATAAGCTAGGCGGGACTGGATCTCTGCCATGTCAGGCACCTTGAAAGGAAGCAAGGAGATGCTTGGTGGCCATGCATTATGTGTGTGCAGACTCCCTCTTGCAACTTCTCTAACCTTTTCTAGAGTGGAAGGAACACCAAGACCAAGACCCAGCCTGACACCAAAAGAAGCAAACATAGGAAGAAGGCAGAAGTGTGCTAGCACAGAAATGGCCATGCTGGAGTGGATATGATGTTGTTTCCAGTATCTTAGCTGCAAGCAAGTGGCCAGCCACCCAGAATAATACAAAGAGGCACACAGTGGGCCCCTCTCCAACTCATACAGCCTCAACAGACACGATGAAGTGGCTCAGGTGGCTCTGGGGATCACTTTAGATCTCCAGAGATCCCCATTCCTTCTACTGTGCTGCTGAAAGTGATGGCAGTAGCAACCAGAAATTAATTTGAAACCTTATTCTGACAGCAAACTGTCACAGAAATCTTCCTACCCTTATAGTGGCTGCCCACCAAAAACCAGCTGCAGACCAGAAATTTTTCTCAGCCACTGTAAAATCTGGCAGTAGGGCAGCAGAGGATGCAGGTGGCTCACTGGCCACATGTTGCCCCCCCCCCCGCCCCCCACTATAAAGCTTATGGGCCTGGTCTTGGCCATGTGGTTTCTACTTGGCAGCAGAGGGCTTCTTTGCCAGAGGTTTTTAACCCACCCCTTCACCAAGGCTTCTGTTTCCAGATTCTTTGTATGGTTAACATTAGCTCCTTCACTTGTGCTTTTCTTTCTTTTCTTTTCTGTCTTTCTTTGACTCCCTATATATTTCTTCACACAATCACCAAGTGTTCTTGCAGTATAGCCCACTTATATTGATACACATTTAACATAATTTAGCCTGGTAGCCAGATAGGAGCTCACTTTCTTCACCCTAAAAACGTGTGGAAATTCTTGGAAAGCACAGAACTGGCCTTGGGCGATAATGATGATGTTGAATAAGGCACCCCAAAACTTCTATGCATCAGGAATTATGAGCACACAGTACATGCTTTGGCCAGAGATGATATGAATTGTACTTGGTGTGGAGGAACAGTGGTGGCAGGAATCAGGCTGGAACCTTCCCTGGCAGTAGCAACATCCAGCAGGGAAAGCACAGTGTTGCTGCAGCTGGTGAATATTATGAAGGCTTAGGCAACAAAATAAACTAAGGAATACCAACTAATAAAGTAAGTTATGAAATTCCCTGTCTCAATAGAAGGAGAAAGTCCAAGCAAAAACTGTCCCAGAGGCATATTTAATGTCAGCCCAGTTCTGGTGGGAAGCTACGGGTGCAGGCCTTGGACAAGATTAGGTAGGCATACACTGACCTAGCAAATGGATGGATGAATCTGTCTATTTCCAGTCTGAGCCAATTTGTATGTTTTTAACTGTAACTGTTACATTGCTCAGTAGTCCTATTTTATCATCCCTAAATGTGTATGCAAACACATATCTAAATGCATTTTCAGTTGCTTAGGGCACAATCCTTTAACTCAAATTTACCTGCTGATAGACCTTTAGCATTTGGTGGCTACCCCAGCATATTGGTGAAATGCAAGATACATCCTAAATGCAGAACACTTAGCCAACAAATGGTGATGGGCAAATTTATAAAGAGCGGCAGAGTTGTGAGAAGGATGGAGCTGCACAAATTATCTTGCAAGCACTATTAGCAGAGCCCCAAACCTCACAAAATGGCCTTCTACAAAGCTATGGCAATATGGAGAAAGCATTCCATTTTCCAGACCCACAAGACGATGTAGTCTGAATGCTAGGAAAGCGTGTCAGAAATGCTTCCTTGAAAGCAAGGAACTCTTGTCCCAGGAGCATAATGCAGCCATGCAGTGGCAACACCCCCTTCTTTGAGCCTCTCCCACCATCCTTCATTTGCAATCACTTGGTACTCTCCCAGGGGTTGTGCAGTTCCCTCCTGGCAGCAGCCTAAGATTGCAGTGTTTCTCCTCAGGCTCCTCCAGTTGCTGGCTGGAAGAGCTGTAAACTAAAATAGGCCGATACTTTGGGTGCCACCCCTTTTGCCTCTAGTCTTGCCCACCACTGGAGTGCAACTGCCAAGACCTTCTCTGAAGTGGGATTTCAGCCCCACAGCTGGGGGCTGGGGGAGCCCCTGTGCATCCTGGCCAACCTTTCTGTCAGCAAGCTGTGAGGTGTTAAAAGGGAGACTGACCTTGACCTTCTCGGTCCAAGGATTGAGGCGTTTCCAGAGCAACCACCAGCCCGACAGGCTGTCCCCATAGTTGCAAAGGTCGGTCTCATCCTGGCTGCCCACATCAATGGCAATTACTGTCTTGGCACCCATGTTGCGAGCAATATCAGCTGCACGAAGAGGAGAAAAGGGGAGAGAGGCTTCAGTTAAAAGGCAGTGGGCAGTGCAGATTTCTGGAGTAGTGGGATACAGCCGGGAACAAGGCAGCAGGATCAGAGAGCCAAGGGGAGATAAGGAAAAACTGGTAGCAACAGCTGTACGAGGAGGTTTCCCTTGCTCTTCTCAGCTCAAGCCTTACTAGAGTGATAGGCTTTCCTCAGGAGACTTCTCTTCTTTTCGCCAGCAATGTGGCTGGAACCACCTGCAGGATTTCTCTGAAACATGCATTTATTAAAACACTAAACACTTGCTTGGCTCAGGAGCTAGCAGGCCCCACAGATGTTGTCATTCCCCGTTCTGTTCATTTCTGAAGGAGGGTATAAGCAAGGCTTTCTCAATCTGCACCTCCCAGATGCTTATGACCACAACTGCCATCAGCCCTAGCCAGTATGGTTAATGATTAGGGATGAAGGGGAGTGCAATTCATCACATCTGGAAGGTACCAGGTTGGGGAAGTTAAAACAATAAAACCAGATACTTCCTCAGTTTTGCTCAATAGGCAATTTGTTCTTGTGACTTCTTCATTCTGGTTCCCAGCAACCCACAGTAAGGCATAGAAATGACATATAGAGCAGGTAGCTAGGCAGAGTTCCCTCATGACAGTTTCCTTTCTATTTGCTACTGGGAATTCAAGGAACCTACAATTTACCACCCAGAGAGGACATGGTGGGAACCTCCTGCTGGTTAAACAACAACAATACATTTATTATTACTGCTGGTTTTCAAGCCCTGTTTTACAGATTAGTCTCTTATCCAAGTTTGCATGTTGGTTTTAACTGGATTCCCTGCAGATGGGATGTATTTGCTTACACTGTGCTGTGCAGGGGTCTGCTGAAGAACTGAATTCAGCACCAAGAGCGTATGTATCAGGGGTGGCCAGACTGAGCTTTGGAGCAACATGGGGCTCTTTGCTTTGTGGCTCACTGCTTGCTGCCACAAGCGCCTGTGGGTCCCTACTTGCCCTCTGCTGCCCACCAGCACTGCCTGCCACCATTGCTGCCTGCAGGCACCCACCTGCCACCTGCTGACACTGTCTGCAGACACCCGCTTCTGGCTCTCAATCACCTGGCCACCCCTGGTATATACATCTTTAGCCCTTATCATGCTGGGGAGATCGCACCATCAAGAAGGAAGTTATTAACCAGAGACTTTAGTACTCTTTGTACCCCCTGCATAATTATTACAAGCAGACTATTTTCATTGGCATTGTTTGCTTTTCATGGGCAACCTGCCAGATGAGAAGTTCTGCTTACAATGAATTACACGAAAAACGAGGGATTGCTAAGAGGGTATCGCAGCACAAGGGACCTGATCAGGCAAACCAAGGCAGCAGTGACAGTCATGGCCGCTGTCTGATCAGCACTGATCAGAGCTCATCTAGGGAAATAGTTTTGTTACCACAAAACAAGAAGCACACTACAAAATAGAAACAAAGGTAAGAAGGCTTAGTGGAAAGCTACACAAATAAAAGAAGATAACCAAGAAGGCAAGTCAACTAAAGAAAGCCTGGCAGAGCCAGTGGGCCTAGCTCAGAGGAAGCGAGATAAAGGCCCAACTGTGCTAACAGTTTTTACTGTCAGTTAAACAGAAGAAGAGAAAGAACAAATCATGCTTAACTCCATTGAACCGAGAAAGAGAAACCATGATTCTAAATGCAGAGATTCAAACATCAGGAAAGCCTAATTTAGCACTCAAACCAACATAGAAAAACAGTACTGGCTTCTTGAAACAACTCTTGAAAGGAATGCCTTCTTGCCCATCCAGGGCTGGGTTTTGGTACAAAATCTGGATATACCTCTTGCAGTACAAATATTGGGCAAAAAGGGAAGGGTCCAAGTATGAGGTTTTCTGCAATGCAGACTTGAACCAGCTATAAGAGAGGAAACCTAGCTCAGTGAATTATAGTTTGGTGAATAGTCTGGGCCAGAGCGCCGTTTTCCTTGCCTTGTTCTTCATCAAAAAGCAGCTGCACTGAGGGGAGGGGTGATATTGTTTGATTTGAACTGGGGCTGTGGTGTGATGGGACAGGGCTTTTTAAAACCCTTTCCCCACTGCAGATCCTGCCCCCTCCATGACTAATAGCAGCTCTGGGAGGGGAATAAGTAGCTGAGTTCAGAAAACACAATAACCTACATGCAAGGATTGGTTACAGCATGGGTGTCGGTTGTCCTTGAGCCACAGGTTGCTACTGAAATATTGGTTATCAAGTTGTCAGAATCTAGATAACAAACCAAGGTGAGCAGCCCACAGTTCACAGTCCAATAACAAACCATGTTGTGTTTGTGACTGTTTGTGATTAACAAGCCACGGCTTCTTAGCACTGCAAGGTTCAGCACTGCCTGTTCTTCCTAAGAATGTTGATATGTCCATCTCTGATGAAAGAAATCATGATCAGGAAAGAGACATAATCTCTCAAGTATACTGAAAAGGACCCACACAAGGGATTATCTCAAGGGAACAGTGTAAATATTATTGACTGCAGGGATAAATACATTGTATTTTGAACTATAGAAAGAAACCACATGTATGGATTCTAGATATATTTGAACTTTAAAGATTTCAATGGCTACCTGTCAAGGTATTTCAAAGGCTGACAAAGAAGTACTATAACTCTGTGTGATCAAAATAATATAAGGGGGTTTGTTTTAATAGCACATGTCAGGCAACTGAACACTGGCTCTAATCACCCACCTTGCCCACATATCTCTGGTGGGATGTCTGCTTCTGCGTGAATATTCTTGAGATGATCCATCCATTTATCACTTTATGAATGAAACATTTTTAACGTGCAAAGTGCCCCTGAGCATGAATGTGTGCGTGATGTTAAGACCATTGGGCTAGTTAATATGCACAGGAGGCACAAGACAGCCTCATTCATAGACTGGCTCTGGTGACAAATAAATGCATTTGGATTTATTCCTGTGTGTTAACTGTGGGCAGCCCCATTGCTCTACAAATGTCTTGCCCCCTTTGTGCCAACACTTCCATCAGCTTGTGCAAAGATAATCGCAACAACTGGCTAGCATGAAACTACCATGAGTAACCTGACTGTGGTGCTCTGAGGTGGATGGTATGGCCTTTTGTGGGAGGTGGGTTGCTCATCATCTGTGATCCTTCGCTGTTTGAGTGCACCATAATTTAAGCACACCATAATTTGTCTCTTTGTGCTAATGACTGCATAAGTGACTGGGGTGGAGTAAGAGCTAGAGATTCTGTGGTTTTGATTTTGTGTAACTACAGCTGCCACTTTATAGCCTTTTTCATGCAGCAGCACAGCAGTACAAAACCAGTTGCAACCATTATGGCATCTAGAAGAACTGCTAACAACAGGCACTCTTTGGTGATTAGGCTGCTTCTGTGCATCTTCCTCAGAAGACCCACTATGGCTCCACCATCTTCAGTGGTAAAGTGGCTGGAAACTTAGGCAAGGGCCTTCCTGATTGCAATTTCCCCAATCTGAAATGTGCTCCCGGGGTCAGATCTTTTTATTTACTCAGGCCTTTTCATCCTTTGAGTGATGTGCATTGCTTTGTCTGGGTAGAAGGTTCTTCCAGATTTTTCAAATACATGAATGTGTTGTTTGGATTTTTATTGCTGTATCTTCTCCTAGCACAGGAGAGCTCGAAGTGGCACATTGGCACACAGGCACAGATCTGAGCAGTGACACGAAGAGGTCAGGAAGTCAGAGGCCAGCATGGCTCGTAAGGACACAAGGATGCTCTCTTGAAACCTATAGCATGCCTTTCCTCTTCTTAGGACTCCACTAAGTGGACTGGGGAAGGGCCTCAACTTTGGCTTCCTCTGGGTATGACACAGTCCTTCCAACCTCTTGCCCTCTCTCAGCTTGGGGGATGAACAATTTTCTCAGGGTACATCTCCTTTCTGTACATGGCAAGCAGAAATTCCTTTGTCAGACAAAAAAATGGCAAAGACAGCTTGCATCAGCCCAAGGAAGCTGTTCTGCTGGTGACCACCATATAACTTGTAGCAGATCTCAAGCCCAAGATCACTTGCGTATTTTCACAAGAGAGGGAGATTGCAAGCCCTGCCCTGTTCTCCCAGAGGTTGGTGGCTAGGATGCCAGAGTTTGAGAATGGAAGTGACAGAAGCCACTGCAGGGCCAGGCAGCTGCAGATGGTTGTGCTGCCATCTCCAAGACTGGCCAATACTTGCCTGGAAGGTTGTTGATGTAGCCGCCGTCCATCAGTAAATTGCCATCCTTGGGGTCGCAGAGTGGCGGTAGATACCCGGAAAGGGTCATGCTAGCTCGCACGTACCGCCACAGCGAGCCTAACCATGTGGGAACAAATGCAGTCAGAAGAGCAGAGACAAACCCAGAGCAGCGATGAGCCCCTCGAAGAGGGATAGAAAGAGGCAAAGCCCCAGCCCACCTGCTCAGGCAGGAGAATTCTGCAGGGTGCCTTACAGAGCAGCCAAGCAATGGACAGCTGCTGGTCTCCCAGGCCCCAAAATCCATGGTCCTCACCTCCCAGCCCATGCGTGCAGCCAGATGGCTTACTGAACTTCCAGATCCACTGGGCAGTGCTTCTCAGGTGCCCCACAGTGAACTAGATTCCTCTGCCATGCAGAATTGCCAGCCTGAGCCAGAGGGCAGGAGCCAGGCTTGCAGCCTCAAGCCTGTCATGCCCAGGCCTAGCGAAAGATGGACGAAAGTGGTTTGGAGGGAGGAAGCTGCATCCAGTCCACTGAGAGTCTCCATCCCCTCGAGCCAGATGTGCCCCAGTGGCCACCAGCCAAGGTAGTGAGGTGAACGCGATGCTGACCTGGGACATTGTTAACATAGCAGCCATCCACAAGCAAGTGACTGTCCTTGGGGTCGCAGATAGGAGGCAAATAGGGGGTATAAGATGCACTGGCCCGGATGTAGCGCCACACGCTGCCTGCCGGATGAAGATGGAGATTCAATCAAAGGGAGCGGGGAAATGGGGGAGAGGAATGGGGCACAGGACAGGAAATGACATTATGACAGAAGCTTCAGAAATACACATTGCACATGGGAAAGAGGGGGGTGCTGGGAAGGCTTTCTTCAGCAGAGGAGGTTCAGGATGAACATGTGTGTTGTGTTGTTTGGCTATGAAGCTGCTAGGCCCGATTAGGCTGCAGCACAGCTTCTGAACTCCACCACCTGGAAAATTATGCCTTGGCCACATGCCTTGGCTCTCCCCTCACTCCACCCTCCTGCCCTTTGCAATGGCTACATTCTTTTCCAGCCTTTCCCCCTTTTGGAGGGAGCAGTAACCAAGTGCCAATCAGGGAAAGTGTGTCCAATGAAGGCAAGGGCGGCCAGGGGTGCCTCCACATTCATTTCCAGGCTAGGTGCCTGCCCTTCTCTCCAGGGCACAGCCTGCCCACGCGGTGCAGGGGGAGCCTCACTGGGTGTGTTGAGAGTCCCACCCCGTAAATGGCCTCCCAGGCATCAAAGGAGCCTAGTTCACGGTGAAGAAGCATGTCCTGTTCTGTGCATGAAGGGGACCAAGCATCCCACATGCCTATTGTATAGGAGAATGTCTGGTGGGGTCCTCTACGGGCCCTGTGACTTGGAGAGAGGGAAGCAGCAAAAGGGGCCTGGGTTTGAAGGGCCAGATCACTGTGGAGCCAGACAGTCCCTTCCTGGGTCATGAGTGGCAGGAAGGTGCAAAAGCAGTGCGAAATGAACAGGAGGAAGAGAGAAAAAGAATCAATTCATTTCAATGAGGCTGCTGGGGGCATGAACCCAGAGGACTGTCTAGTTGCAAAAGGGAATGATGGTTAGTTGCTGCTGTCTTGGTGCCAAAGAAGCCACAACCATCACCACAGACCTAAGGCTGTAGTGAATGGCCTACCTTTCCTTCTTGGACACTCTGCTTCTCCAGGCCAGAAAAGCACAGCTTCCCCAGATTCCACAGAAGGGGGGGGAGAAACACTGTTATCATTGGAATGACACTTCATAGACACCCCAGCCTCAAAAATCCACAAGACTGGCACTCAAAAAAGGACATAGCAGGCCACCCCGCCATCTCAGATTCTACAGCCTCTCATTTGCAAGAGACAAGAAAATCTGCAGTGAAAGGGCCTCCATCTTAACTTCAATAATCTCGCTTCCTTGGCATGCAAGGTCACGTGCACACGCACATGTATATGCAGCCTGCCTGCCTGGCATGGGTGGGGGTGGGGAAGAAGATGTTAGCTGTGTTAGGAAGGACAGGATAGTGGGCAGAAAATGAAGAAAGCCAGGCAGTTACCGCATCCCAAGCCCCTGCCCTGCAGACGGGCAAGGCTGCTAACAATGTCCCAGGTAGCCACCGGGGCAAGGAGGGGACAGCCCAACCTCCCCCCACCATACACACCGCCCTTATCTGCCCCAGGCACAACTGAGCCCCTCCAAAGCTCATTTCAAAAGCCATTCATTCATTTCACTAGAGGAAACTGCAGCTGCCTGCCCACCCTGCACAGACCTCATGTTCAGTAACTGCAACAACACCCATGGCCCCCATAAAAAGGCAGGGATAGGAAACCCAGTTCTGCAGGCTAGCTGCTCCAGCATGTGTAGCAGTGAACTCCTATGCCTGTTTTGGAATTAAAAAGCCCTACAGCCCTCCGCATGCCCCAGCCAGCGCGACACTCCCCAGCATGCCTCAGCCAGCCACGCTGTAGGCTAACTGGGGAATGCTAGGAGTCATAGGGGGTTTTTCCTGCCTAAGCATGCAGACATGTGCACCTTTAGCAGGGTACAGTTAGTGAGTTTAGTGAATGGTAGAAATGTTATCAAGGAGAAGGAGGCCCTAAGCTGGTCAGGGATAATAACTGAGAGACACAGCAACCCATCCAGAAATTCCCTGGATTACTCCATGCTCTCTCTCTCTCCATTCTGCCCAGTTGGGCTTTTGAGGTGAAGCAATGGAACCTCTTGAGTGCCTGGGCTCTGCAGTCTGTGAAGGTGCCGCTGAATCCAAAGGAAACTGGGCTCTTAGCGAATGAGTCTACCTTTCTCTAGTAGTTTTAGGAAACAAGATGTGAAGGCCCCATTCAGGGTGTCTCACTGCCCAAGCTTTAGAAACAGAAAGGAGTAGCAGTCATAAGGCCCAAGTCAGATTTGGGTGGCTGCCTAAATATTCCCATTCCTTTCCAGTCTGACATTCAACAGGCTTAACGCAGGTCTCTTGCTCCTTACCATTAAGAACTTGGGCCCTGCCATTGGGTTACAGACAAGTGTGATACGGTGAAGGGCTAGTCAGGCTCTTGAGAGAGGCCAAATAATCTCACTTCCTTTCTCTTTAAAGGAAGCTTTGCTAGGGCTGTGAGTGGGGCGACAGCTGCTGTCAGTGGAGCCAGAGATGAGAAGTCTCAGTGTGTGCAGTGCAGGATCAAAGGAACACCTGCTCTTACTCACCCAGACCACGTGCCTGTCACATGCAGCAACAGACTCCACCCCAGTGTTCCTAGCATGAAGGCTAGAGGTTCTGGGAGTGAAATCTAAGGTCTTATTTAAATGACTGCATTCACGAATGGATCAGATGGGCCTTTTCAGCAATTCTGTCCTTACACCCATGTCTTGCTACATGGCACTGGCCCTTGTCATGGGCAGCAAGATCAGACTGTCCTGGAAGGAAAGCTGACACCTCCCTTCTTCCAGACCTCTTCCGATGTTAGGGTTGGAGGATTACAACCCCAAATTGGGAGGGAATCATCTGGTTGTGTCCTTCCTTCCAGACTTCTGGATGCTCCCATCAATTTTGATGCTACAGTACAGCAGTGCAAGGGGTCTGTTGAGCTGGCAACCAGGGTTTTCTGAGGACAGATGTTTTTCTCTTACACTCATGATTTCCAATGGTATAAGGTCCTCTCTTGTTCATTACTCCCCAGTCCATGGGTGCCAGATCACTTCCAGTTAGGCAGCCAGGACCTGGCCATCATGGGCCCCTGCTAAACTTCAGCAGTATGAGGGCAAGTCTGTGCTGCTGAACCCTAGGGTAAGCCATGCCCTTTGCTGGAGGAAATGCACACTCACCATCCTTGTGGACTCGCATTGCAGAGGCTGTGATGTCTGTTGTCACATTAAAGTAAGGAAGCCACAAATCCTGCAGTGGACAGAGTGGAACAGAATGGAAATCACATACAGGACTCTGCCAGCAAGAGGAGGGGAAAGCCAGAGTGGAAGACGTCTACTCTACTCAGCTGTGTACAAACAACCCCAAATTCTGTTGCAAAAAAGTCAAATTCTGCAGCGCAAATAATGTATGCATGGTTGCCATATATACTCAATTTGCTCATGGGTTTTGTTCCTGCTTGTCACTGGCAGCAGCAGTATTAGGGAATGGCCATAGGGAGCTGCAGTCCCAAATCATTTACTTGGAGTTCTGAATCTCTGGAAGACCATCTGTCTCATCACCCTGCTGTCAGTGGATACTTGATGAAATAAATGAGTGCTAATAATGTATATTGCATCTGATCCCCTTAGATTAAATGACTTTATTAACTAGCTTCAACTCCTGCTGCCTCTGTACCTGAATCTTTCCACCTGATTTTTTAAAAAATCAAATGTTTTCTCCCCTTTCCATACATATCTTCTGACACATAGAGGAGTCCCTAGGATGCAGTCCTTTAAAGACATGTGCAAACAGACTTTAGAACATATGAACATTAACATATGCAAATTTGTGTATTTCTTGTCCTGTGAACCTGAGCCCAGGAACCTGTGGGTTTTCTAGGACAATGCAAGAGCAAGTAAGCGTTCTGGCTCTTGAACACTCATTCACTTCCACCCTGTCCCCAGGCTGTTCATGATGTGTGAAGTCAGAACTCTGCCAGTGTTGAGGAAGAAACATCCCAGAGGTAGAATCTGGTATATTCTTGGGCCCCCATCATGGATCACTGCCTTGTCATGGTGAAGGGGTTTGTGTACCTCAATGAAGCTATGAGCTATGCCGTTCAGGGGCACCCAAGATGGACAGGTCATAGCAGAGAGCTCTGACAAAACGTGATCCACTGGAGAAGGAAATGGCAAGCCGCTCCAGTACCCTTGCCATGAAAACCCCATGGACAGTACCAAAAGGCAAAAAGATATGATGCTGGAAGATGAGCCCCTCAGGTCAGAAGGTGTCCATTGTGCTACTGGGGAAGAACAGAGGGCTAGTACTAGTAACGCCAGAAAGAATGAAGTGACTGGGTCAAAGCTGAAAGAACACTCAGTTGCGGATGTATCTGGTGGTGAAAGGAAAATCTGATGCTCTAAAGATCTATACTCCATAGGAACCTGGAATGTAAGATCTATGAATCAAGGTAAGCTGGACGTGGTCAAACATGATTCGACAAGACTGAACACTGACATCTTAGGAATCAGTGAACTAAAATAGACTGGAATGGGTGAATTTAATTCAGATGACCATCAGGTATACTACTGTGGGCAAGAATCCCTCAGAAGAAATGAAGTAGCCTTCATAGTCAACAAAAGTGTAGGAAAAGAAGTACTGGGATACAATCTCCAAAATGACAGAATGATCTCAGTTTGAATCCAAGGTAAACCATTCAACATCACAGTAGTCCAAGTCTATGCCCCACCCACTGATGCTGCTGAAGTTGACCAGTTCTATGAAGGCCTACAACACCTTCTAGAATTAACATTAAAAATTCGGTCCTTATCATCATGGGGAATTGGAATGCTAAAGTAGGGAGTCAAAAAATAAGCAGAATAATAGGCAAGTTTGGCCTTGGAGTACAAAATGAAGCAGGGCAGAGGCTGGTAGAATTTTGTCAAGAGAATATGACAATCATAGCAAACACTGTTTTCCAACAACCCAAGAGATGACCCTACACATGGACATCACCAGATGGTCAACAAAGAAATCAGATTGACTATGTGCTCTGCAGTCAAAGATGGAGAAGCTCTATACAGTCAGTAAAAACAAGACCAGGAGCTGACTGTGGCTCAAATCATGAGCTTCTTGTTGCAAAATTCAGGCTTAAATTGAAGAAAGTAGGGAAAAGCACTAGGCCACTCAGGTATGACCTAAATCATATTCCTGATGAATATACAGTAGAGGTGACAAATAGATTTAAGGAATTAGATCTGATAGACAGAGTGCCTGAAGAACTATGGACGGAGGTTCGCAACACTGTACAAGAGGTAGCAACTAAAACCATCCCAAAGAAAAAGAAAGGCAAGAATGCAAAATGGCTGTCCAAGGAAGCTTTACAAATAGCTGAGGGAAGAAGGGAAGCGAAAGGCAAGGGAGAAAGAGAAAGCTACACCCAACTGAATGCAGAATTCCAGAGAAAAGCTAGAAGAAATAAGAATGCCTTCTTAAATCAACAGTGTAAAGAAATAGAAGAAAACAATAGAATAGGGAAGACTAGAGATCTCTTCAAGAAAATTGGAGATATGAAGGGAACGTTTCATGCAAAGATGGGCATAATAAAGGACAAAAATGGCATGGACCTAACAGAAGCAGAAGAGATTAAGAAGAGGTGGTAAGAACTAAAAAAGAAAGAGCTTAATGTCCCCGATAACCACGATGGGGTAGTCGCTGACCTAGAGCCAGACATCCTGGAATGTGAAGTCAAATGGGCCTTAGGAAGTCTGAGCAACAACAAAGCTAGCGGAGAAGATAGTATTCCAGCTGAGCTATTCAAAATCGTCAAAGATGATGCAGTTAAAGTGCTACACTCAATATACCAGCAAATTTGGAAAACTCAGCAGTGGCCACAGGATTGGAAAAGGTCAGTTTACATTCCCATCCCAAAGAAGGGCAATGCCAAGGAATGTTCAAACTACCGCACCATTGCACTCATTTCACATGCTAGCAAAGTTATGCTCAAAATCCTACAAGCTAGGCTCCGGCAGTATGTGGACCGAGAACTACCAGAAGTACAGGCAGGGTTTCAAAGAGGCAGAGGAACTACAGATCAAATGGCCAACATACACTGGATCATGGAGAAAGCTAGGGAGTTCCAGAAAAACATCTACTTCTGCTTCATTGAATATGCTAAAGCCTTTGATTGTGTGGATCACAACAAACTGTGGCAAGTTCTTGAAGAGATGGGAGTACCAGATCTTCTTATTTGTCTCTTGCGAAACCTGTACACTGGTCAAAAAGCAATAGTGAGAACTGATTGGTTCAAGATTGAGAAAAGAGTTTGGCAAGGCTGTATATTGTCGCCCTGCCTATTTAACTTATATGCAGAGCACATCATGAGAGAGGCGGATAAATCACAAGTTGGAATTAAGATAGCTGGGAGAAAGATCAACAACCTCAGATATGCAGATGATACCACTCTAATGGCAGAAAGTGAAGAGGAACTAAAGAGCTTCTTGATGCAGGTAAACGGGGAGAGCGCAAAACCTTATTTATTTATTTAAAACTTTTGAATGCTGTCCCCCATGCAAAGCATCTCAGGATGGCTCACAGTCAAAACATTAAAACAATCAATATAATTACATACATTAAGACAACCCAAGTGGTAAAAGCAATAAAATGTGACTGTTACATTAATACTAGTTTTTAAAATACTGGTTAAATAAAAAGGTTTTGACCTAGCGCCAAAAGGAGTATAAGCTTGGTGCCAGGTGAACCTCTCCGGGGAGCACATTGCATAATCTGTACACCACAGAGAAGGCCCACAGAGAAGGCCCTACTCCAAGGAGATGTCCTTTTTACCTCCTTCAGGGAGGGTTCTCAGAGTAGGGCCTCCCTCGCTGATCCTAAGAGGCATGAGGGCATATACGGAAGGAGACATTCCTTCAGGTATCCCAGTTCCAAGCCGTTCAGGGCTTTATAGGTCAAAACCAGCACCTTGAATTGGGCCCAGACTTCAACTGGAAGCCAGTGGAGCTGGTAGAGGACTGGCGTTATATAAGAATAATGACTGGTCCCTGTCAGCATCCTGGCCCCTCTATTCTGTACCAGCTGAAGTATCTAGACCATTTTCAAGGGCAGCCCCATGTAGAGCGCATTACAATAACCCAACCTGGAGGTTGCCAGAGCATGAATCATCATTGCTAGTCAGTCTTTGTCCAGGTAAGGATGCAGCTGATGGACCAGCCAAAGCTGTAGGAAAGCACTCCTTGCCACCGCTGCCACCTGGATTTCCAGTGACAGCTCTGGGTCAAGTACTCCCAAGCTGCGGCCCCTGTCCTTTAGAGGGAGTGCTATCCCATCCAGGACAGGGTCAAAATCACTTACCTGGAACATCGATCCACCTACCAGCAGGATTTCTGTCTTATCTGGATTGAGGCTCAGTTTATTGGCCCTCATCCAGCCACTGCTGGATGAACCTTGGTCAGGCACTGGTTCAATACAGCCACTGCCTCACCTGGAGTAGACGTAACAAGAGGTAGAGCTGGGTGTCACCAGCATACTGGTGACTCCACAGCCCAAACCTCCTGATGACCTCTCCCAGCAGTTTCATATAGATGTTAAAGAGCATGAGGAACAAAATAGAGCCCTGAGGAACCCCATGGCAAAGCTGCTATGGCACAGAGGTACAGTCCCCCAGCACCACCTTCTGGAATTGGGTGGTTAGGTAAGAGCTGAACCACTGCCAAGCAGTGCCCCCAAACTCCTATCCTGGCCAGCCTATCCAGAAGGATACCCATGGTTGATGGTATTGAAAGCCGCTGAGAGGACCAGGAGAGCCAACAGGGACACACTCCCCCTGTCTCTCTCCCTGCACAGATCATCATACAGGGTGACCAAAGCAGATTTAGTACTGTAACCGGGTCTGAAGCCGGACTGAAATGGGTCCAGATAATCTGTTTCATCCAAGAGTGCTTGGAGTTGTCCCACCACCACCCACTCTAACACCTTGCCCAAAAAGGGAATGCTGGCCACCAGTCTAAAGTTGGCAGCCACCTCTGGGTCCAGAGATGCCTTCTTCAGGATAGGTCGGATCACCGCCTTCTTCAAGGCAGCAGGGACCCAGCCCTCTCTCAGTGAGGCATTGATAACCTTTTGGACCCAGGGATCAATCCTGTGACTTCTTTCAGCAACCAAGAAGGGCAAGGGTCAAGAAGACAGGTGGTAGGGCCCACCATTCCAAGCACCTTGTCTACCTCATCAGGCTGAAATAACTGAAACTCATCCAATAATGATGGACCAGATGGCGCTCTGGACACCTCCTGTACTGGAACCATATTAACTGTGGAATCCAGCTCATGGTGAATCTGAGCAATTTTTTCCTTAAAATGCTGGGCAGTCATCACAGCAGGCTGGGGAAGGTGTAACCACTTCTTTTTCTTGGCCGGAATGTATTAGGCCTTGCACTTCTCAGAAAAGCTCTTCTGGACGGCACTGTGAGGAAGCAATGGAAGCGGAGAACTGCCTCTTCACTGCCCTCACCACCACAGCATAAGCTCAATAATGAGCACGTAAATATGTTTCGTCAGATTCGTCCCCAGAGTTGGCTTGAAACTCAACATTAAGAAAACTAAGATCATGGCATCTGGTCCTATCACTTCCTGGCAAATAGATGGGGAAAAAATGGAGGTAGTGACAGATTTTATTTTCCTGGGCTCCAAGATCACCGCAGATGGGGACTGCAGACAAGAAATTAAAAGATGCTTGCTCCTGGGGAGGAAAGCTATGGCAAATCTAGACAGCATACTAAAAAGCAGAGACATCATTCTGCCAACAAAAGTGCGTATAGTCAAGGCTATGGTTTTCCCAGTTGCACTGTATGGCTGTGAAAGCTGGACCTTAAGGAAGGTTGAGCACCGAAGAATTGAGGCCTTTGTATTGTGGTGCTGGAGGAGACTCTTGCGAGTCCCCTGGACTGCAAAGAGATCAAATCAGTCATTCTTAGAAGAGATCAACCCTGACTGGTCTTTAGAAGTTCAGATACTGAAGATGAAACTCAAATACTTTGGCCACCTAATGAGAAGGAAGGACTCACTAGAGAAGACCCGAATGCTGGGATCATTTGAGGGCAAAAGAAGAAGGGGACGGCAGAGAATGAGGTGGCCAGATGGAGTCACTGAAGCAGTCGGTGTGAGCTTAAGTGAACTCCAGGGGATGGTTGAGGACAGGAAGGCCTGGAGGAATGTTGTCCATGGGGTCATGATGGGTCAGACATGACTTTGTGACTAGCAGCAGCAACAGCAACAACATTCTTGGGTATGAATCTGTGTGGGTTCTTCCTCAGCAACTAAGTTCAGAGGTCACATGTCACAAGTTAAGAGAAAAGAGCAACCAGAATTCTTGAGAATGATGGATCCAACACCACAAGAACTCAAATTCTACCCTTGTGTGGCACTTCAGGCAGCCCTTTGTCAGGCATAAAGTCCCCCTGAACCCAAAAGCTTGACCTCTATGGACACAGAACACAGCTTCAGAGGGAAGCGATAGATTTCCATTTCACAGTGGTGCTCATAAAAACATACCTCAATCTGCTTATCCTGGAACACCTTGTGAATGCTAGTGTTGAAGGCAGAACCAGAGAACATGGAGGTAATGGGGTAAGTGAGGTCCAGCACTGTTGCAAACACTGAATTCATGTTCTGTGAAAAGAATAGATGTGTTAGGACAAGGACATTGGACAGAAAAACTCTAAAGATCAAAAAGCTGGCTAAAGAGGCAGTAAGTCAGACCCATGAACTCTGTAAGGATGTGCTTTCTTCTTTTCTCCTAACCTCTGTTTCAGAATCAAGGAAGCAACTCTGATAGGCATGGACCTGACTCAGATGAAACCTCTTCTCTTGAGCTTACAGCATGCATGGGCAACTGGGGGTCCTCCAGACATTTTGGCCCATCAGCCTTAGCCAGCATAGATAGTGGTGTGGGGTGATGGGAATTGTATGGTGGAAGGCCACATGTTACCCACTCCTGGCTAATGTGAGCACAATGCTGCCAAAAAGAGAAAAGTAATTCCAAGTAAAAAGCCTAAAAGATAACCAAGAGAGTATGAATTTTGGTATGTGTAATCTGCATGGTAGTTAAAAAAAGTTATTACAGCATGCTTCCTGTATGTGGTTGAAATTATGTCTCTTCATTAGCAAACAATATCAGCTTATGCAGCAAATAATCAGAGAAGGGCCATATATTCCATTCAATCAGGTATGAAAGGCCTGCCTGGACTCCAGGAGGCCCTTTGCTGGTCTGCAACCACCTCCTCTGTATCTCGTCAAACATTGCCTTCACAGACTCTATACACAGGTCCTAAGCACTCTGATCACTGACACTGCTTCCACTGCTTCATTGGGAGTTAGTTCTAAGAACCAAGGTAGAATGCACTAGCTTATTAGTTAGGGAGGTTAACTCAGTGTGAATATCTCCTGGAATGGCAGCAAGTTCTTACTGTATCTTCAGTTTCGTTATTAACTATTGTTTTACTTATTTTTAAAAGCATGTTATCATTTCATATTGTTTTATATAGCTTTTCCAATACCTATTTTAATTATTGATTCTCAATACAACATATTTGAACTGCATCTTACATATTCTTATTAATATGCATATTAAGTTTTAGGAAAATCAAATGTTACTGGATGCACAGATAAAACTCTGGTAAGAAGAGAATCCATAAAGTCTACAATTGTAGGCTCCAAGTATGTTTTTCCAGCAATCCATCAAGAAAGGTAATTACCATACCCAACTCACTGCCTTTCATCCACCTGAAATTCTTTGATTGAGGCTAAAGAGGAGAAGATATAAACTCATGCATCAAACACACAATATCCCTGGTTGAAATCATTATAAAGCACATTGCAGCTCCTGTCTGAGCTGCCAGAGGTTTGCTTCCAGCATTTTGCTAGGCTGACAGTGCAACCCTAGAATGTCTACTCAGAAGGAAGTCCCACTGGGCTTAAGAGGACTCACTCCTGCATAAGTGTTTACAGGACTGTAGCCAACATTGCTTCCTTTAAGCCCCCCTCTTCCCACTGGTTCCAATACTTGCTCACTTTGGCCCACTCCCTGGCTCGCTGCTTGGTGCGCACTGCACTCCTCTCCTCAGCATAGAGGGCACCAATGAAGGAGCCAATTGAGGTACCTCCAATCAGGTCGATAGGGAGACCAGCTTCCTCCATGGCCTTGATCACCCCGATGTGAGAGCAGCCCCTACAGGCAAAGGAAGGACCAAGCCTTATGTAGCTCTGGTTCTGGAACACATAGACCAAATTCAACATGCAGTCCCTGCACCATGACCCCTTGGCTCTCCAAGAAGAGAGAGGAAGCATTCCCTGCTCTTCTCTAGGCAAAGAGAATTGTGTTGGATCTTCAAAGTGGCCACCTAGTGGTGCTCATCAAAAATTCATGCTTCCATGTTGAGAAGGGCAGGACTCCAAGCTTGTGTAACTTGAAATGGGAAAGAGAGTGGAGCCCGGGGGTTTAGCATACAGTTGTGAAGGAGCTAGGCTTCTCTTCGACAGTGGCTGGAGGGAAATGGCTTTCCAGTTCTTGTCAGAGTCTGGAAAGCTGCATAGAAGCCCAGCTGCCACCCTACAAATATTCTCTGAGTTCTTTGGAGGAAAATTACCTGGCCCCACCACCGCCCAGAACCAAAGCAATTGTGTTGCCTGTAAGAACTCTTGCCAAACGGGAGAAGTCACTATGACGATCTGCAGTCTTCTCAAAGACCTTCTCATACATTTCTCTCTGTGGTAGGAAAAAGAAAGAGTGAGAGAGAAGGCACAAGGCTACCTCTACCAATCTTAAAGAAGTGGGATCTGTGAGGTGAGGGAGGTTGGAAACTTGCCTTTTGCAATAAAAAAAGTCAATTGAGATTGGGCATCTCCCCTTGATCCACCCCACTGCCTATCAACTACCAGTGGGGCTTATCTAACCTCGGTATGACAAAAACTTGGCCCATGTTCCTTTGGTGCTTCATGCGAAGAAGATGCAAACCAAAGCAGGCCCATGGGGAAGGGAATACTGTGTCGAGGAAGACAGGGATGGTGCTCCAGTAAGCAAGGAAACATGACACCTGTGGTCTAGGATGGCAGCTAAAGCAGAATAATCATGGCCTGGGGCTGAGTAGCATCCTCAGAAGAATGGGCAGGAGAATCAGTGTGGTGAGAGGGAAATGCATAAAAACACATTTCATTGATACCAGCTTGTTGGGACTTCGCCGGGAAAAGACCCGCCGCCGACATTTGATGTGTAGGTGTCCAGAGCACCAGCTGCGCATGTTCAGCCACTCTACAGTGCGGGCAGGACTGGGACCATCCTCACGGTGCAGAAGGATGAGCTGCTTCAGAGCTCGCACTGCAGTGTTCTCCAGCATCTGCTCTAACTAGGCAAAGAAGAGGTGGGGAGGGGACAGATGAAGTCTCCTCTCTTTGCTCCCATCCCGGCATGTCAAGTGGGTTCCAGTTAATTCTCCCTTAATCTCTCTCATCTGCAAGGAGGTGCTACCATGCCCAAGAAAATAAAAGGCAGAAAACTACGATCATTACAAAGCTTGATGTGACTGGATGGTAGAAGCACAAGTAGGGCAGCACCTTAGCACAGAACCAGCATGGAAGAGACATCAAGAAGTACCCTTTGATCCATTTTAGATCTTGACTGTCTCCCTCAAAGACCAACACAAGAACATCCACTCTGGTCGTTCTATGGCACTAGCAGCATGGAAGCCACCCACCCATTCATCCATCCAGCTCCCACTCCTGCTCTCCCTTCCCAAACAAGCAGTTCTCCCACCCAGCAGGTGCAGCTTCACTTTTGTCATGAGATGCCCTTTACCTCGCCCAGTGTGGGCTCCTGGTCACCCAGGCCCACGATGAGAATGCAGTCAGCTTGGCGGATGCAGCGCACTGTCCAGGGAGTCAAGGTGTAATCAGTCTGGTACAGCACGATGCGGTGGATGTCCTCCTGCTGGGCCAGCCAGCCAGACAGTCGATATTCATGGATGCTGTAGGGACATGGGAGTCTTGGTTCTCTTGCGATCTCCTCACTAGCCAGCATTTGAGGTGAGGCAAGTCAGATGGAGACTGTCCAGAAAAGCAACCTTCTGTCTCCTTTGTGATCTTTCAAAGTGCATACCCCACTACCTTTTGCTTCTGCAAATACTCAGCGCTCATGGGGCAAGCTGTTTTTTCATGGATGGGGAATGTTGCACTGTTACTCCCACCATCCCTGACTTTTGTAAGGGGTACACCTCCCCAGGGTTTGGTGCCCCACAGAGCCCTCTCACTGGAGGACACAGTCAATACCAGAATTTCATCAAACCAGATGAAATCCTAGACTCAGGCTCCACTGGCTGAGGGGCTACAGCACTGAAGGAAGCCCTGTTCTGTAAAAGCAAGGAGTGGGAGTTGCAGTGTTGCCACGGCAGACATGTCAGTGGAAGACCTCAAATGTGCTAGAGGAACATTCTGCCAGTGAACGAGGGCAGAGTCAGGGTAAGTGCTTATGCTGTGTTCTTCAATCCCTGGCCTGGCCCCCCTCAGTAGCAATTACGCCATTTTAGCTACATATTGTTAGCACATGTGCAGGCGCGCACACACACACACCTACCTGTCCAGCGCTGAGGCTCCAAGACGAGCTCGGATGATGTCACTAGTGAGTAACAGAGTTGGGCCTGTGAAGCCGGAAGAAAATTGGTCATGACCAAAGGAGCCAGGGCTGAGCGACAGCAGAAGAGAGAACACAGGCCACGCTCACCAATTGCATTCAGTGCATGCTTGAGTTCCAAGGTGAAGGCTGCCATGGGCACATCATCACACACAGGAAGGACCGCTACTGTTGAGAGGTTACTGGCTGGGTTGGTCAGCTCTGAGCTGGGGGCCATGGCAAGACCAGAACCTGAAGACAAAGGCACACTGTTCATTGGGTTCAAGGGTTCTTGCATACCATAGCAGCCTCTCTCTCAAACCCTGCATGGGAATATTTCCTGAAGTCACAATACAGCAAAGCGGGAATGCTCTGTCCAGAGACCAGCATGTGGCTGGCAGAGCAGTATTCCTACCTGGGAAAGGGCCACGTAACTGCTGCAAGTTTCCCAGGATCTTCTGACTTAGCAGATGAATAAGACGGGTAACAACCTACATAAGGCAAAAGCAGGTTGGAAAGTCAAGGGAAGACAAGTAGCTGGATCTGTGGCCTTATTTATAGCTTGGTCAAAAAGAAAGCCCTTTGGCTTTTCCCAGCTTTGAAGTGATACTACTTATGTGGTATCTTGAACCTTGCAGGATCCTGAACCCTGAATGTTGGCAGCAAGACCAGCAAGATGTGTTGGGGTCAAACCTGGCTAGCATCGAAGTGTCTTTCTACCACTGAGATGAAGCATGTCCACAACAATCCAAGAAAAACCTTGCAGCATTAAAAGTCTTGACTTTGTTATTCTGACATATGGATCTCAGCCTCTCTCGGTGTATCCAATATGTTCAAAATGAAGATGACTTTGAAATGAGCAACAGGACCAGAACCTCATCAAACCTCTGTTTTTGTTAATCGCTCACTAGGGAATTTGCAGTAAGAAGAACAGTATTACAGTTTTATAATGCAAGACAAATCAAGCAGTAAAGTAGAGCCTCTCCAGTTTTTGTGCGCATTGTGGATTTATTTTTCGGCCAGCCTTCCCCAACCTGATGCCCTTCCAAAGTGCTGAACACTGCCTCCATCATCTATGCATGCTTATCCAGTGGGGTGATGCAAGCTAGAGATGTACTGGCTTGGGGATTCCTTTATGATGTGCATTCGTCTCATCTTTAGGGTCTATTTACCAGACTTATAATGCACCCATTCTAGAGATACCCATTCCAAAATCTGTAGAAAAAAGTTTTCAAACTAGCTGTTCAATTATCAGGTGCAAATTTCAGATCCATTTGAGTTCCTAACTTGAAGAAGTGAAATGAAAATGCAGCATTTGCCCTTCTTAAATGTATAGTTCCTGATCACCCACCTGAGGATAACGTCGCTTAATGTTGCTGAGGGTGCCTTCTGGGAGCTTGGCCAACTCCGTGTCCCTCACCGCATGGACAGTGGTGGCCCTAACTTGGTGGGTCAGGGCTTCTACCTGAAGGCACAACACACACAGGCACACTGAAAGGGAGCAGCTCCTCAGATGCTACTGTGTTTGCACATCCCTAACATTCTGGCAATAACTATTTTGGGTCTAAGTACAGAATAAAGGGTATTTTGGAAGGGTCATGATGGGCCTAAAGCAGAGATGCTCAGCAGAGGTATTTGTTCAGAGCTTAGGCCAAAGCAAGAGTCTGATCTTGTGGCTTGAGCCCACCTTAAAGAATGAAAGGCAGCACAAACATTTGAGCTCAAGCTGCCAGCAGTCTCTTGATTATAATGACCAGTAGTTGGGGCCTTGTTCTACAGCAAGTAAGATGCTATTGAGATCTCCTCTGGCTATTTTCCAAAACCCCTCGTCAGCTTCTAATCCTGCAGAGAAACATCACATTTGTCTAAGCATCTCTGCAGAAGTCCTGGTGTTGTGTCACAACAGAGGCCTCTTTTCAGCCATCATCAGAGCAGGCTAGAAAATAGTGAACCCTGATGGGTTCTCTGTTAAAATCTCTTTTGGTGTCACTCCTACAAGGAGTCTCTCTAGCCCAGCTCCCAGAAATCCCCAAGAGGCCTCACGCAGGCTCTCAGAACTTTTCACTCCAGGATGACCTGCTCCCTGGGATCTGAGCCCGGCTGCACCCTCTTTTCACCCCACATCAGACCATAACCATTTGTGCATGGAAGGAGGGAATCAGGGGTGGGCACAGCCGCATCCTGCAAGCTGCAAATGGAACAGGGATGAGCATGCTAGACAAAGTACCCCGAGTTTGTGCCAGGACACTCATAAAGCAAGTGCCCTGCCTGTGGCCTTTCCCACATTAGCACTCACCACTCCAATGAGGTCCCCACGCCCATATTCCCCAACCAGCTCCTTCTTGCCATTGCCCTTCTGGATCACAGAGCGCAGCCGCCCATTCAGCACAATGTAGGTGCAGTCTGACTTGTCACCCTGCCTGGGGGAAAAGGAAAAGAGGAAGGGAAAAACACGCATCAGATTGGCTATTTGTTTTTATGCTATTTAAAATTATTTGTAGGCTGCCTTAAGGATAAAACCCTCTGAAGGCCATAAGGAAAATTGCCTTCCCTTTTCCTTATACTTTTAATTTATTTATATATATTTTTTATTTACACACACACACTATATATATACATACATACACACACACATATATATACATATATAATATATATATAGAGAGAGAGAGAAAGAGAGAGAATGTGTGTTTATATTAATATAATATATATTATATACTCACATATTACACACACACACACACACACACAATAAAATACTACAAAGCAGTATAATATGGATTACACCAATAAAACCAGCAGGACACTGGGAAAACCAGTGAAAACAGGTGAATCTTCAGACCCAGGACTGAAAAGGTCCTGTTCCTCATTCTTAGCAGCCCAATTTCCTCGTAATGGTGAGGAGCACAAAGCTTCCCAAGCAAGGCCCTTTGAACAGCTTTTTGATGGCAGTGGCATGATGCCAGATCAGCGCGTGTCACTGTGTGATTGAGGTCTACTGTGGTTTCATAGCAAGTGATGGCGGTGCACTTGCTGAAGCTTCTGCCTGCATCCATTTCCCCTTGTTGTGGCTACACTGAAGCAACAGGAAGAGGCCCAGAAGCTCCCTGCATGGAAGGCACACTCAGAGCCCCACTCACATCTAGGATGGGAAAGTGTCTCAGCAAAAAAATGAGAACTCTAGGGAGAAAATAATAATGGAAATAAAATGAAATAAGGTGGAAAGGGGATGGGAGACAGTGCCCCCCCTACCTGTAAAGGGCCCGCCCAGCCTCCACAGCCATCCAGTCGATAGCGAAGTCCATCTGACGCACAAAGGGTGACATCCGCGCTGCCACAGTATGAGCAACACTCAGCACCACACTCGGTTGTTCTCGCATAATTCTGGAGTGGGGAGAAAGGCAGGTTGCTTACCTGTAACTGCTGTTCTTTGAGTGGTCATCTGTGCATTCACACACATGGGTGCAGCACATCTCCCAATAAGGCCTGCTCATGTTGACAGTGCCGGGCCCGGTGAACCACCATTTTGGCCTAATGCTTTTGGTGCTAGAAAGTAATTTCCACAGTTGCTACAGGTGGGAAATGGTGGTGCCCACATGGCTGCCCCAGCTTTGACCTCGCCATGAAAAAATGCACTTCAGGGGCTGACAGTCAGATCTTGCTGCCCCAGCAGCCCTAGCCAGCATCATCAATTGTGAGGTCTGACGGTAGCTGCAGTCCAATATCGTCTGAGGACCACAATCTGCCCACCCTGGCTTAGTTTTGCAGTGGCTGCTCAGTTCCTCAAGAAAGGTACAGCTGCGGTTTTAAGCAATTCCTCCTATGAGGAGGGCAGCCAGAGTCTCCTGTGGCCAAGAAAGCTCCTCCTCCCCTCCTTAATTGCAGCCCTGCAATCAAGCCATTGATGCACTCTGGCCTTTTTCTTCCATTCTGCCTGTGAGGTTTCCCACCTGACACCCCCACACCCGATCTCGAATCAGGAGACAGTGCGGTGGGGGGCGCTCAGGTTTGCAGAACAACTGCATGGGGGAAATGGCAGAGACAGGTGAGCAGGGAGAGAAGCCCGGCACTGGATGGCAGACACACGCCTGCGAGCACGTGCACATATCACCCACTCATAGAAGTCCGACTTGGAGATCTTGAGGAACGTGCAGTCGCGGTTGGCCTTGATGGTGAAGATGAGTGGTTCCCCGGTGAGCACAGCCAGCTGGCCCACCATCTCGCCAGGGTGTGTCAAGAAGAGGCAGACATCTTCGGCCTTGTCGATCATCCTTTGGTAAACATGAAGGCAGCCCCACAGCACAAAGTGCAGGCTGACATCCTGCCAAGAGAGACCGGCATAAGCTGTGCCACCCTCGGAAAATAAGCTCACTGCTGCGTGGGATAGAGAAAAGGGGTAAGGTAGAGAGGCCCTTCTTCATGTTCAGGTTTAATCTGCCTGCATGTAGTTTCATAGCACTGTTTCTTGTCCTGCCTCTGAATGCAGAGAACTTGAAAAAGATTTCAGGAACTGTTTCAGGGTGTATAAAGTATATCATATAAAGAAAGGCAGAAGGAACTGAAGTGTGTGAGAAGAAAAAGGTAGGGGTTGGAAGTGATGCAAGATTTGCTGATTCTTTTTAAGAAAACATGTCCACTGAGCCTTGGATTCCAAATAAAAATCTGCTTCTGCTTCTGCAGAGGCCTGGATTTAATGTAAAGAAAGTGCACATTCCCTACTCCTTTCTGGATTTGCGTTGCTTATACGAGTTCCCTCACCAATTAATGGCTTTTCTTTAATACCACAGGGAAGGGGGCTGCCTATAATCACTGCATCCCTTTTCATCTAAGCCAGGCAGCTTTACCAACTTGTATGCCACCAGTGGTACTTGCCTGATCTCCTTGACGGGCAATCACTGTCCCAGCCTTGGCATGGTGTAGCAATACTCGGTTGTTCAATAAGGAGGAATCCTACGGAAAGAGCAGAAGAGTGACAATGGGTGTCCCACAAAGATTACCAGGTCAAACGCTGCCGCAGAAACCAGTGCCCCCTAAACCTGGCAGAGGAAGGGGGAGAGGCACCAGGCCAGCAACTGCTCTTACGGCACATGAAGGTTCTCAGCCTGCATTGCTGACCTGGAAGAAGAGGGCAGAATGACTATTCTGAGCAAGGAGGAGAAAGCCCTGCCAAGCAAGACGGAGAAAGGAGAAGTCTGCAAAACCCCTGGTCTGACCCTCACTATGGGTACTGTACTGAGACCGCCTTCCCTAAGCACTAATACTGTGACCATCTGAAACTAGATCTGACCCTGGGGAGTGCAGTTCTCTCAAGGCCTGAGGGTCACCCTTTCCCACAGCTCCAACCTAGATGGTCAAGGTTTTGAAACTGAAACAAGTGAAGGTGCCTCAACCTTATGTCACATATTAGGAGACAGAATAGCACACTGATGTCCAGACGGCACGTTTAGTCCAACTGAAGGAACTGACCCCCCAGTCTAGGCAATGTTGGTTCACACATTACCCCAGCATGTGGAAGCTTCTGCAGAGCGGTTAACGTGCACAGGTATTTCCCAAGTGAACAGCTCCACAGCCATGCTGCTCAAATGGAGAGTCCATGCAAGAATACGCAGCACTGGGGTGCTCAGACGCAGTGCAAGGTGGGGATCTCTGCAAGAACCATGTCTCTTTTCCTACCCGGTGTGGCACCACCATCATGCAGGAGCACTTTCCAGCAGCTTCCACATGTCTGGAGTAATGTGTTAATTGGCCCACTATTACGTAGCTTTGGGCGAGTAACTTGCGTGTGGCCACAGTTCTTCCTGTATGGAAAATGGGAATAACGGTGACCAGGAGTCTTACAAAGACTAGGGGAGGTGCTTTAACGTGAACCCCATCCACTGGAGCAGAGATGGCCTCTACCTCAATCTTCATAAGCTTGACTAGCTCCCGCTTGGCAGCCTCAAAGATGGCACTAGTCTGTCGCCCTTGGTATGGGCCAAAGGGGCAGTTGCCAGTTGCCGAGTCATCCTCACAGTAGTTGTAGCGGTAGATCCCAGACGGCTGCTCCTCCACTGTAACCGACTTCCGTTCCCGGGGTTCATGGGAGATGGACTATCAACAATGGGAGAGAATAAGGTAAGTTCAGGGAGGCAGAAGGGTCAAATGGCCAGCTGTAGGAAAGGCTTTCAGAAAGGGAGGTCTAAAATGTACCATCTCTCCCAAGCAGGCCCAGAAGGGGAGGCCTGAAATGTACCACCTCTTCACCCAAGCAAACCAACCCAAGAAATGTGCCAGGGGACCCTTGTCTGAATATCCAGCACAAGCATCTTCAGCAGCCTCATCTCCCTCTAGGCTGGGAGGATCAATCCACGGGCACCAGCAAAACATTCCAGCCAGTGGCAAAGACCTACCCGGGCAAAGCCAGCCAATGACACAGAGCTGTCTTCCTGAAGGGACACTGAGATGCGGCCACGTTCATAGGCCATGTCAAAATCTGAGCGGGGGCCCTTCTGGATCCCTGGATGAGAAAAGGGCAGTGAGGTGAAGTCCCATATCACACTAGGCCGGGCAAAACCTCGAAGAGGGAAGGGAGGCTTACCTGAGATATCAACTGGCATAGAGATGCAACGGCTCAACTGTGGGGCAGCAGGGGTCTCCAACAGACCAGGCTTCAGTGAGTCACCTGGAAGTATAGGAAACTGCCACTCACCAGGCATCTGATCCACCATGTTGATGAGAGAACCCACATTCTAATATTCATACATGCCAAGGATCGTAGAAACTCCCCCATGAGAAGTTTATTTTGTACTTGTGTTCACTTTTAAATCATCCAATAATCCAACTTTATTAGGCAGTGCACAGTAGAGCAAAACATAACTTATGAACAAGATATATTTCTGCCCATGTATAACCAGCTTAGATGTCAAGTAGTGCTAAGGCTGAGAGGGTACTGCAAGGAAGAAAGGGAGGCAAGGCAGAGAAAACAGAGTAAGGTGGTAGCTGGGATAACATGGGGGGCGTGTTGGGCTCCCATCATGTTGGCCCAGCAGAATCTAGTCCTCAGCAGGAGCATATGAGCTCCCAGCTTCACTAGTGAGGGGACACTGTTGATGCAGAGTGCAGACATGTGCCTGCTGCCTACGCAGTGGAGTACTGAAGAGTGGCTGTTACAGCTTTCCCACTAGGAAAAAAGCCAAATGCTGCTATTCAGGGCAAACTTGGCATAAGGGCAAGCTCACTTCATCCCAGACACTGGGGAGCACTGTGACAGGGCACATGCCAGTCCCACTGACCCTGGCTGTGTCTCCAAGCACATCTTTACTGTTTTCCACAGGAATACCTGTCAGCTTTCCTTACCACCTGTACCTCACCTGTAGTGGAGGCAAGAAGGCCAGCTGGGACAGGCACCCATCAGGCGGCCAGCTTTGGCTTGAGGGTCAGCATCTAATGGACCTCAGATTCAGCTACGGGGAAGGGGCTTTACCAGAGAGGAGACACAGGCAAGCCTGTGCTTCCCAGAACTAAACATTTTGCTGCTGGCAAGGAATTCTATTTTCTATAGAAACAGAAAAGCATCCCCACTGATTCACTAATCCAGCTAAGATGCACTTACCCTGGTCTCTCGAGGAAATGTCTGGCTGCCTGACAGCACCATCTCTAGCATCCTCAATAGAAGAGGCACTGATGACACGCTTGCTGTGGCGGATGGGACTGGTACGGGAGGGGTGGCTTGACTGGGGGAAAAGCCTCAGGGGTTGCATCTCCTGGAGATGGAAAAAAAAATGCTCAGGACCATCACACAAGTAGATGGGAAGCTCCGGGATGAGGGCTGCCTAAATTTCTTGTGCTTTGAAATCCCACCCTCTCTATTGCAAATGTTTGAACACAACCTTCCTCAACTGGGTTCTCTCCAGATGAGTCAGTCTGCAGTGTTCAGGCAGCATGGCCAAGAGAATGATGGGAGTTGTAGTCCAATACATCTGGAAGGCAGCATGTTGGAGAAGACTGCCCTAGAACAGTGGTGAGGTGAATGCATTCTGCACATTCTCAGAGAACCCTGACTGTTACTGCCCACATTCTAGGGATGAATCCTCGCACTGAAAACAAGTTCCAGGTGGCAAGAAGGTGGGTGGAGGGGGAAAGTTTTTCAAAAATAGAATCGAGGAGGACAAGATGTGTGCAGTAACTCACATGGCTGAAAAGTTCATTTGTCAGGCCAAGGTAGTTGTGCAGGGCCAAGAAAGTGACTCTCTGCAGGCGCACCATTATGATCTGAAATTAGAAGTAGCAAGTCAGAGCAGAATATAACAGGTAGAGGTCTGCAAGGCAGCAGGGATGCAAGTTCCCTGATGAGTGCCAGCATCTGGCCCATGGTGGGTTACAAGCCCAAGGAAAAGTTAATCCCTAGCAAGAGAAATGCCTGTTAGTTTCTACTGGAAGAGTCACCTCTTGTCCTGAGTGAGCACACTGCAGTAGATTCTGAACAGGCCTGCCTTCGCTTTCAGTAGAGGGCCACGTTAGTCAGATAACAAGAGTGTAGGGCTCCTTAGCACAAAGGACATGCACAGCCCTCTGGGGAGCTGTGAGCAAGTCCCAAGCAAAAGCTCTTCTCCACCACACCTTTCACAAGAACCAAGCAATTCATGAGTGCACAGAAGTGCACAGAAAGGAGGAAGGGCAGTTGCAGAAGAGGGGGAGAGAAAGTGAGAGAAGGACCATGCTCTGGGCATGATCATCAGATGCTCACCTGCACCACCCGGACAAGGCTCTCAGGGTACTTCTCAAAGACAGCTGAGAAGGCCTCCACTGGGAGACGCAGCACTGTGGAGTCTTCAGCCACCCGTGCAGATACTGTGCGGTATGGCCGTTGGTGACCCTGTCGAAAAGCCATCCATGACATCGAAGAGGCCCTTAAGAGAATGCTTGAAGGGGTGGGAGGAGGACAGAGCAAGCACACCAGATGCCCCATTCTCAGAAGAGAGGGTGGGTGGCCCTAGTTCAACCTGCCCCCACTTCACGGGGCCAGTTCCTGCTGCTTCAAGTGGTGCATGGTATGGTAGAGACTTGGCTGATACTAGCTCAGAGACCGGCCCCCAAGTCAAGCCTCATCCAATGGGGCCAGAACCAGAAGGGGTGAAGGGGTAATAAGAACTGAGTGGGTTATCTGGGTCAAGCTGAAGCTGCTTAACATTCTGGGTCTCTGAAATTCCTGAGATGCAGGGTGCTGGAGGAGAAAGAGGGCTGTGACACCCCATTATTTGTAGAACAAGATCCTACCGTGATGACGTCCAGGATGCTGAGAAGACTATGGACGCTGTCACCAGGAAATACTTCCTTCACAAGGGTCTCTTTCCCATCCTGGATGACATACACCAACACTCATGAGAAGCTAGTCATGGTCAAAGGCAGCCATCACTTCCCCTCAACTCAGGCCTTTGAGCCATGAGCATCACAGTCTCTGGTGTTAACCCCACTGAAACACATGGGTGTTGTCAGTAGTTTTGCCCAGCTGTAATCATCCCAGTGGCGCTTGCTGTGAGGAGATTGCTGGGTTCCGCCACTCATGAAAAACTGGGGTTGTCCCATGGAGCACCTGCTCCTTACCTGTTCAGACAAGAAGAGCTCTAGCTTTCCATCTTGGACCACATAGATGCTGGTATCAGGCTGGCCAGGACGAAACACATATTCACCCTGCTGACACTGTTGGAAGGTCATGTGCTTGCACAGCTCCAGGAACAAGGGCTTCTCAAAGTGGCCCAGAACCCTGCAAGAGAGTGAGGGGGCACCTTCACCACAACATCCCCATCATGCCACTCTGTCTGTGGTAACACACTGAAGATATGCCTACTACACAATGCCCAGCACACAATGCCCAGCACACTAACAGGCTAACGAAGGCATAATAAACCAAGCCTTTCACTTTTGCATTCAATCATGCACGCTCAGCCATGGTACAGACTCCACATATAAGCTTGAACTAGACAACTTTCTAATCGGGTGTACATTTGTCTCCTCCTGCCTTTTCCTTCGAGTCCCCTCCGATATCCACTTATGCCAAGGAATTAAGTCTGAGAAACACACTGACATTAAACAGAATCCGCATATGAATGAAGTTTGGCTCCTAAGGTAGCTAGCTTTAATATCCACATAACCCAGAGAATCTGTCTGCTGTTACTTTAAGAAATCACATAGGCTGGAAGAAACCGCATGGATAGCCAAGCTGTTTTTCTAACACAGGATGAGGTGATGTTTAAAATACAGTGGAGGGCAAGAAAGGCCTCTCCCGCAGATCTCAAGGGCCGGGCGGGCATATATGGACCCTTAGGCTTAGTGATACGTTATTTAAAATTCTTTCAAAACATGCTCTTTTCAGAAATTCAGGTTCTGCTTCGTGGTAGTGGACATGACTGGAAACAGTATTTCCCAGGTTCAGTCCCTGAAGTTGTGGGAGCACCAGAGTCATGCAGAGTGTTGCCAACACCTCCCTAGATCTGGAAGCCATGCTTCATATAATCCATGAAACTTTCTGCCAGAGTAAATGTGCTCATCTTTTAGGTGCCACAAGGCTCTTTGTTGCTTTTGCTGCAACAGACTACCATGGCTACCCAAAGATCAATCATGTTACTGGACACCTCAGAGGCAGGAGGAAAAGTCACTAGTGGTGGCTCCACAATCCCCTGTGGTACTAACATTGCAGGGATCTACAAAGTGGGAAACAATCTGGTAGTGCTGACATGGAATGTATCATACATATCACAGATGAGCAATACTAGAGGAGGAAATGTGTTAGCAAGAGCTGGGACACTGTCCCTCTCTAAGTGGAGACACCCATGCAGAGGCACTGTCGACTTGCCTTCTGTATTCCTGAGAAGAGTTAATATCCTGCAAACAGAGTCAAGCCTCTTTGGCAGAGCAGAGGCACGTTCAACTGGATGGTAGCCCTAGAGGCTGCCGTGCCGGGCCGTGTGGCTTCCATCCAGACCCCAAGCTAAGCTAACATGGACCTGCAGCACATACTCACCGCACATTCTTCAGCATGTATAACACCTCTGAAGGGAGGTGGGAATTGGCTACATCAAACTCTGTGAGATCAGCCTCCAGGACAGAGGGAGGTGGCTCCTTCAGCTGAAGAGTGGGAAGCTCCTTCTTGATGCGCAGGATCCTGAGGGCAGGGTGAAGCAGCTGAAATTCCTGTGCAGGCATCAGAGCAGCCGACCTCCCCACAAGGAATGGGTGATACCCACGCTCACATGAGAGCACAAGCCATCCATCCCTCCTCTTTGCGAGGAAGCAAACAAGTGTGCACCAACCTTCCCTCCATACTCGTTTGGAGGAGGTGGTGTGAAGTGGTTGTCACTCCATTTGGGAGAATTCACCAGCTTTCTACTGGGGGCGGGAGGTAGGTATGCATGCTTCCAAATAACACAGCTCAACTTTACGACCAGAAAGTGACAACCACTTCACACACATCCCTTGAATAGGTCCTCTATTTCATCTCCAAATTGCCACAGGTTCACTATGGCTATTTCTAGGTAAGCAACATGCAAGCTTTAAGGCTCTTTTTTCAAATAAAGTTTCTAGCTCTCATTGTCACAGAGAACATAACAGCAGAACTGTAACAGATTAAGAGAAACATTCAAAGAACAGCCTAGTCTCTCTCTCTGTGTATGTTTTTGCACATATGCATGTATGTGTGTGAAAGAAATATAGTTACATCTGTAGCAGTCAAATACAGAGGGATACTTACTTACGTTGTCCACTGAGAACACAACAAGAAGTCTTTAAAACACTGGAAGTCAGGTAATCACAAACGAAGTTTTTCTAAAAGTAACTGATGCCTCCAGAGGGAAGCTTCCTGGGAAGCTTTCAGGCCTCTGCTGGGGATGGCTTAAGTACAGGTAAGTCTGCGTTCTCCTTGGGGGTTAGTCTGGGTGCTTCCTTACTGGGTGGTTATTCAGTAGCAGAACCTGCATCCATGATCCTGGGCTGTGCCCACCCAGGCTCCCCAAAGTCCCAAGGTCATCGTCAGAGATACCCACAGAGTCTTTGACACTCCCTGGACCCACTATCCCATCTTTCCCTACTCTGGCTTATATTCTTACTTTTTGGCAATATTTAGCATCTTGAGCTTCTTCTTCATGCGTGGCCGAGAAGCAGAGATGGTGGTATCTACAAGGGATGATGTAGATTGAGAAACCTGCCAAGAGAGCAAAGGTCATAAGTGGAAGAAGAACCTTACATAGGAATCAGGAAATGGTTATTCCCTTTGGTATGTAACTCTGAAGATATATGACAAATGCCAGCAGGGAAGAGCCAGTCTTATCTAGCCAAATGCAGATCTTTAGCAGCGCCTACCAAAGCTTGGCCTATCCAGGCTATGTTCATGAACATGCCCAATCCAGACCTCATAGAGCGCAGGCAAGCTCCAGGATACGCATATCTGTCCACCGAGACACTGCATTATGCACAAGGCCTTGGCAAACCAACTCATTGCAAAACAGGCCCAGCACACCCACTCTGACCCCCTTCTGGGCCCTGCTCTTCCTGTTACCTTGCGCATAATCTTTCGTCCATAGAACAATACTTTGTCCCGCTTGCGAAATCGATACTTGGGCTGCTCCTGAGCCTGAACATCTACAGGGAAGCCATAAAGGAAGTGACAAGATCAGGAACACAGCAGGCCAAGTCCCCTTCAGACAACCCCCATCTCAGATATGTTTGCTTCCCACAACCAAAAGGGAACTTACTCTGAAGACGAAACTGGCGAATCATCACCAGGATCAAAGCAGCAACAAGCAGCACTGACAGCCCAACTCCTATCACAACACCCAACACCTGTTGGAAAGAGTTAGAGTCTAATGGGAGCATGGCCTGCAGCCTGCTGGAAAGGCTGTGGCCACCTCATTCACTGTCCCAGAGGTGATGTTCTGGCAGCTCCATCCCACTTTATCGAAACACAGCTCTGGCACTGTGCACAGCAGATTCCAAGGATGAACAGGTAGCTGTGAGGAATGAGCTTCCTCTTTGGCTGAACCTGGCAGGAGATGTGTCTACCTCTAGTAAAAGAATGGGAGTGCAGCTGACCAGCCAAGGCCTGAAAGAAACCCTTTGAACAGAGATTCACTAAACAGGAACATTTCCAGGCATGGCCCTCTACATCCTACCCCAACTTGGTGTCCCCCAGATGTGCAGGTATTACATTCCCCTTCATGGAAAGGAAAGATAGGATTTGCAGTAACAACCCATCAGGAGTGTGCTAGGTTAGGAAATGCTAGCCTACCCTTTCATTCAAGGAACAAGGGAACTCAGGTTGTTCCCTAGCACTGGCCTGAGCCCAGCCTGAGAGAAGCACATGATGCCAGAGACTGGGCATGAAGATGGGCTGTCAGCTATAGAGTCCCACTGGGCAGTGCTTTGGGTCAACATTCAATGGTCTGACTGCAGTTGCTGCAGAGCTCCCACCTCAATAACCCACACAGTCAGCTGCAAAATGGGGTGATACTGGAGCTGGCTGCTGCACAAGAAAACAAACCAAGAACCACATATATTGGGATACTGGTGCAGGAATAAACTGCATTTTGCACAGGACAATTCAGCATGCATTATCTTGCCCAGGCAGAGAGATGTGCATGTCTTTCTCCAGTTCTGCTTCCAGGAACTGGTCTTGCTTTCTCAGGACCAGGTGGCACCCTCCCCTTCCTAACACTTCCTTCTGCTAAGCCAGCCTTCCCTCATCTTGACATCATACCTGTGTTTTTGGACTACAGCTCACATCTCCCCCAACCACTAATCATGCTGACTGCTTAGGAGTTTGTGCAGGACATCAGACTGTCAGGTTGGTGACAATAGCGCTGGGCTGTGTAAACACTCATCCTGCTTGCTGGACCATAGTTTGCAAACACTCAACCATCCAGAACATCCAGGAGGCACACCACTTCCTGCTGTCAAAAAGACTTAGAAGGTAGGGCAAAAGGAAGGGGCAAGCAAATTAGGCTTGCTTTGGGACAGGCTACTGTATCATAGAGAAGGGAAATCTTTGCTTGTACAAGCTTTGGGATGAAGAGGGTGGTGAACTAGGAGTGAAGAGCTCTAACTTCCCAAGCAGTCAAGGGGGAAGGAGAATGGGCCTTCCAGTTTTCCAATAGCTTGTGGATGTTGGCTGGCAGGCAGGCAGGCACTCCCCCGACCCCCATGAGACAGGTGAACCGCAGGTATTAAGCACTTTCTAAGGGGGGAAATGTCTTCAGGCTACCAGGTAGAAAGAATTGTGAAGGGCAACTGGGAAGTTTAAGGGGAAAGTTTGCAAGGAGACAAAGCTGATAAGGAGTGGGGCACACACAGTGACAGAGGTGCTCCCCACAGTTAAGGACCTATAAGCTTTGCAAGTGCCTGCATAGCTCTACATCAAGCTAGCGTGTCAAGTCACCTTTGCTAGTCTGAAATGGGGTGGGTCTGCAGCCAGATAGCTGGCCACATGTGGAAGCAGAGCATGGGGCTGGACACAATGACCTTGTATGATCCTTCCAACTCCACTACTGTTCTGCCCAACAACATTCTTTTCTTGTTGATGGAGAGGTTAGCCAGGATGCACAGGCCCTCTGCTTACACAAGCTGGGTGGGAGCCCTTCAACATGGCTTTGCTATATCCTATGACATGCAGCTTGGGCCTCCCTCAACTGGGGGCTGCAATCCCACTTCAGTGACGCTCTTGGCAGTCGCATTCTTACTGCACGGTGGGAAGAACCTACCAAAGGGGTGCCCCGTTTGACAGCACAGCGGTTCTCTTGTTAAGGAAATGAAGTTTGAGCACGGGTTTATTTGGCATTTACATGGCGAGTTTTAGCATCTGAGATACTTGTTTTTATTTCCCCCGCTATCTCTGAGAACCACCCAAAGATGGACTTAGGAAGGACAGGAACTGTGAGCAAACCAGCACAACCCCTTTATACCCAATGACATGGTGATTATTTTGTGACTGTAATAATATTGATCAGGGATATCATTGATCTCTGACTAGTGAGTCTGTTTCATTGGTCCTGCTTCTAAATGCTACTTTAAAAGATTTGGAGTTTGTCTAGGAGTTAATACCTATATGCTGTTAGTTTTCTTCCAAATGAGAAGGATATATTCTGTTTCTGATGGAGCTACATTCCCTCTTTAGAAACATGTTTGTAGTTTGGGAACGCTTCTTAATCCTGTGATGCTCTGGATGTTCAGTCTGCACTGGAAGCAGGAGCCCTTTTTACAAGCTTAAGCTGTGGCTTCTCTGGACAGAGCAGGTCTGGCCACCAGCATTCATTCCCTGGTGACTCCCAGAGTAGATTACTCTAATGCATGCTGTGTTGAGATACCCTTGAATGGGGTCCCAAGAAATTATGAGTAATCCAAAGTGTTCCTGGAGCATGCTATATGGAGAATATCACTCTAATAATATGTCATCTTCAGCAGCAGTTCAACGTGCTTGTTTAATCTTTAAACTGGCTTGGATCAATTTCCTCTTATATCAGTGGGTTTCTGTGCACACTAGCAGCCATCTGAACTATTTGCAAAACCCTTTTAGCAAATTTGAGCCACTTCACACTTGTTGTGTTGTGTTTAATTTTCAGAGTGGCCAATCTAAAAATAAAAGACAAACCTTCCAAGCTTGCAAAACAAAAAGCTTAACTTTTGAAGTTATTACAGGACTGATTTTCCCCTAGTTATATGGATGGGAAAGTGAAACTGTATAAACTAATTGGAGTCCATTTATCACCAGCAACTTCTCAAAACAGAGTAAGAAAAATTAATTACAATTTTGCCTCCATCATCAATTCCATGTATGTGTATACTATTCCAAAAGCACTGTGGTAGCTCTGTGTACATTTCTGTTTGTAAAATATCAGCAAGCCAGTATGAAGGCCAGGAGGAGTCCATTTGAGCTCTGTAATAAATTTTATCCTGCAGGATTGGTTCTGTTCCAAGTTAGATTTATTTTGACAAGGGGTTAACACTCGCATAGTGCAAACCTGTGATGCCAGCAAAACATAACACCCTGTTAGGTTATTAGAACACAGCAGTCCTCTTCTATTTTTTATAATGAGCCCAGTGTTTCATCATCTTGTTTCTCCTCCAGGATCTCCTGATGGGTCAATGAAGAGTGCCTCATTAGTATGTTGTGCCTTTTCCCTAAGTTTGTTTGCCCCAGCAAAAGGGACAGATACTGAATTCTGTATTTTCCTCTGCGTGTGTGTGTGTGTGCATGCTAAAATATTAATATTAACAATGTACTTCAACAGCAATAGAGTTCATGTTAGAATATAGGTCTTAAGGGAGATATAGCAACAGAATCTGTTTTAAATTGAACTGGAGTCATTCAGTGGGATGGTGTAAACTTGTGCCCTGCAATAGCAGGAGGTTGGACCCGATGGCATTCTTGGCCCCCTCCAACAATACTGTTGTATGATTCTGAAATCAACATATACACTTATTTCCAGAGCTAGGGCTTTAAGGGAATCCTATTGAACAAGCACACCTCTGAGGCCTTATTCTGTAGTCCTGTGCCATTGGAAGTATTGTGAGTTGTCAAATAGACTGGACCTTCTGTTTATGGTATACAGGCTTCTGAACCCACTCCTAACAGAAGTCTGCTAAGTGCTTAGTTTTCTAATTAATAAAAATACTGCTGTTTTAGTCTGCCTTCAAAGGAAGTGATTGCTGAATATTGGTTTGAGATATCGGACTATTGTCCTCACTGATGTGCTGTTTTGCAGCAGAGGCAATGCCTAGAGTGCATTTATACCCTTTCCTGTCTTGACAGTCTGGCTACAATAGTGAGTCAATGGTGTTGATAACAAGAAGATCAGAAAAATCTAAGGCCAGACTTGTAACCGAAAATGATTAGCACGTGTGTGTACAGGAAATACAAAGGAAATATGTTAGAAGCATGACTACCAGACAAACTTGAGAGACAGGACCTTCTCAGTGTTAGGCCAATGCCTCAGAAGGTTCTCCCCAGGGAGCCTTGTCAAGGCTCAACTGTTTTGCAGACTTCAGAGTCTAACGTTAGGTGCTACCTGTGTTCCAATCTGTTTTTTTCTACTGCTATTTCTGAGGTGATTTAACTGGCTTACTCTTTTCATGCTATTTTTATTGGTGTTTATATTTTCCTCCAATGTGATTGGTTAGATGGTTAGCTTTACTGACAGTTGCTTTGCAGATATTTACATAGAAATGAGGTTAAAATGATGACATACAGGAGCTGTGGGAATTTGCTCAGATTGGACTGTGTCTGATCATACTCCAGAATCTACTTTCAAAATGATCAGGAAACAAACACCTTTTCCCAACATTCCACAGCCCATTCTCCAATGCAGTGTCCATGCCAGAGTTGTTCAGCCATGCAAATAAGAGTCCGCTCTTGCCAGCAGAAGCAATGCAAAGCATTATGGCCCTTCCAGCACTGCAGAGGAGTAGCTGTTTCCCACTGCTCTACCATGGAAGCAGCAGTCAAGCAAGGCCAGCAGATGCTTTCATCCTGCCTTCCAAACCCCTCACCATACTGGTCTGGAGCTGATCCTCCACAAAGATCTTCATGTTGGAAAGAACAGCCATCAGAGGCGCATCCTACAGTGGGAAAGAACGCAGCAGGCACTAAGGGACAGGAAAAGGGCCAGGTAATGCAAAAACAGAGAACACCAAGGAAGCAAATAGAGTCAAATAGAAACAAAGAAACAGAGCAAGCCAGGAGTCTCCTGGGCCATCTAGTCTGACCCCCCGGCTCCAGCCAGCTCCGCTCACAACATGTCCACCATGTGCATGTCTAGCCTATCCTTGAACACCCTCGCCAATGGGGCCTCATAAAAATGATTTATGATGCAGCATTGTGTCTGGTCCATCTGGCCAGATGTGTTGGACTATAACTCCCTTTCCCTCAGCCAGCACAAACTCTATTTGCTGGGCATGCTGGAAGCTATTGCTTAACTCACCTGGAGAGCACCACGGTGGCCATTTCATGCCAGGCACCAGCTTATGTTTTAAGCAATCAATCTGAAGTTTCTATCCAGTTAATACATAAAGGTATCTTCTGAGAACAACCAAATTAATTAATTTTCAAGGCCTTAAATAAAAAGGAGGACAGCCAACCAATGTGTTTTGGAAGCATGAAGAAAGCAGAGAAATTAATGTCCAGCAATGAACCTGGGCCTCTATAGCCATAGGTAGGCTGTCAAGCAACTGCACTTTGACAAGGGAAACACTGCCAGACACACATGTTGTTACGGCCTTCACTGGAGCAATTCTACGCAGCAGGAGGGGTGGATGCTCAGCTGGACAGCCCTAGCCACTTATGTCAGACAGGGAGTGCAATGCAGGACAGCATTACCTCTTGCTCCTCCTGTGGTTCTGATTCACTCTGCCCCATGATGGCTACGAATTTTGTTTCCAGGACCACTCCATTAAGGACCCTGCAGGGAAGAAAGAAATTCACATAGCATGCTTCCAGGAATGTTACAAACATACCTTTAGATATAATTAGGTTTATAATGCTGGATGTTTCAAAGGTGAGTTACCGAGGTGGGTCCCATGCTCTAAGAAAAGGAGGATCATACTTTCATTCTCTTCATGCATAGTGAAAGGCTCCAAGTTTGGGGCAGGCACCACTCTGGCTCCTCAAGAAGTAAAAGTCTGAATACAGTGAACTTATGGCTCAGAGCAGGTGGGGTCAAGCTCCTGACACTTGGTACAGGAAAAGCAGAAGCACCATTCCAAAAGGCCAGGAAGGGCTACGTATGGAAATAGTTTAGCAGGATGATCTCTAGTTTCTAGCCTCCAAGGACAAGTATTGCTTTTCTAAACTTTGAGGAAAAAGGCAGGATATAAATCGAAAAATAAATAAATAAATAAATAAATAAATAAATAAATAAATAAAGAAAGAAAGAAAGAAAGAAAGAAAGATGCATTACTGATGACCCGGTAGTATACTTTGCCAAAAAATATACTGAAGTTGAAAAATACCTGTTCCTGTCCAGGATTCCTCATCCCCAAACCAACTAAAAGGCATGAAGGTACAGAGCAGCCAAATTCTGCCATATGGTAGGTTGCAGCAACATCTGAAGTTAAACACTTCAGGAGGCAGGCAGAATGATCAGCTGAAAAGCCCTCAGCAGCCCCATTCAAGCATGGGGACATGGAGGTTATAGGACAAGGAAAACCTCAAGGACACATCACAAGAGAAGAAACACCAACTATGAGGCCTCTGAGAAGATGATGGGAGCCAGAATGTTACACAGCTCCCTTCCCTCTTATTCTGGGACTTTTCTAGAGGAAGGAGACTTGGGGAGAGACTTAGGACCAAGAAATTATATTTAATACTTCAGGAACACCCCCGTCCTCCACATACACAACCTTTCGTATTGTCAAACAGTTCTTAGACTTTGTTCAAATGATACATCCACTCCTGTGCTACTCAGAATTCCTAAGCATGGCAGGAACATCCCAGTATCAAATTGCGTATGTAGCAGTAACCAGTATACACAGTGGGAAAACAGGGGCTACATTTGTGTGACATGCACAGTATGTGAGGCTTTCCCCACAAAGCCTCACTCCTACAACAGTCTCCATGGGAGACATCCCTGTTCAACAGTGGAACATCTCTTGCAATTAGCTGCCTGAGAAGCAGTAGGCCATCAACGCCTACCTGAATTGCATCACTCTGACCACATCTGGATTCCTCACTCTCATCAGTCTTCATGAACTCAGGGGCAGGGGGAGGCCAGGATGTTCATGGTTTAGAGAATAAGCAGGTCAATGATATACTGATTTGAAAAGGGTGAGTGGGAAAGGATTCTCGGTCCATGCCTCACCACCTGTGATCAGGGCAGCTACCTATGAAGCACTTGATGGTCATCTGAGCACCATTTTAGATTGGACTCTAGTCTGTGTTGTGGCTTGATGAGAACAGCCTGAGAAGTAATGCATCGGTCCCAGTTAGTGCACAGAGATTTATGCCTGCTTGTGTGCACGCGTGCATAAATCTTAAGATGGAGTGATCAAAGTACTAACAAGCCTAACTCATACACTGGCATGAGAGTTGTTGCCATGTGGTTCAGTGTCACAACATAATGCCCTCTAGATGTACTGGATTGCAACTCCCAGTATTTGGAGGCAGCTTGACCAACACATTTAGAGGGTAGTAGGTTAGAGGAGGCTGTTCTACTGGAACAAAAACAACTGTAGGGTAAACAAAAGGAAATATTTATTATAATCCAATTGATTTGAGATTCTAGAATTAATACACATTTGGTTATAAAACTTATAATACATAGCATTAGCAACATAAAGTACCTTCTTAAATGGAATTTCCACCTTCTTGAATTCAGGCTGTAGGAACCAATATGGTAGGGTAAATATTGCAATTCCTCCTCACAAAGTCTTGCCAGGAGTCTGAGGCATTCAGCTAGGGCCCAGGAAGGTGGAAGGTACTAAATTATTTTAATACAGGAGAGGCTGTTTTGACTACCATGCCAAAGGAGAGCGCTTCTATCATTTATCCTCTAGGCCAGCCAGTTTATCCTGTTCCTTTCTCCAGCCCACATGTGACAATGGCCTAGCCTCACCATGTTGACCTTTACAACCTTATAGGTCAGAGATTACTATCTATGTAAGGAAGGATAAATGATTTTGATCATCAGTTTTCCCCAATCTGCTATCCTCTAGATGTTTAGACCACAGACCCCATTATCCCTGACCACTCTCCATACTGACTGGGGCTTATTGGATTTGTAGTCCAGAATATTTGAAGGACAGCACAGTGAGGGTCTTGAGATTTGAGGTGCTTTTCAAATATATTTAGATTATGCAAACATTCCAGTTTTACAGTGGGATGCTATGGATAACAATATTGTTGATCTTTAAAAATACTTTGCTAAGAAATGCTTTGAGTGTAGTAAACACAGAAAAGCAGTATAATATGACTATGGCTATCTGTTATATCTTCTTTACACTCTTGGCCAGCTTTATGGATTGGTTCATTTCTCAGTCTCAGTTTTGTGACTTAGCTCAGTTGGTTGTACTACCTACAGTGCAGTTTTTTGAATTCTCTGAAACAGATCCTCCGATTGTTTGTGGGACTAATTTCACTCTTAATGTATTCCATTTCTAAAATAGATAAATGTTTTCTAGAATGGAAGTGCATGGGTAGCTTATATTCATGTACCCCAGTGACAAACTAACAGCATATAAACAAGTTAAACTCTTGTGTGAAATTAACAACAGGGTAAGGTAGCCAAGGAAATGGATTCTTTCCTGCCTCACTGTAACATTCTCTGTAGTGCTCTCTACTGCCACATGCTGTACAAAAGCTGTGGTGTGTATGTGGTATAATGACCTCCTGCCTCTCAGGGACTAAGTGTGTTCTCTTGAAACAGATGTGCAGAAATGTAGTCATGAAGTCTGGGAAACCAAATCTGGATTTCTAGGTAGCAGGATGAATTCTGGAAACCAAGGTGAATTTATCAGACATATCACCTGTCCTTATGGGCAGAGCAAACTAGACAGGCAAAATCAAAGCATGGGTGAGATAGTGGTGTATGAAAGAAGACTTCTTCAAAATTATCAGGCATTGGAGATTATTCTGTGACAAGCCAGGACACAGAAGAATGACAAGCTCCACTTGAGCCAAAAAGGAACCAGAGCACTTATTCCAAACATTAAAAAGGTAGCAGAGGATGTTTAAATTGAATCTTGGGGTCAAGGCAACAGGAGCTGAGAAGCATTTGGATGATCATTTTTAGGGAGTGAAAATGAAAAGCTTCCAATTGGCCAAATGGGGAAAGGGAAGCTGTAGGTCATGACTATTAAGTAAAATATGATAGCTGATCAAGTAAGCCTAAGTACCATAGCAGAAGACGATATCCGGGGAGGGAAACCATGTATAAGTATTTCTGTGATAAGCATAGAAGCCTCTGAGTCAAAATTGGAGAGATGGGGTGTCTACAACATACTTGGTGGAATGGAGCAAACCAGTGGGATATCGTCATTTATGAAAATAAACTCTATAGGAAGGGAGTACTGGAGGATTCTGTACTTCAAGGAGGGCATACCATTGAGCAAACCAGAAAACCCTGAAGGAGCAGACCCCTCCAGAGAAGCACTCTGGGTGATAGCACTGGGCTCCAAAACTGATTTAGTACTAGGAACATGCTATCATTCTGAAAGCAGAAGGCCTAGGATGACCTTGAGATGGAAAACAAAATCAGGAAGCCTCCAAAATGGGGAAGTATTGTATTAATGGGTGATTTCAAGAATCCTTATATTAACCTGATAAATGCATGTTCCAGTCACAACAAAGAGGTTAAAGTTCTTGATGCCCTAAATAATTGTGCCCTAGAACAGTTGGTAATAGAACCAACCAGAGAGAGATCAGCCCTGGATTATATCCTAAATGGTGTCTCCCAGAATTTAGAATGAGATGTGAGTGTTGTTGTCACAACTGGAAACAGTAACCATAGTGCTATCACAGTTAATATATGCTTAAATGTAAAACTACCAAGGATGCCCAGCAGAGTCACATTTGACTTCAAAAGCCAACACTTTAAAGTGATGGAATTGATAAAAAAAAGAAAAAGAAATTCAAGGGGGAGTCAAGAGGGTTAAAACCCTTCGAAGTGCTGGGAAATTATTCAAACCCACAAGCTCAGCTAGAATGCATACTGCAGGTTAGCAAAGGTAGTACCAAGTTGAAGAGGTTAGCAGCATGGTTAATGCACAGGTTCAAGGCAGCTATTAGAGAAAAGACACTTTTAGAGGGAAGAAAAAAAAATACTTTTCTCAGAAAATAGAAATCATGCCCAAATGGAACTCCAAGCCTGCATAAAGGAGTTGCAAGCAGACAATGAATGATACAAAAAGCAGTTTGAGGAGCACAGTATTAACACAAGGTCATCCACAGATAATTCTTTAAATATATCAGAAGCAGGAAACCAGCTAGAAAAGCAGGTGGGATGCTGGATGACAACTGAGTTAAAGGTGTTCTAGAGGAAGATAAGGAGACTATGGAGGAACTGAACCAATGAAAATGTCTTCACCACAGAAAATACAGGGCAGATATTTGTGCCTTGAATTGGACCCCCCACCCCCACCCCCAGGAAGGGAATCTGAAGAACTGAGACAAATAGTGTTGACAAAAGATGAAGCTGGCTCAATTGACAAACTGAAAGTTAATAAGCGAGGAGGCCCAGAAGCTATCCATCTTAGGGCTCTTCAAAAAAACTCAAATATAAATTCCTTATCTTCTAATCAAAATCTGTAACATGTTGCTAACATCAGCCTCGTACTAGAGGGCTGAAGAATGGCCAATGTAATGCCAGTTTTTCAATAGGGATGCAGGTGGACCTGGAAAATTACAGACCCATTAGCTTAATGTTCGTTCCAAGTGAATAGATTGAAAGTATCATTAAAAATAAGA